CTTGTTTTGTCCTTCGTCAGACTAAGAGCTCCTGCATGTGCAAAATGAACCCTGACCCCCATTTTAGAAAAAACATCTGAACTAACACCAAAGTAAATCATCGCTTTGGAAGGTGACTGACTTACATTTAGCTTACTGCGTCCAGCTGAAGACCAATGACCAATATAAAGACAGAGTGTGTTTGGAAGTGTGAGACCCAGGAGAGCGCTAACAGAGGTAATCAATAATCAATCAACAACTGGACAGTCATGGTGAATGAGCAGTGGAATCATAAAACCAGTAACTGTCAGTTTGATTGGTCTGGTTTGCAGATCTCTAACAATGACACACATTTCAGTCGGATCAGCTGTGACTCAGAGCTCAGTGAAGAAGTCAGATCATCGTTTAAACGGTTAATTTAACTGAAACATGAAGAAGGAAAAGATGTGTCTGCATTTATTTAATGGTTTGGAATTAAGCAGGTCTTCATATGTCTAGGTTGTTTTAATTTGCTGTATGCATGCATTACTCAGAAGTTAATCATTACCTTCAGACTGTTCAAATTGCAGCAACTTTTAACCAGAACCAGAGAATGTTTCCACAACACGCCTGCAGTATGTATTTTAGCAGATCTACACCGGCCGTCAGTCGATTTTAAGATTTGATTTTTAGCTTCTTTTTATCACATTTAAGGCTCAACAGGGACTCACCCGGTGGTGATTGCTCTAAGACTGCAAGGGAAGCTCGGCTTCCCTTAAAATGTCACCCCCCAAAAAAAGAAAAAGTGGTGAAATACGTACGGCTGTGTGTACATTCATTAACTAAATACGCACTAGAAAGCCTTCATCTTTTGTTCAGACACTGTAGTAAGAAGCTGATAATCACAGGTAACCGGCATAACTTCGTTCTCATTCATCCTCGCAGCGCCTCAGCGCTTTAAACAGCCGGACGCTGGGCTTCTGCTGACTTCAATGTGGAAGCTCAAAGTGGGTTGTTCCAGCAGCGAAACTAGACGCTCATTGGATAAATGCTGGGCTTTGTCCCGCCCAATGGAAGCTAAGCTTCACTGGAGTTCTATGGCGAGAGGGCGGTCCCGACTTTCTCCCGGACTCCAAGCTTCTGCATCCATGATTGGATGAGCTGTCTGAGGCGAAATCCTTTTTTGATTGACAGCTAAACAAGCGAATCAGCGATCTTTAAAGGGGACCTGCCACCAAAATTTCATCCCCATTTTTATCAATTTTTCATAATCCTTGATGTCCTCTGATCATGTTTGCAACATAATTTTAGCTGAGAAGTTATTTGATGGTTTGTTGTAGTATGCCTAAAAAACCTTACAGGAAAACCAACTGGTTTTGGCTCATTAACATTTATGGTAATGAGCTTTGCTCTGATTGGATCGCTGCTGTGAAGCCTGCTGTGCTCTGATTGGCTCAGCAGTGGAGGTTCGTATTTCGGTTTATCCATTGTTATTATGCTAATGCTAATAGCATATGCTAATGTGTGCTAAAGTAAGGTGCCCAGATGTCTGCAATGATATCCGGGGATATTCGGTGCGGCGGCTGCGGCGGTGCAGGGGCTGCAGGGTCTGTGTGATCACAGACAAAGTCTCGGTACTATTTAGTAGCAGCGCATGCCCCTTGTAATAACCCCCGTAAGAACTGTTGTTCAGGACTGCTAACTAAATTCGGCTACTGTAATAACCGTTGTTCGAGCCCACACGCAACATTTTTGCTCTCATTAATGAAACGCTTAAATCGGGGACATTTTCGGGGACAGCTTTAGCCGAGGACAGATCATCCAATACGGGGACTGTCCCCGGAAATCGGGGACGTCTGGTCACCTTATGCTAAAGGCTAAAAACGGCAGGTATTAAACCATATATTTTAGACCCCGAGTCCGAAGAGGAGGTGGAAGTTGAGGAAGAAGCCGGAGATCTCCAGCGGTGTTTTCTCATTCATTCTGCCCGGCTTTAAGTTCATTTTCCCGGCAGTGAACCGAAGGAAACACCGGTCGTTTGGAAGAGACCCATAGCGGATACAGCGGTAGCTGGGTCTCGCTCTGGCTGTGACTGAGTACGAGAACGAGAGAGTGGGCGCGGCTCACAGAGGACGCGCTCGTGAATAATAATGAGCAAGGTCGGCGCAACGTAACATAGACCTGCTTTTTCAATCGGCCTGGTTTACTCGTTCCTTGATTTTAAACCTTTGTAGAATGCAAGCGACGTAACGGTTTGTTTTCACATGTACAACATAAGACGAACATGATATGGACCTTATATGACACAAAAAAAACCCAAAAATTACATTTTTATGGCAGGTCCCCTTTAAGAATAAAACATCTACCAGAGCATTTTCCAAGTTATTCATTCCGTTGTTCTTAACTGCTCCAGAGACTTTACCGATCCTCAGCGACTTTTGTCTGTGTTAAAAATGACTGCCGTTGTGTTTGGCGACTCTGTTCTGTTACATACAAATAAACAAATACAATTATGATGTAGGCCAGAAAAATGAGCTTCCCCTCCTTGAAAGACCAGCAGCCGCCACTGGACTCACCCCACCTATATGTTTGAGCTTTTACCCCCCTATGAGCCAGGACACGGTCTGAGACCCTCTGTCAGTGCTCTGCTGGCTGTTCCAGGGTCCAGATCTAAAACTGAAGGTAACAGGGCATTTGCAGTCAGGGCACCTCTGGATCAGACCTGCAGACTTCAGTCCCTTTTTTCTTTGATTTTTACAGAAAACTTTTATCCTTTATTCTAACTCCCGTTTCTTTCATCAGCTACTTTAACAGACCTGTATTTTCATATATATTTATTCACTGCTTGTATGATTATTTACCTTTTTAAATCTTTCTCTGTTTTTACGGCACACTGCACGCTCTTTGTTACCTGTAATGAAAAGTGCTTTATGAAACAGTATTATTGGTTATTGAGATTTGGGACCATATAAGATTGATTGACAATAACATTAAAGTAATGTAGGAATGTAGCTTAACAGGTAAATATTCTAAACGAACAAACATACACCATAAAATTCAACATTACTACCTGTTTGTGATTAAAATATTATTTTTTTCAATCATTATTCATAAATCTAATGTGAATGTTGACTCTGACTATTTTCAGATGGCAGCCACAGCAGCAGATCTAGTCTGTAATGAACAGAAATCCACACGTTGTACAAAGACGTATCTGACGTCATTGTGTGTTTTCCAACATCCCTGCAGGACTTACAGGAGTTTGTGGAGGGCTCTGGAGACCACGGCTTCATTGTCTTTACCTTGGGCTCAATGGTGTCCAACATGCCTGAAGAAACAGCCAAACAGTTCTTCGAGGCCTTTCGCCAACTGCCTCAGAGGGTAACAATCAAAGATTTGTTTACTTTTCTTAGAACAACTCGAGCAGTCCAGCCTGATATCAGTCTGTCCGCTCCTTTGTTTGTCTGGAACCCTCCCCTGAATGACCCAAACTGTTCAACTCATTAATAGTTTCAACTACAACAAAAAAAAAAAAAAAAGAGAGAGAAGACTAAGAGGTATATTTGTGTTTCAGGTTTTGTGGAGATACACTGGAGCCCCGCCCAAGGATCTACCCAAAAACGTCAAACTTATGAAGTGGTTACCTCAGAATGACCTCCTGGGTAGGTGAAGTTGTAACCAGACAGACGTGTGTAAATCATGCTGTTGAAGTCTAACTCAGACCTTTAATATGTTCCTGTGCTCCTCAGCTCATCCCAAAGCCAAAGTCTTCATCACTCACGGGGGAAGTCACGGTATCTACGAGAGCATCTATAACGCTGTGCCCATGTTGATGTTTCCACTCTTTGGGGATCAGGGTGACAACGTGCATCACATGGTGGCGCGGGGTGTCGCAGAGAGTCTCGCCATTTATGATGTGACCACAGAAAAACTAGTGACTGCACTAAATAAGATCATCAACATAAAAAGGTAAAACAGCAGGACGCAGGACTTGGATCTAAAAGAAATGTATGACGTCAAACTGAGCCTCTCTGGATCGTCTTTCCTGGCATGTTAATATAACCTGGTCTGATGGACAGCTTCTAAGTCTGTAACCTCATATAACGGTGTAAAGCCCTACATGATGTTCTCCTGAGAGGAGGTGAAGGAATCGGTAGAAGTAGCATAACCCTTTCTTTTACGGTACACTTATTACCAGGTAATTAACAGGTAATTACCTAGTAACAACATGAAATTATCTGGTAACTACACGATAACTACTAAGTCAATACTGTTTTTCTGTTTTCTGTGCAGCTCCATTTTCAAAAGCTTTTTGGGTTCTTATTTCCTATGATTGACACTTGATACAGCCTATGGGCGTGCAAGGATTGTGTAGCGATACGCTGTTTGTGCCGAGCGTCATCACAGCGACTCACCCGCCGAATGCGTACAACGCTACTGCGCAAGTGGTGGTTCCAGAAAGCGGAGAAAATCCTGGAAATACCAGAGCAATTCAGCTTCAAATTTGTATGATGATGGAAGGTTACCGACCTGGTAGTTAGACAGTATTGACTTAATAGTTATCATGTAATTACCAGATAATTTCATGTTGTTTCTAGGTAATTACCTGTTAATTACCTGGTAATAAGTGCACCGTAAAAGAAAGGGTTACTGAAGTAGTTGACGACGTATGAGTCCAAATAAAAAATAAAGTTCATACTTCCACTCGGTTTTTGTAGCGATCATGTGACTGGTCACATTTGCAGAAACCTCAGTTAGTTGTATTTACATTGAAAATAACTTGATTACAGACAGTACAGTACCTACATTTGATATCTATACTTTAATTTTAACCACCATCTTAAAATGATTATTTTGTTAATTTAAAGTTCATAAAGTTGCTCAATATATTTTCTTTTTCCCTTTTTTTTTCAGTTACAAAGAGAACATGGTGAAGATGTCGCAGGTCCACCTGGACCGTCCTGTTGAGCCTCTGGACCTGGCTGTTTTCTGGACAGAGTTTGTCATGAGGCACAAAGGAGCGTCACACCTGAGGGTCGCTGCACATGAACTGAACTGGATTCAGTACCACTGTCTGGACGTCATCGGCTTCTTCATCGTCATTCTCCTGACTGTGGTGTGGCTGATGCTAAAATGCTGCTCAGTCTGTTTTCATAAGTGTTGCAAAAAGGAAAAAGCAAAGATGAAGAAAAAGTAGAGTTTGTACTTCAACACGCCCAGACTGCAGCGGCTCCACAGAGTGGTTCAAGATGGTGGTTAAAACGTGTCTTCATGTACATTATGCCTGTGTATTTAAAAGCAGAACTAACGTGCTCCGACCACTTCATCTTCAAATCTTCAACGTTGTCTCAGATGATGCTAATCTTCTGGACTTTTTACCAAATTAAAAAGCCTGTAATCTAAATGTCATTTTCACAGCTTTAATGAAACTTCAATGTCTCATTTTATTGTCAGATTTCTGTTTGATTTCGAGTTTTAGCGGAAAGGTTAATGAGCTCGATCATGGCGTCTAACTGATCGGAGGGGATGACATTTCCAGTCGTCTTTGTATTGATGTGGAATTTTATTTTTATTCAAGTTTTTTTTTTATGTTGTCAGTTTCTGTCGTCTGTCGGACAGGACTTTGACCCTGTGAAAGTGATTTTTATTGACAAAAATCTCCTCCTGTTGTCTTCTAACCGTGAAAGGTAACACTCTGAATATTTATGAATGAGTGACCACAGTGTTTCTTTAGTGTACCTTCACCCCCTCACAGCAGGTACAGACATGAAACATTCCTCACTTGTTTGAGAACATCATAGAGATGCATGTGTGCACTGAAAGCCCTTCAGTTATGATGAAGTCATTTTCCGAATCAGAAATGCTGCTTGAGAACAAAATGGTTTTAAGATTGAATCACTGAAACACAATAATGAGAGGATGTCTGCAGGAGGTCAGTGTTACACAAACATCTGATGCTTTTAGTTGTTGGATTAAAGCTCCTCTACTTCATACAGTGATCATAATTCATCATATCATTTTAAGATTTTCTGACAAACAGGTGAACTTTGTTTTAAAGCGACACACTGCTACAAAAAGATATCCCTCCATTTTTCTATTGCTCTATTTTTTCAATAAAGCAGGTATCAAAAAGAGTTATCTTTGATGCTCCATCTTTTTTTTAACTCTCCAAGCTGATAATGAGCGAAGAATGGACAAACGGACAGTTATAGTGTAAAAAAGACATGTGCTTTTAAAATAAATAATGTTTCTGTTGAATGTCTTCAGAGTAATAATGTTCACTTTGTTAAACACAAATATGTGGAAGTTCCATCCATTTTCTTGTTCTTTGTAATCCTTGTTCATTTAAAATAAGTCTTATCCTTTTGACACAGAAAGTGAATAAATCCTTTTTATAGGTGGCCAAACTCTCCCTTTTTATTTCTTTATTTACAGTTTTTTGTTGATTTAAACTTATTTTCACTCAACTTTGACGGCTGCCCTCGCTGCAGGCTTTGGGGTAAAGAAAGGTGTGACCCAGGTTAAAATTCCAGGCATTATATCTTTAGTTTGATGTTATCACCTTTCACAAAGATTAGTAGACTTTGTAGGTCTGACTTTGCGTGCCACCTTTCTCTTTACAGTGGGAGCCGGCTGCTGTGTCTGTGCAAAGGTGAAAGGGAGAGAGCCAAAGCAAACAAGGAGTGTTTTCAGCAATCATTGAACTTAGACTCTGGTAGAGAACAGACCAGACCGAGACAGATATAGAAAATCCTATACAACCAAATGTAACACTTTTAAACATACGAGTTTAACCAGTTTCAGCAGGGTGACATGTTGGGAGGAATAAAAACAGGTCAAAGCACGCCATCCCAACAAACACAGAATAATCCATTTCAACCGATCAGCAGGTGTAAGCGATCACTAACACACATTAGACTTTATCTAAAAGAGCTGTGCACTTACAGTGAAGTCACTGTGTAATCTTCACCTCTGACTTCATTATAGGAACAGAGGTGTGTTTTTATTCACGTACAAAGTGATTCTCTGAACATTAAGATAAACGTCTGTTTCCCTTTGGTCTTTACTCCCGTCACACACCTGTTGTGAGGAGAGTTCATACACACCTACACACCCACACTGATGTACAGAGTGTAATCTTTACTGACTATTGAGGTTATCAATAAATCATTTCTAAATCGATACAGTCAAATTTAGGTCAATACTCTGTGTCAGGTGACAAGCCAGATACTATCAAGTTAGTCTGTTGTTTCCTTTGCTTTAAATAAATGATCCCTTACTGGACTCAGAATATTGACAAAAAAAAAAACAAAACAAAACAAAAAAAACTTGGATAATTTTATTTTCATTAAATGTGTCAAAAGTTTCAGTTGTTCCAAAATCTCACATTTAATTTTATACAAAGCAAAGAGGAAAATATATCCAAGGCCTGAAGCACAAACTGACCCCAAAACAAGAACAAAAGGATCTGAGGTTTAGCATTTTATGACCCCTAACTCTCATCACAGCACTTTAAAAACTCCCCCCAAAAAAGAGAGTAAGGGGATGATGGACTTTGAACCTGAACAACTTTAAAGAGAAGCAGCTAAGCAGGATGTCGTGGCTCTACATAGTGTTACCACTGAACCTCAGGAGGTTTTACAGTCAGCAGCTTTGTCTGAGGACAAAAATGTGAGATCTCAATCTCAACGGGTTTTCTTACCTGGTTAAATAATAAAAAAAGATGTTAATTCAGCAGGTGTTGTCAGACAAATTTACTTTGGTTAAAGGGTCTGGGGTCACTCAGTTCAGTCCATCTTCAGTCACACATGACAGTACCCGCCTCAAACCAGATTAACAGCGTGTGACACGGTGCAAAGAAACAGGCGGCGGAGTGCAGGTGTCAGAACACACCTTTCCCTGCAGTCTGTCTGTGCAGCTGTTCAGTTTTCAAATGTCCACCATGACAGATTTAGCAGACCGGGCGGTGACATAAACTGCCATCTTGGTTGGTTCAAGAATATGTTGGAGTGCTGCTCTTGCGTGGTCACTGAAAATGAAGGACTGTGATTGGGTCCTGATGGGAAAATGGTTAGAATGACAGCAGCTCCTGACCCTGACTGATGGGTGTGGCGTCACCAGGCTCATATTAATCCCCTCCCAAGCACAACAACGGTCAGTCTATACGGGGCCGATCTGAAGAGTCTGTACTATAAGATTAAGGTCCATTAAAGAACAGATTTAAAGAGACACAATGGTCTTAGAGAGGCTGAAACAGCTGGCCTATAGAAAATTACAAACACACAGTGATAACACACTCGAACCTGAGCTCCAAGGTCAACTTTGAAATAACGAGGAGACTTCATGTTTGTGTCAGCCCCCTGTAGGAAAAGCTGAGTGCAAACGAGAGAAAAGACAGAAGAAATCGATCTTTTTAACAATATGAACCACTGACTGTGTTCAGAACTGCAGTTTTTAGGATCTTTTATGGTTTACAGTCCATCTACAGATCTCCCATCTTCTCATTCTGTAACTCTGTTCTGTTCAGACGGTTCCTGACACTTTTATTGTGGTCGTACAGATGTACCTTCTCTCCTGCAAAGGCCTTTCTGAGGGCAGTAAAGTAGTTGCTGGGGAGTTTCTAAAACTTCATTTCAGCTTAAATTGATGCACAACATACTGTCGATGTTGCAGGACACTCTCCATAACCAGCAGAGACTTTAACAGTCAGCTTTAAGGCGAACAGCAGTCCTTTAAACACGACATCGTCCTGACTTTACCGGAGAGGACAATAACAGTATAACATCAAAACTGCATTTGCTACTTTGAGACCGTGTAATAGATTCTCTCCATGTATCTTTTCTACTTTAACTAATGATATCTATGAATAGATGTGAAAAAACTAATCAGTATTATTAATATGATCAGCATATAATCCTGTGTGTAGGAGGAAGATTATACTCAAAAACGTTGTGTTGCTGTAACATGAAAAGCCGACTGAGACGTCTCAGGGTTGAGCTGTTTGACGTCTTTTCTTCTTCTGCTCCTCTACCTCTGAAAGATCTCAGTATTAATGTTTTCAAACATTTTATTTTTGAGTACAATCTTCACTCTCAAAATAAAAACCAGAGAATTCTTGAACAGAATGATCTGCTGAGGAAATTCAAAGAAAGTGTTGACAAAGTGGGCGTGTCCTTAGGTCCGTATAAGGTGGTTTACTCTTGGTATTAGAGTAGAGAGGGAACACAGACAGAGCTCTGCTGTTAGTCATAATGTAAACTTTTGAAGTTGAAGCGTTTCCTGTCAGTGAAGCCCGTCATCTGGGGAGAAAAGGACAGAAGTGTGTTCAGTCAAAAGCAGCTCAGTCTAGTAGAAGAGAGCTCCTTAATATCTGTTTTACAAATACTACAGAGGTATCAAAAAGAGACCCACCTGACTCGGATCTCTTGTGAAATACCTCTTTTCTATTACCTGTCAAGAAAAAGGTCGAATTATTTTGAAGTACAAATCTCACACCCTTTTTTTTTTACCATAACTAAAGAAGCTGCTGCGAGGTTCAGCTCATTTTCAGGCTTTTTTCTTTAAAACATTGCAGTTAAAAACAGATTATAACACCTTTGATTAGGTTCTGTTTGTTACTGTAATCCTACAAAGATCGGTGTGGACCCTGTGAATACATGAACACCAGTTGAAATGGTGATGAATGATGAATGTATGATGTTGCCCTCCTGCTTCTTCAGGAGAACCTGCATGACCGTGTCAGAAACTCTATCTTCTCAGTCTTCCCTCCTGCTGTTGAACCTGTTCTGCTGTTTTTTCACCGATAAGCTGTCCTGCCTTTACCACAAATGGAGGATTTGGGGCGTGTCGAGGGTGAAATATAAGGCTAAACCATGAGCACATATTGCCTAGAAGATCATGATATGTAAAGGGAAGAATGTGTGAAAGTGTGCGTGACCACAGTTTCATCAATCTGTTTTGTTTGTTTTACACCTCATTTCTGGGTTTGTGTTGTTTTTGTGTCACAACCTCAGTATAGATTCTACGTACTGGTTTACGTGTGAAACTCCTGTTTTCTCCTTCGTCGATAAAAGACGCCTCTGACACTGACGGAGGCTAAATGTAGAAATGAAAGAGTTTCTTATTTTTTTATCAGGTGTGTCAATGATCATCTTCTGGAAAACTGTAGAGTCAGCTTTCCCCACGGTTCTCCATATTGTTTGATCAGTAATTCACTGAGATTTGAACTGAATGTTTAAATGTTTCGGTTTGTTTTTTTAGCTTCATGCCATAAAAAAAAATAAAAACCATTTCAGTTAGCATGTAACGAGATCTTTCGGTCAGATTTTCTCTCATCATACCTTTTGCTGGTGATTAGGCAGACCTTTCAGAGTGAAAGGTTGAGATCTGATGTCTTTACATAACTCAGAACAAGAGGCGTCTCACCTTGTCAAAGAACCTGCTGAGCTTCACAGCGTTAGATGTGCCGGCTGCGAGGTATCTGGGGTTGGTGCAGTCCTGGGAACAGAAATGTAAAACCTCAGTCAGTGAACCCCAACAGTTCAATCTACCGACACTCTTTTTCAGAGTTTTGGAGTTTGGATCAGTCATGGTATCGTTTTTAAAAGAAATACCACAAGCTTTCACCAAACAGGTTTTTATTTTATTTTAAAAGGAACAAAGTCATCTTAAACGCCTTTTAAATTTGGTCCTCGCAAAAAAGAAATCATAAACAAAGATGATCCACAGATGCTCTTCACCTGGGCAGAGGGTGAAATAGTCCTGTGGTCTGAAAAATCTAAATTTGATATTCTTTTGGAAAATTGTGGATACCACTTCAGACGGTGTAAAGTAGAGCCTCTGCGCTTGTTATCCATGCACAGTTCAAAAGCCAGCATCTCTGATGGTATGTAGAGTCACCATAATTATGCAGGATTATGCTGATCTTTTCTCCAAGCCTAACCAAGTAGATCTGTTACATCAACTAAGGATTAGTATTTCAAGCAAGAACACTTTTCCCATGGTCACTGGAATCTATCTGACAACTAACCAAAGACCTCCCCCACATGCAAGCAAGAGCTAAACCACATTAAGGCTAAGATAGGACATGTGTAGAGATACATTAGTACCAGACAAACTCAGAGTCTTGTCCTTTATATCATTTCAAAATTCAGTCCTACTTTATTTGAGTCTTTTAGTTGATTTTTGTTGGGTTAGCCACATGGAGAGGTAGAAATAACAGTGACTTAACTTCACTGTGTGACACTACAAATAGTCAGTCTGTGTGAGAGCGCTGACCAGCACTGACCAACGATCCGCCTGGTATATTAATATGGTTGTCTCTGGTATGATGACAACTTTCTAAATCTAAACATTTCTAAAATAAAGGAAATGATTTTTGGTTTCAGATACAAGAATGAGGCACAACAAGAGTGAATCATTCACCAGGAAACAAACGTATCGGATGATCAGCTTGAGAGAATTTCAATATGTTTGAATTAAGGTTGAGTAAGTTACATGTCAGTGGTAAGTGTAATACCGACAATGGACTCCAAAGTGCAGCCCAATCTTTCAAACAACTGAATCTTTACTACAAACAAGGAAACACGACTGAAGCTTTGGAAGAAGAAAAAGTTTGACTTGCAAGGTTGATCTCCTCTGCATTGAAGTCTTCAGACAGGAAGGCTGTCCGTGTGAGGACTTCATTACGTTTGGTCTCTGGGATCTGGTCAAACTTTGTGCCAATCAGCAGCAAAGGCACTGGGTTCTCAGCAAACTGCTCTCTGTCATAGTCGCTGCTGAGAGGAGAGATGATATTTCAACTTTTAAAAGCAAACGTTTCAGACACTATGTCATGAAGAAAAGGCTCAGAAACAGTTCAAGTTAATTCAACATTGTTGTTTACGGTACATTTCTATCTCTGTCACATGATTAATCACTTATACCAAGGCGATTTTAGGGTTCTATTGCAAACATTATTCAAAGGATTGTATAATTGAGATTGAGATTCATTTACTTTAAAAAAAGGGACAATATGCATCAATGGACATTTACATGTAAATACATGAGAGCCAAACAATTAGCCAGGGAGCTAATTTCCATCCCCAGTCCCATTTGCAGGTTGGTCTTTTTAAAAAACACGAACAAAAATGGATCCATGTAGGAAATGTTCATTCCTCTTATCAAATGTATGGAGAGCCTTTAGCTCACATAATTTAGTACAATGCTGTAATATCTGTTGCCTCCACTGCGACTTACCTGTTTGAAACTATCACTCCGGTGGGAGATGAATCTCTGTTAAGAGCCTCGAGTGACCAGCGGTAGAGATTCTGGGAGGATTTCTTATTTGTTAAATCGTGGACCAATATTATTCCTGAAAAAATAAAGAAAACATTTTATGTCACAACTGAATGATAGGAACTATAAGGTTTTCATATTTTTCAAGATAAACATATCAAACGATATTCACCGTTTACTGAATTGTAGAAGACAGCTCTTGTGCTCTTGACACTACTCGCACTACCAACAGACCCTCCCACATCCCAGAGTTCAATGTAGTAGGTTTTCTCCTCTGGGGTTCCCTCCCTGTAGTCCTGGACCTGTAGAAGAAAAGTTATGTCTAGATTTGGATCATTTTATTGATCTAAGCATCTCTAGCATCTCCAGAGAATTGTGAACCAAAGAAAAAATGTTGTACAGTTAATTAATGATTGTGCGTTGTAAGTACAGAGTACACTTTAGAGGTCCTCTGACTTTTTTAAGAGGCATTACAGGAGACCAGGGTCAAGCTCAAACTGAACCACCTTTACTGAAACATGGTGTCAGACACCAAAAGTTCCTCAAAGAAGCTCAGCAGAATAAACTGTTCCTAAACACACCGTCATTTATATCACTAATACACTTGTTTGGTATAAAGTTCATATTTTCTAGTCATTGATTTTTAATGGTGGATATGGTCCGAGCATTTTAGTCCTCACACACTTTCCTGTTTCTGTATTATGTACAGTGAAGGAGAATCAGGAGGGCCAGCAGAAACATTTTAGACCCTTTTTAGTCAAAAATATTAAACCTGCTCACCCGCACATCCACCGAGCAACCAACAGTCCAGGATGGGTTTCCAAGGACCTGGTTCTGACAGAGAAGATGAACCAAAGACGACTTACCCACCCCTGCGACAGACAGAGAGTGGCTGGATGACTGACAGTTATAATGAAATTAAACAATAACCTGAAAATGACTCACAAAGACAAACAGGTTGTTTGTATAGTGTGGTGGTTTTCCTGCACCTTCAGACAACATTCACTCTTTCATCATGTTAAAGCCTTTAGTGGTGATTCACTTTGAAACATGAGCTGCATGATTTAAGGAGCCTATTACCCTTTACTTTACACTTCAACACACTAAAATGTGAAAATATAATGAAACACTAAACTGTAACAAATGAACAGAAACTTCGTGTTACTCCATCAACACTGAACACTAAGCGGTCACAGTCACCTTGTTGAGCTATGTCATGATAAACCTTTAACTCTAATATTTCTACCTTTATCATCATTTTGGGTGATGATAAACAACACTGCAGCTTCAGTCTTTGGCTAATGGTCTTTAAATGAACATTTGTATGTGCGCAGCCTGAGTATTATTTAAAGAAAAAAACCCTTTAAATCAGTAAACAGGCTGAAATCAGAGTCTGAAAATGAAAATACGGAGAGTTTACCGGAATCTCCCAAAACTAGAACCTTCACTCTGTCGAGAGACGCCATGACTGGACGAGGATGGTACAGACATTACAGACGTAGACGCCTCAAAGCCTGACGCTGCCGATTGGAGCTCTCATATCAGCGCGGCCGCCATCTTGGATGGGTCCTCCAGTGCATTAAGGTAAGTAGGAATGTCCAACCATATCAATAATAGCTCTCTGAATCTGTGCCCGATTTTCACACTTTTTGTTTTCTTTTATAACAGAAGGGATGTAGCTATAATACAGGACAATATCACATATTAAAAATATAAAAATATATTTTTTAATCCTATTTGTGAAATTTAATCCTACATGATCTGGTTTCAATACTGCGTCTATTTTTTCAACCGTAGAGTGGAAAATAAAACGGTCATAGTTGCTCGATCTCCACTGACCCCGTTTGGCTCTTGGGTGAACCTGGAGTGGGGAGACCTATCCAATATGGCGGTAACGCCGATTTACGCTTTAGCACGTAATGAGGCGTCTACGTATATTATGTCTATGGGTATGAATACCGTCCCGGAAGCGAACTTGTTTTGTAGGATGGTAGGGGAAGGGCCCGCCCTCCTTCGCCTCTGATTGGCTAGAAGTTCTGGGCTCTGATTGGTTACGTCCTTATGGCTGTAAAACGTCATCGTCTGTCGGAGGCGAGACTTTCCCCTACCATCCTACATAAAAATGTACAGCATAACAAACCCCGCCTTCAAACATTATTGGTCCAATCATGGGTTTGGGTTCGATCCAAGCAGAAGTACCATTCGTCGAAATGAAAATCAATCGTCGTTACTTTGCTCCTATTGGCCGTTAAGGTTGTTTCTATTTTACAAACTCTTTGTCGCGAGATTTTGTGTTCAGGAGCTCTTAATGATGGGGTCTTTTTCTCTTAATTATGAGATCATGTAATAATTACATAATTATGAGATTATTATGTAAAACTAAACTTCATTTCATACAATCACTGAGGCGAAGTGAGCATATGCTTAGATTTACATCTGTAGACTCAGTGTAAAGGCACAGAAACATTGTTTTGGGGTAAATCGATCATTACAGTATTGGTGATATCATATCAATTTAAGCTTGTGTTTGTTTGTATCTGTTTAAGATATTTCCAATAACCTACAAACCGGTGTTTGCACATATGTACAGCTGAAAACAAGTTTAATTTGGTGAGTTATGTTACCGACTCTGATCCAAACTGTGTCCATATTCTGTCAGTTTTCTTTGTTCAATATCTCCTGACTGAGCAGCACTTCAGTTCACCTTTAGTTCTGTTGCCATGGCAGCTGAGACATCTGTCGACTCCTGTTAAGATCTTCAAGATCCAAGAAAGCGCTAAATACAAGGTCACAACAACGACCAGTGAAGAAAAACACAGAGGTGTTCTTACAAAAGAAGACTTATCATCCTGAGTGCTGCAGGCAGTATCCTCAGAGTAATGCCTGATAAAGAGTGGCTGTGACTTTTATACTTCCCCAAACATCATTGTAACAATAACTACAGTTATACTAGTTTAACTTGTGAAAGGTTTGCATGAAGTTGGCTTCTCCAAGACAAACTTGACTAAGTACCTGGCAGCTACCTTCAAGGACTGGTTAATCAAGGCTCCACAAACAGACTTCCTGAATATTTCTAATGAAAACTGAGTGAGGAATGACAGAGTGAGGCTTTACGTCTCCAGCTGCCTCTCACAAGCAGCCTTAAAGCTGCCTCGCTTGGTCTCTTAAGGACACTTCAGCTTGTGAAACGCTCGTTGACTCCATGATGAAAATAGAGATAAAACGCTGAAGTAAACACAAGTTCATCTCACAAGATGTAAATGTTCTGCAAAGGTCTAAAAAAATTTTCTACTCTTTGTACAACCCCAGAGAAAATCCACCATGGTAACACTTTATTTTGATCGTCTGCTGTTGACATTTGACATGCTAACAGGAGACATAGAGGTGACCATCTACAGCCAGTCAGTTCATATTCAACAACACTCTATTAACAGACCAGCAGTACGCATTAAAGTGTCTGTGTCAACGTTTTGCAGTAACTCTCTCCTGACCGTCATTGTGCTTTTGTGTGAGCGGTCTTTGACTGTCAGTACATGACCAACTTCCTCTACGACGTCGATAATTTACTACATTTATCAGTCTGTAAGTTCAAAGCAGCAGCAGACTACCAGCTGGCAGTCTTAGTTAAGTATCCATAGACATGTTTTAAGACTTTCCAATGAAAGTGAAAACTGTTGACGACACACAGTACAGTTCAACACACTGTTAACACACAATAACATATGAACTGATAGTATGTAGTGTCAACAGGGGTACCATCCAAATAAAGTGACTAAAATCATTATAAAAAAGAAAGAAAGAAAGATGCTGATGTCGTTTCATTTCATTCAAAGTCCAGAACATGAATCTGCAGTAAACAGGATATAAAGGATTTCTCTGGGACTGGATGTTGGTCCGTCATAGTTCATCCTTCGACTGGAAAAAAGAAAAACATGAATTTTTAAACTCTAACTCGAATTCATTACAAACAAAACAAAAACATGTAATTTCAAGCAAATAAGTTCATAGTGGAGATCTGCTGTTTTTAGATGATTTCTTCAGGGCACGCCTTATCTCCAGATAATGTATTTTCTTAGTTTTATACCATTTTAAGCCCTAACTCACTCACTCACTGATCACTTATCACCAGTGTCAGTAAAATAGGGCACAGAGTGGTAACAGGCACTGGAAACCAGTGAGTCACATGTTCCTCTTGCTCCATTTCATCTGGTTGCTCCTGTTCAGATCAAACAGTTTCCCCTCAGTCACTCTGTTCAGGAGTTTGGTCATCTTATGTTGTACAAGTAACGCTCCACCTGCTTTCACTGACACTGGAAACTGAATCAAAAGGACTAATCAGGCACACCTGGGAGGATCAGCATGGTCTGTGATATTTTAGTCACATCTTCATGTCCATTCGCCTTAAATGAAGGAAAGCAAAGCTGCACCAGTTATCCACTAGAGGGAGCCAAACTCTGCATGTCAAAGTTGAGAGCAGTTACTTTACTCAAGTTTAGTCACCATTGGGGAAAGCTATATTAGTCTGCTCAGATACAAATGTCACTTTCTTCAAGTCCTGTTATCAGGTGATTTTAATCGAACCCTGGGCCACAGAATCTCATTCTAAATTAAAACCAAATAAACAGAAATAGGGTCAAAGAATGAATGAAAAATCCATGGCTTCTGAACCACTGTCACATTTTCTATCAGAGAGCATCTCTCAGTTTGACAGATATACCGTGGGCTTGAAAAATGAAACCTTAGAAAAACACATTTTAAGAGTCAAAGCACTTATTTAAATCTCCTTGTAACAGCAGCGTTCTTCAAAATTCATTTACAGTCCGGCTCCTCTTTTAATTTGGGGATCAGCTCTAAACTATTTAAAGAACCTGGTTTTGACTCTTAGACATGCAGCTCGACATATGTAGGTATGTTATGTTATGTTGTGGAGTCAGTGTTTTGTCATCTTGAAAATAATGCATCCACGAAACTAAGGAACAAGAAGAACAAACCTCAACAAACCGCAGTCTCACTACAGCTTTTGACAGCAGTTGTTACTGACTGTACTAGATGGTTAAAGCTTGTTTACAGAGACTTCACAGTATCCTTTACCCTCTTCCTGAGGCAGGGACATGGGAACAGGTCATCACTGGGCTGCTCCACCAGCTCCATGCCTTCACGGATCTTGGGCGCTGTTACCTGGAGTTTGGCGTACTCCTAAAAGAAGAGCACTAGATGTACGGAGGGAGCTATCACAGGTGGGGAAAATACATCATGAAAAATCCTATTATGTATTCTCACAGCATTTGGACATGGTTGTACGCAGTGACACATACATTTAGCTATACAATGCTGATCCATATGCCGGCCATCGGTAAAGAATTTAAGTAAGTTTCTTTTACGTTTAGTACCTTGTTGTTTTCAACCTGATGATTTATACGACTTTAAAATTGTATATATCGTACGTTACCTTGAAAAGCTTGTAATAGTAACAAAATATGCTGTCTCCCATGAGGTGATTCCGGGCAAACTGCTGACCCGCCAACGCAATTTTCTTTGCCTGAAAGACAGGAAGTTTGAGACAGGGTCTGAACAGGAGTCAGAACAACCGTTTCTGAAAGCTTTCTGATCAAAAAGCCACACATGAAGCACAAAATAAACTTTATCAGGGAAAAAAAAAAAATGTTGAACTATGTTAAAGCAAATCTATAAGCAACAAGATTGAAGAGAATTCAACCACAGGCCTGTTCAATCATTGATCATCTCACCTCTTCATCGTGGTCACGAGCCCATTGGATCTTTTCCAGCAAGTCTCCGAGATCCGCTCTGACTGGGATGAAGTGCTCCCACGGCCGCAGCTCGTTGTAGAAGTGCTCGTAGTAACCAGACTCCTGCTTTAAAACCACACTGTCTCCCGCCAACAAGTATGGCAGTCGATATGCAGCCACAGTGCCATCAATATTAATCTGGTACTTGTACTGGTGGTGAGCATGGAAAGGTTAGTCCGATTATTGTGCGTTATCTTGGAAAAAAACACCAAACTCTGTGATGCTAAGACCACCTGTTTAAGGTGGTCCTTGCATATTTTACTATCTATTTCATGCATTATTGTATTAATCAGAACTACGTACATTACTGAGATAATTCTAATTTCAACCTCATCACAGGTAAATATCATAAAACTGCACGCTCACCTTAAAGAAGTCAAAGAAAGAAACATGTTTGACCAGAGGCCCATAAAGACTCTCATCATGTTTGAAAAAGAAGAAGTTGGTAAAGGCGGCGTCGATCATGTCAGGGCGGGCCCGTGAAAGCTTGACCAGCTCCAGACGCTCCTGACGGCTGTCCCGGCCCCTCCAGAAGGCTGTGGCGTTTTTCTCTGACCATGGCGGCCCCGTGTTGGCTTGAACAGACATCATGTCGAGACTTACTCTGTTCATTGGACGGACAATATGTTGTCAAATTATTGATCGAAGGATCTGTAACGGTCAGACTCATGCAAAGATAATGGCAGAGTAATGAGAATCACAGACAAGAATGGAGACAGTATTTACAGATTGATCGGTCAGTCGATTAATTAATCGAAATATTGGCAGTACATCGGAGTCAGCATCAGCATTGAACCTCATGTTCCATAAATGGAAACACATCATTTCCATCACCCTTTACAAACATTTTCAATCAATAAAAAAATCATTGATTGTTGTTTTTCTGTTGTATCATAATGTAATATTTAATACTGACAACAATATCAGCCAAGTTCAACAAACTATACCCCAGTGAATATTTGGTTATGGTTTGTTACTCTTCTTAAACTGTTGTATTTTGTCAAATCTACAACAACAACAACAATAAAATTAAATAATAATAAATAATAAATAATAATAATAATAATAATAATAATAATAATAATAAGAATAATAATAATGATAATAATAATAATAATAACAAGAATAATAATAATAATAATAATAATAATAATAATAATAATAATAATAACAAGAATAATAATAATGATAATAATAATAATAATAATAATAATAATAATAATAATAATAATAATAATAATAATAATAATAATAACAATAATAATAATGACAGTGCAATATCAGCATTATATACACTTTCTAAAGTTTTTGTTAGTACGGCGACCAAGTGTGAGTTTTGTCTGCTAATTCTGGTTCAGATATTATGATAATGCAGACTCAATCCAAATTTCACAACATCATTGTTTTATAATTTAACTGCGTTACCTTCCCATGGTCTCGAGGACAGACTCAGTCAGGTCATAGGTGGGCATGACTATGTCTCTGGTATTGTTGGAGCCACACCATGAGAAGATCGGATGAAGATTTTCACTGGATTTTCTTTTCTCCAGAGGCCAGTCACCCAGGTTCACATAAAACTCCACATCAGGGAGACGCACCTGGACAGAAGTGTTGAAGGTGAAATGTAAATGACTTTATATTTTTCTTGCAGAAATCACACAAAACAACAAACAATAAAGAGTGTGAACTGGAAGGGAGTGTGTCAGTTTGCCATCATTCATTGTTCTGACTGCATCTACATCACCAACAAATCCAGTTCCATTGAGGTCTCAAGTATGAGGTCCAGTTAAACCATTGCCCCTTTTACACAAGTGCTTTCACCTGTTTATTTCCATTTTTAACTAAAAAGATGGGAACCTAAGACGTGTCTTTTGAACTAAAAGTGTTATCAATGTTTTCTTTAATTTTAAGAATAGCTGTAATTCACAAAGTTAAGAAGGACCTTACCTTTCTGGTGAGAGACAGGAGAATGGCATCCATGAAGATTCTGAAACCTACATGCTCTCCAAAAGTCTGAACGTAGACCTAAAAAGAGTAAAAATCTGGGTCAATAGAAAATTCAATCATAGATTATTCTTACAGGTGTGTTTTATCACCCCAGGCTCTCTGTACTGACTTTACATTGTTACATGACCCTAATTACTCTTGAACCAAAGACACACTTCGGTTTATCTCTATACTAGCCTTTGGTAGTGCTGGAATCTGACCGTCTAAATGTGGAGATAGTTTAGTGTGATTTTATTTAAGCTACTATGAGACCAATTGATCTATTTGTTGTTACATTAGCAACAAAATTAGTGCAATATGAAATATGTTTAGTCGACAAATTCTGACATTTACTGCAAATCTTACAGCTCACGCTCTGAGGTACCTTGTTGTCTTTGACAGTGTAGTGACACAGACTTTGTTTCTGTCCAAAGCGCTCTGGGATCTCCTGTGCGTTGCGATCTGGGTCCACACTAGCAAAGAAGTCCAGGTCCCTATCTATCTGGGGGAAGGACTGGGGGCAGTGCATGTGGGCCTCCCATACAGACCCAATGGGCTGGGGACAGTCACAGCCCTCATGGTAGATGGAGCCTGTGGAGAACAGGAACATGGTGAGATCCGTCTTTGTCACCTTCTTTATCAGTTTCTGGGGCAGCAGTCACTGTGAAACGTGTTTTACCTTTAAGAATGAATGGTGACTGAGCAACATGCTTGTTCTTCAGCAGAATGTGTATCTGAAGGTCTCTGTAGGTGGCATACATTCTGTAGCGTACCAGAAAGGAGCCATCCTGACGGTCCAGGACCTGGATCCAAATCCTGACAAACTGCTCTGTTGGAGAGACCATCTTAACCTCAAATGTTTTCTCACCAGGGGAAGTTGTTAAACTGTAAAGGAGAGAAAATCGGCGTATGTATGAATATGAATATTTCTGTTTCAAGCGAAAAAGCCAAATACACCAGGCTCATGAAATATTGAGGAAGAAACTGTCATTAAAGAATTTAATCTGGAAAAGATGATATTAATAAGTACACATGTTCATGGTACCTGTACAGACAGTCTCAGAGGTAGTGAGTCTATCAGTCTCATGAAATAGGTTAGAATAAAACATAATTACTAATCAGACAGACAAACGTATTTATAGTGCGGTTTCATAGATTCTGACAGTCGATCAGCCAGAAAGAACTTAGTAAAGATGCACCAATATGTGCATGAAGTCTGTAATGTCGAGCCACAATATATTCTCATCGTTCACAAATTATTCCTTTCTCTGCTCTGACGCCCTGACACTCTCTAAGGGTCCTGTGTTCTGACTCTGTCTGTCATTTGAATGTTACTTAAAACATCTTGAATTATATCATGTTTGATCTTATTGTTGTTACGGTAGTTTCAGAGTGAAAAAGTAAGTGGATCAGTTTACCCCCAGCTGGTTCACTTTACCCCCTTGGTTTCTCAGGTCTGTCTCAGTTTACCCCTAATCTGGGACACAAGACCAGTTTTTTAAAAACAATCCTATTTCCTCTGCCCTTCGTCTTGAAGACATTCTGATCATTTCCAAGGAAACACCCTGAATTAAAGGGAAATGAGTGAGTTTTACTCATATATGGTTTTAGCTGTAAAATGTAAACATGTCTCACTTTACCCCACTCTCCCCTATACTGTAATTATCCCAATAAGTGCGCACTTAAAATTCAAGAGGTTGCGTGAAACTTCAAAAAACAACAATAAATAGATCAATAAAACGAAGAAACTGGGTAAAGACACACTAACGGACACATATAAATATATTAATATGAATAAACTTACTTTGTCCCCGAGCTGTCCACCGCCTGGATGAAGAAAAAACGGGCTGGAAGGACAGGGTCCGCCTCCAGTCCAGGTCCCCAGACCAAAGTTTTAACAGCACTGGGAACTGAACCTGTCTGAGATCCTTCAGGTCCGAGCAGGTCCAGAAACAAGTGCAGAAGCAGACACGGGAGGGGTCGGAAAGACAACATTGTCCAGAATCTGCAGTTTTCTGACCCTGAACTAACGTCAACAGGAGGAGGGGTTCAGGTCAACTGTCCGGGTCTGTCCGGACTCCTGAGCACCGACACAGTCATGGTAGAGGGTCTGTCTCTGTCTGGAGTTATTATTCTCTCATAGTTTCCCTAACTTTGAGTTATCTCATGAAGGTTCAGCAGCTACATCTTAGAAACTCCTCCGTGAAGACAGGCTGAGGAAACTTCTTCTTCAATGGAGTTTAATGACCAACTTAAATGAGCATTACCGCCACCTACTGGACTGGAGTGTGGAACAGGAAATTAATAATACTTGAAAAAAGGAAATGAGATCCTCTCCAGTATCCCTGTGTTCTTCAAATATGACATTAAATGCTTGAGCATAATTCCTGACTCTGCAGGTTCTCCATGTTCTGCTCCATCCTGGTTTCCTCCGCTGCTGCTGTCAGTGTCCTTCTTTCCTCCTCATATCCTCCACAATCCAACAACACATGCTGGACATTAGAGCCGCTTAATTATTAAGTAATTATCAGAGATCCATTTCTTAACAGTGACTCTGAGTCAATGCAGGAGTTGATCGACATACTATCCAGTGAACTCCCATCCAGTGCAGCTTTGACACTGAATAACTCAACATCTAAACTTTTCTGTAGTTATGTTTTTCATGGGATAATTTGCCGACTTCATTCTTGCCACAGTAATTAAGCAGCAGGTACGATTAGGCTCCATCGTAATTAAAATCAAACTGTGCAGCAACTTCAAACCTGCTTGGTGAGAGACTTTCCTTTGGCTGAATAAGTGGAGTAATATTGTCTGGTCATTTTCAACTGATGTTTGGCAATTTAGCACTTAAGACACACCTCAAATAAGAAAATTAAAACACAAACATACGGACGGACAGACAGACAGACAGATAGATAGATAGATAGATAGATAGATAGATAGATAGATAGATAGATAGATAGATAGATAGATAGATAGATAGATAGATAGATAGATAGATAGATACGGATGCTGAGGGCAAGTAAATCAATATTCTTGGCTGTTGTACATCAATCAGTGTTTATTTCAGCTTTGCATCAACATATTTTCAGCTCTTTTTTTGTTAGGTAAATTACATTACATTAGTATAATATCGATTAGAACAAAGAGTGAAAAAAATCCATTGATAGAAGACAAACTTTGCTGCCAATAGAAAGAAAACCAGAGAAGTGTTGTTGTAGTTGTTTTTTTTCTGGATACTACAGTGTGAAGAAATACAGAGTCCCGGTGATTTAGACAGAGCCAGAACAACAGATTTAGTACCAGGAGTAACAGGTACAACATATACTGAAAAGAAAACATCCCGAGTATTTCTGTATCTTTTGTTGTTGTTGTTGTTGTCTTTGCCTTTCACCCTTTTCCCATGATCAAACCACACGTTAAATAGAAAACTAAAAACATACAAACTCAAAAACTTACTAACAAAACACCCTGTTAGTAGAAGTCTGTTTTTTTTTTATTATTTTGGTACATTTTATTTTTTTTAGTTTGTGTTTTCCCTGCCACTGAAATCACTGCACTTAACACAAATGTTATTAACGGTACAGAAAAGGGAGCGATATCTCTGATCTTTTGCCATGCACAAGACACAACATTGAATCAAATCAACTGAAAGTCTTAAAGTGGTTCTAGTAGAGGATTGTGGGTGACATGGGTTTGGTGAAAGGTAATGGGATGAGATCTCATGAATAAAGGCGGATCTTTAACTGTGTGTGTATATATGTTGCTGTGCATAAGCTGTTTGGTAGTGATATAAATTAAGGTACAATGTTTGTATGTGTCATTGCTCATGTGCATGAAGACCCGGATGGATGAGATTAATCTTCAGTTTTACTTCTCAGATCAATTCAAAATACAGACAAATGCACAAGTACAAAAGATCATCCTCAGCACCAACTATCTGCCGGGGTCACATGGCAACCCACTGACATTTACAACACAATCACAATATGATACACAGCCATGAAACACTTGCTGTTTTCAACAAACAACAGCCACCGGGTACGAGGCAGTTACCATCAAAATAGGGTGACGAGAGGAAGTCAAAGTCATCAAGAACAATACTGAACCAAAAAGGAGAACATTCGCCTGAAGCCCAAATTTCTGCAAATGTTTCACACACCGACACGGTTTCTTCACTAACTCTCACTGAAAATGTGTTTTTTCTCCTCAACCTGGGCCGGGCTGCTCCCATCTTCTCCACTTTTACTGGACATGCAGACAGTGTGAACCCACATTATGTGTGATCATGAATAGAGGCCCGGTCAGGTCCGATGATCGAGGTGGAGAGCTGGGAGGGTGTCGCTCAGTTTTGATTGCTTGATTCTGATTGAGTGTTTTTCTGGTTAAACATTCGTTGCACTCTGTCTCTTATGAAACACCGAGAGAATATCAACACATGAAGGAGACAAACTCGGACCTGAAAAATGACCTCAGCTGCCAACTCCTATGTGCTCATCTGTTCAGATCATAAAGAAGACAAATGAGCTAAAGTGAACACTTTGTTGGTTCACAGCTGCAGGTGCATCGGTTTGTCTTCTTTGTATGGCACAAAAGTAGTACATGGGTTTGTTTTACATCCAATACAAGCACAACGTGTTCACACACACTTTCAACTCTTTCTGCATTTCCATATCCCCTTCAACAACCTGATCCATTGTCATCAAACTGCAGATGTAAAGTGACTCTTATTTAATCAGGGAAATCAGAGATTCGAGAAAAGTGTATTTACTACTCATCTGTGTTTGCACTGTGCAGCCCAGGAAAAATGGTAAAATCCAGTTTGTGGCATCAGCCAGAACATCGTTGTATCTTTATTCTAAGTGAGTGCAGAGAAAGTGTAATACATACGTGTGTTTTCTGTATATTGTGGCAAATAATTTTACTGAGACCAAGAAAAAAAACATAAATTAAAAAACAAACAAACAAAGGAACATGTTTTGGTTTAATAGCAACAAAGCTATACATTTCCTTTTTCATATATAGTTTTTGTCAAAATTTCAAAAAATATATACTTTTTTCATAGTCTCTGTTGTAAGCGTAAAGACGAAATCAAAGGTTTAAATTTGTATCAGTGTTGAAGTAGCATGCTGATTTTTAATACGGCAGTTGGCTATTTTTAATAGTCATCCACTTTTTTCATGCATTTCTTGTTTTTCTTTGCTTGAGACTATCTACACAGTGAGGTCCAGAAAACACACACGCACTCACGCACACACACGCACGCACGCACACACACAAAACACCTTTCAGCTGTTTCTAAAACCATCATCAGTCCTGTAATGACCATCATTTTTCTCCCTCTCTTATCACACCGTGTCATGGAACATATAACATGACAATAAACTTGCACAACCACTACAGCAAAGGGATCGTTCCACACACAGTCCAGGACTCGGTCACTCTTGAGTCTCTTTTTGAGGTGCTCTGATCCAAGAGTGAAAGTTGTGTAGTTTACCTCCCAGCAGCAGTCCAAAGGTCTGCCTCAGTCAACTGTCCTGCCTCTAGAACTGGTACCACTTCTTGTCCTTGCATTTTAGCATCAGCTGTGAGAGAAGGGGTCATACGCCAGTAAGAATTACCCGTCATTTTGATCACCGTGAAGTCTTGTTATGTGATACGATATAACAGAAACGGCATGAAAGCATTTGACATGTTTACATGATGGGAATCAAGCAGTTATTGTTTTCAGACATCATTAGTCCATTATTTAATTCTCTTCATCTGGGTTGTGACCAAACATTTGGACAATGAAATCTGATGCTGTCTTTACCTCATGAGCATGTTTGGAGAAGGACTCTGCACTGGTCATCATCAGGGCTGTTCGATCCTCCAGTTCCCCGAGCCTTTGGCCTCTTTCATCGAGAGCGATGCGGGCCCGAGCCAGCTCTCCCACCACTCCACCAGCTGCCACTTTCATGCCCTCCATCCCCGCCTGTCCTGGTATATGTTGGGCCAGACTCCGAGAGGCTTTTCCAGCTGCTGCCTCTCCAACTGTCGACGGTGTGAGGAGAGAAATGATGAGGAAAACGTTGTGAAACACTGAAACGATCGAAACTTGGACCATAACAATGCTGATGCATTTTTGTCTGTTACTGTTCATTTCCATCCATAGACCAGCACTTTCAAAGCTGGACTGATTAGTACAAAGGTTGGTTCAGTGACAAAGGTTGGTATTGATTTTGGAAAAGGTCTGGAGTGACATGATAGACTTTCTCTGAGTGGCAGCTGCGTCATAATTACAGCTGATGAAAATAACAACCCCTGATAAAGACGCTGGTGTCCTGATTCAGACTCATGTTCAGGATACTTCTTCTGTTTTACAGTATTGTGTTTAATATTATTTATTTTCAATATTCATTTTCCAATGTTTATAATTTATTTTCATGATTACCGACCTTTGCCACCTTGAGTGCTACCAACATCTGGTCTTGCTAATGGACTAGAAGAAACATGTCACCATAAGAGAAAGACTAAAAGGACATACAGAGCTCCTCTCTATCAAAGGTATGTGCATTTCCTCCAAAAAAGCCCTTGAGAAAGCCTCTGTTCTGGACTTCTGGAGTCTCGATCGGTGTAAATAGCTCTCCAAGCATCTCCTGAAATCAAAGAAAACAAAAGATAAAAAAGCTTAAGACTGATATTCTTAAGCTAGATGTCCTGCATATATTCATTGACCACTGTTAAGGGTTGGGATCTGGACTTTTTTCTGCTGGGTTTGGGTTTTTTCCCTTAATGACAGGAGCATCAGAACATAATGTGAGTATTGCAAACACACTTACATACACACTGTAAATCAGTAACTGTAGACACCTTAGTGATCAAACCACGGAGAACAGTTCAATGGTCTGAACCGAAACGTAAACTGACAAGAACGGTCTGAAGATGAACACCATACATGGATGAATATTATTAACACACAACCTGCAGACAGACAAAGCGACAGACAGCATGCACACACACCTGGAGGTTGTCACACATCTCCTGGCTGAATGTTATTCTCTGGATCTCTGTTGGGGAGCCCAGGTAAAGTGCCTGCCCCCCATTTGTAAAGCAAAAGGTTCGTGCAATGCGCATGTCGGTCAGCGGCAGATAACTGACATCCAGAAGTGGTCTTAGACTGGGCAAACTGTGGGCGGAGTAAAGACAAGTTAGAGACCTGAAATAATCAAACTGAAACCCAGAAAGTTGAACTTCAAATGTGTGTCATTCTTCAGGTTAAAGTTTCTGTGTGAAAAATCTAAAAAAGACAAAACTGTCTGAAATCTTCACACTCCCGTCTGTCCCGAAATAAAACACTTCAGTACATTTGATCTGTAAACCTGACGGTGAGATTAAGTGAACAAAGCTTAAATAAACCAGTCATAGAGATGTTTTTGTACGGTGGCCGGGAAGTGTCAGGCAATTTGCACATTAAGTCCTTTTAAGTGCAAGTTGGACATTTTATTGTTACCATGTGCAGCTAAAACCGTCAGGGTTAAGGAAGAAAAACAAACTTCAACTGAAAAAAACCTCATCAGACTGAAGAGTTTGGCACAGGTGTGTTTGAGGGGTTTACCTGAGTGTCATGATGTGTCCGTTAGCACAGAAACAGGCCAGGCAAACACTATTACACACAGATACCACATCAGCTCGCAGTACAAAGGACGACTCTGTGATGTTGTGGACGTAAAGGCAAGACTGCGAGGGCATTAGGAATACTTTGGCCTGCCTCTCAGAGCAAACCACGGCCAGGTGACCGTCTCCATAGGTCTCCTGGGAGGATGATGGGGAAAAGTGGATGAGCTTGCGCTTCCTGGGTCGGTCTGGGTCCTCGGCAGCGTTGGTGTCCCGCCAAACCTCATAGGGACTCTGAATGAGGGCGCCCATGCAGTCTAAGAAGCCAAAGCGTAATACTGAGCCTTTCAGCATCAGAACCGCACCTGAGAGGAAGTGTTAAAAGAGGGAAAAGGACAAGGCAGGGAAAATAAAAGTGTGTACTGAAGAGAAGAGTTTTCATACACCGATCAAAAACAGTGACTCTAAAATCAGGAGGTAGGCAGCTGTTTCACATGAACCAACTCTGTTCTCCAGCCAAGAACCACTTTAGCAGACAGACTTAAAGAGCTGAGGAAAGTAAAAGCAGAGGCTGACAGCAGGGAGACTCAAACAGAGTTTTCATATGGTCTCCGTCTACAAGTACATGACTGTAAATAGAATAGAATAGAATAGAAGAATAGAATATTCCTTTATTGATCCCCCATGGGAGAATTTTTTTTGTCACAGCAGCATCGCAGACAAAGAGTGCAAAAATGCAGTTATAAAAATAAAGAGCCTAATATTAAGAACTTAAATAAATGTAATAATTAAGAAAAAATTTAGAAAAAGGAAAAATAAAACTATCTATAATATACACACAAATGAGCTGCTGTTGCTTAAAAAAATAATTTCAGTATCTTCAAAAAGTCACACGTCTTTATCAAAAAGTCTTTTACAAAGAGGTTAAAGAGGATTCTCTTATTTTCTTTTGATGGACTGGCACTGATATGGTCATAGTTCCTGTTAACATCAGAGACCAATAACATGTCAGAGGCTGACTGGGTTATTGTGATGAAATAAAGTCTCATTAAACTCACCACTCGGGCCAAACGTCACAGGTTCCTCCATCCTCTCCTCCTGGTCAGTGGGAATGGACATCGGAATAAGCAGGACGATGCCGAGACTGGTGCCCACCCATAGACAGGGGCTTGTTAGAGCATCACTCTTGCGCCCGTAGGACTCTCCGAACTGCAGTGTGGTAATGGCCTCTTTAGTGTCACGGTCAATGCTGGACACGCTGGAACTGCGTGAACGGCTGAAAGAGTTTTCACGGCTCTCTGTAGCTGCAATGTCCAAACACGGACGCCCGATACAGGTGAAGAAAAAAGGAGAAAGGAGAGATGACATGAAACATAAAGAGGAAATAAAGGGAGAGAAGTGACAGAAGAAGGAAAGATGAATGAAAAAGACAGTAAAAAGAAATGGGCATTCAGGAAAGAGAGAGTGATAAAAAGCACAGAAGAAAAGTAAGATATGACAAGTCTGTAATTTTACAGATTAAAACATTTATATGTAACGACTACATGGAGAAAACGACTGAAAGGATGTGACACACTGAGATGATCCACAAAAGAGACAGTCCAGCAGAAACACTCTGTAGTTTAGTCCCTGTTTATTAAGAGTACTCTTGTCTATTCAGTGAGTGAACTCAGAGTGATGGACTCACACACAAACACACACAAACACACAGAAACACACACAAACACACACTCACTGGTGCAACTTTTCAAACTTCTTGAGTGTTACCTATTCAAGCTCCCCAGTGAGTCCTTAAAGCCCCTTTCATGAAGGTGTTTCTGTGTCTTCCTTAAGTTACCTAGAGTCAGGAAATGTGCAGTACTGCGTCCCCGGCCTGAACTTACAGAGTGCAGCACACCTGGACAGGTAAACAGCCCATTTGGGTCATTGCAGGCTGAAATTACACAGTTTTAAGGACATTTGTAGACCTGCACACATTTTCGTTTCTGTTGTTTATTGCTGTCATGGGGAATTCAGTGATATGTTCTCTGACTGCAAATCGCATCGTCATGATGATGTTTGGTAACCCTTTCTTTTACGGTACACTTATTACCAGGTAATTACCAGGTAATTAACAGGTAATTACCTAGTAACAACAGGGAATTATCTGGTAATTACATGATAACTACTAAGTCAATACTGTCTAGTTTTTCTTTGTTTCTTTTTTCTGTGCAGCTCCATTTTCAAAAGCTATTTGCGGTTCTTATTTTCTATGATTGACACTTGATACAGCCTATGGGCGTGCCAAGATTGTGTAGCGATACGCTGTTTGAGCCGAGCGTCATCACAGCGACTCACCTGTCGAATGCGTACAATGCTACTGCGCAAGTGGTGGTTCCAGGAAGTGGAGAAAATCCTGGAAATACCAGAGCAATTCAGCTTCAGATTTGTGTGATGATGGGAGGTTACCGACAGTATTGACTTAGTAGTTATCATGTAATTACCTGATAATTTCATGTTGTTACTAGGTAATAACCTGTTAAGAAGTGTACCGTAAAAGAAAGCGTTACCTGATGTTTTGCCCTGCTGTCGACATTTCTCATAACTTCTAATCACGTTGTAGACGAAACAGGAATATAGGACAGACTGACGCACTGACTGACTGACAGACGGACGGATGTGTAATATCAGAAAGACAGCAGTCGATGGGTCCGTGGCCTAAGCGCCCTTACCTCTCTCACTCCAGCAGTAGGGGGTGGTGGTGTGATGTTCGTCATGGGAGTACATTGTGACTCCATGTAACTGCTGAAGCATTGCCCTCCTGGATGCATAGCCTACTCATACCCCACAACATGAACCCCATTTGAGAGACCACACCCCACCATCGCCCAAAGAAACACACACATGAATGAAGCCGACCAGCAAACACAGACGAGACGTACAGATGAACAGAAGAACCGGTGAAAAAAGAGAGGGAAGAGAGAAATATATGTCTGAGTGTGAAGAGGAAGTTTTTAAATATAAAAGGGGCAGAAAAAAGGAATAAAACTGAAAGAAAAAGCATCAGATTTCACCTTACCCAGCTGACCATGTCAATATATCTCAACAAACACCTCCGTTTGGACAGTTTCTGTGTGATGTGACATGAAAACTTTGATGGTTCTTGCTTTTGATTGTTGCAAGTGCACAAAGAAACCTGAACATCGAGTGACACGAGGACCCGTTCCATTACTGAGATAAATGCTGCTCTGAGGTGCGACAGGAGTCGAGGCTGAGGAGTCTTTTGTGAGGTAGCAGCAGTTGCTCGGGTGTGTTTGTGCCGTGTAAGAGGGCCTGTGGGGTGCTGGCTAATGAAAGTCAGGCACAGTGGTTCTCTGACAGGACACAGGGACCCCTGTCGGGCCCTTAGAGAGAGCTAAGGGCAGGCCAAGAACTGTAAGGTAGGAGATAAGGGGGGAACACAATCTGAGCGGAGTGCTGCTGTATATGCACAGATTATACTGCTTTCTTTGGATTTAATAATATACTTAATGTGGAATAAAACATATGATCTGGATCAATATCTGAACAGTAAGTTGCTGCCAAACTGGGAACGAGAGCTTCAGGTTCATGTTACTGTAAAGTATCCGTGCTATCACAGCTCCTTTTAGGTGTCAGTTAGTAACACAGGAAACTCTGTTAAATCTTATTGTTAGTTTTTAATTTTTTTTGCAAATGAAAATGATCTTTCGCAAAAACAACTCCTGTCTCTACACTTGTAAACTAAATTAAAACAACACACGCCGTCCTACAGATTCTTCTGTGCCGAGTCTCTGCAGCCCCCTCCCTCACCTCTTTAACATTTACTGGTGTGCTGCAAAACAAAGATGGGAGGTAGAAAAATGTTGATTGTGCATAAAGTCTGGCTTCCCCTGCCATTTCCCTCCCCTGACTCCTTTCCTGGCATGCAGACCTCATTAACGTTTGCCCCATCTCTCTCACTGCTTGTTGACCTTTAATTATTCCAGTGATCCTGCTGGCTTTTCACTGTGGTAACCCAGTAGAAATGATAAACAAAAGTGCCATGAGTATGCTCTTGGAATGCATACAGTTTTTAAGGGTAAGAAGACAGTTAGCAGACGACCATGAACTTCATAAAACTAACTTTATGAGCCAAATTGAGATTTTGGTCAGAGGGTGGTGGGTCCAGATCTAAAGAAACTCTGACATTAAATATGAATTATTATATGAAACACACACCTTGATTTTGCATACCTCACACACCTCTGTATAGAGGTCTTTCTGTATAGAAATACTTAATCTGAATATCTGAAACAGTCTGACTTTCAGCAACAACTTCACTTCCTTTTCTTCTTACAGCCCGGCGTATGAAAGTATCAAAGCCTTACTGACGGTTCAGAGCTCACGCCTCTGTTCATTGGAATATAACTCAAGGACTCTGTATGTTAGTTTCATGAAGCTTCTATAAATGTATGGAGAATTTTGTCGATGATGCAGCTGCAGCCCCGGCAGAGGCTTCAATAAAATATTAAGCTTATGCTACCGTAAACCTGCCTCTCCCTCGCTGCAGGACACTGCATAACAGGGGTAATAGAGATGGCAGCATGAATCTAATGGCAGAGTTAGTGTAAAAGGTCACTGGTGACACAACAGCAACACTGCACATTTCATGTTTAATATTTAGTGTTGATAAACTGCATTGGTGCTATAAATCTGCCTGAAGTATAAAAATGTTAAAGACATTTATAACTTCATGCCACAGATACAAAGACAACAAGGTCTTTCTTTAAACCACAAAGACCATCTACAATCGTGTGTTGCTGTTGTGTGAGTGCATGCAGGGGTGAGGCAGATACAGAGCTGACCTTCCATAAAGACAGCCGCCTGCCGTGTCTTCACAAAGCATGAGTGATGGCACTCCACACAAACATGTTATGATGTTAAAAAAGCTATTTTATCCGCCCATGTTAGTACACGGACCAAAGATCCATTTATGTCTGCTCTGTGTTTTACAGGTTTGTGATGCATCAGCACTTTTTGAAGGCGGTACAGTGCTGACAGAGAACCAAGTCCATCATGTGGAGGAAGTGGTGTCTGTAACTTGATCAGCCAGGAAACTACAGTGATTCACATTTTTAACAAACTGTATTTCAAATTAGAGTCTCAGGCTAACTGAACTGTCTTTTGCCTTTTAGGGTGATTGTACATCGAGGACCCGAGCCAGTGTCGAGGACAACGGCACATTTGATCAACATGAACACCAATGTTCTGGACTTGGAGCATTTAATGAGGTGTTCTCAAGAATGGTTCCTGCAAACTTGAGTCCGGTCCACAGGAGATATAAACACAAGGAAGTGAGCTGCTAAATAATGTCACAACGTCTTCACTCACGTACATGATGTTTAAGCTGTGTCCACCCATTTTATCCCCTGAGCTCCTGGGGAGGTATGAGGGGCCGTCAGGGATAATATTCAGGGTTACCATTCACACACACACATGTGAAACAAAACCTACACACACACTATAGTAAGAACCTCACACACTTACAGGTGAAATGTTTTCACATACACAACTGAAACCCTCCCACATACACTAATGAAATGTGTTTCAGTGGTGTATATGAAAACATTTACTTGTAAGCGTGGGGAGTTTATATGAATAGGTGTGTGAATAGGTTATATTTCATATGTGTGTGTGAATAGTAATCCTGAATAATGTCCCTGACGGCCCCTCATAGAAAGGCCCCCACTGTTGTCTCTATCATAATAAAATCATCGACAGCAGCAGGACACACTCACTTGTCCAGATGACAGAGTGCTCTAGCACAGTGGGTATACAATTTCACCAAAGTAAAACCGCCCATAAAAATACATTTTATCGGGCAGCAGATGGCCAAACAGTTGATTTTTTTTTCTTTTTTGTTCTTTTAAAAACAGAAATCTTCATACTAAGCATTTGCAGCCTGATGCATCTTCCTCCAAAACCTTCAAACTGCTTTAAAATTATTCAGGGAGACAAGCTCCCAATGACTGTATGCACGCAAACACGAACATGCACGGAGCCTGTAGGGTATAATCCACTCCCAAAAGAAAGTGTGTCTTTTCAAAGAGCTTAAATGAATAAAAAATATCTTTTAATTGTCAGAGAGTCCCTCTGATAGAGTGTTTTGATAAAGACAAAAACAAAATTTCCCTTCGGAGATTAAAAAAAGTGCTTCTTATTCTCCTTATTCTTATTCTTATTCTTATTCACCCCCAGGCAGACACATGTTCACAGTGGTCCCAGCCAGGAGTCAGCAAAGTTTTATCTGCAAAGCTTACATTTTTACCTTCATGACAAATATATTTTCTGCTTCATCATGAAAATCTAAGCTGCAGTGTTCGGTTACGCCTGCTGGGTTTGTTTTGGTGAAGGGATTCAGGAAACCTTTGTTTCTGAGTTGCCCAGGCCGAACAACTGCAGCATGCAAGCAGGCGATTTCCTGTCAAATTACGGCAGCATGCACCTGTCCATGTTGTTAACCGAGTTTAAGGTCTTGTCCACACGTAAGCGGTACTTCAAGAAACAAAGCTTGTCTGAGTGTTGTGGCCTTTTTAAAGTTTTGGTCATAGATTTATTTTCAGAAACACCTTTCATGGTGGAGATCAGGTATTTGTTTACAGGGCTTCATCATATTATTGTAAGAGCTAATGAGAATAGTTTTAATTCTCTGACAGACTGATTACACATCACTTAAGGTCTGGCATGTTTGCAGGAGGACAACCTCTGTTTTCAAAAACACCATCTAAGTGTGGACAAGGCCTCGAGCTTCAATTAGTTCACTAACCCCAAAAGTATGTCAAGATGGCATGCACTGAAGGAGAGGTGTCGTACTATCTAAGAGATCCAGGAATGGGAGGTGGGAGGTCAAGCACACACCTTCAGTGTGGGACACAGGCAAAGAGATCTCCATGCAAGCAGCGGACTGGGCCTTGCGGAAGGGTGGCCGGCCAGGGCCTCTGCGGGTAAGCCGTGGCCACTCAGGACCCATTGGTACTCGAGGCTTTCCCGCCAAGCAGGGCTGGGTGATGGGGTTAGTGTAATGTCCATTGATATGATCTGTAACAATGGTAAAGCATTAACCAACAATTCAAATTCAGAGGGAACAAATCTGTCAAACATTCACATCCATCCTCCAAAGTCATGTAGTTGAAGTCTAAGCAAGAACAGATCCGTCATTACTTCTTAGATAACTCAAGGTCACAGTGAATTTTCCTGCATTACTTGAGGTTTTGCCATTCCTTTAAAAGACTCAATTCCAATGTAGTTTCTTCACTAGAATACTAGCTTAGACTTACTGCATGACCTATTAAGATGGATATAGATGCAGTGTAATTGGAGCAAGCTGATGTTCAAAGTCAGACTGTCAACAAAGGAGATGATGACGAGGGAAAAGGGACAGTGTGAGTGATGGAGGGCTGGAGAGTGATGGAAGGTACAGACTGGGAGGCTGGGAAAGAGATGCTGAAAAGAAGGGAAATGCAGAGACACATAATGAGTGCAGTTACATTCGGTCTGTGCCAAAACAAATAGGACTGTGAGGGTTCGCCACAAGAGATAGTCGGGCACCAGACCAATGCAACAGGAGGCACCAGTTACTTTCAGAAATGAAGCCATCCACGAGGGACGAGTTTTCCAAAGTTTCATCTTTACCTTAACTTCCTGTGAAATCAACATGGGTGTCAGTGTTTTTCTCCTGAGTGAATGTCACCTGTATACCAGGACATTGGCACCAAAACTGATAGGCATACCTGACTTTGCACAGATCTCTGTACAAACCCAAATTCCAATGAAGTTGGGATGTTGTTTAAAACATGATTAAAAATAGAAAACTATGATTTTCAAATCCTTGTAGGTTCTATTAAATACTCTACAAAACTCTACTCAAGAGAAGAGCTTCTTTCATTGAGGAAAAGAAAATCTGGACAACAACATACAACTCCAGAGGACATCAGGAGGTGTTATCGTGGTCAGCGAAGCTGAATGCTAGAGGGTGGCGATATTAACCCTTTCTTTCATCAATCATCACAGGAAACGTCAACTCTCTGCTTAACAAAAGTGGCTGAGAAAGCGTACTGTGAGAGCAGTCTCCTGTGATTTACTGAAACCTGGTTGAATTAAAACAACTCGGACTCCGGAGTGGATCTACCTAAGAACTCTGCGATATGTCCAAACAAGATGACTGTACCACGGAAAATAAAGGGTTTTATCTCTAGGGACAGTCCCTAAAAGTACATTAAAGCAATCACACACACACACACACACACACACACACACACACACACACACACTCGTCAGAGAAATACACTTTTTTGTCAAATGTTTTGTTGTCGCTGCCATCAGCTGTAAAAGGTGAAGGTTTTGGCCGCTAACAAACACACCTCCTTTATCACGACAACACGCCCCCTGCTGACACTTCAGGCTCTGTGACATTGGTTTGATTTGTGGTCTTCTCTTAAATGTGACGTTTTAGTGCCCTAAATTCTGTTGTTCATCTAATGAAGGTCTTAGAGAACAAAGGTGTTCTTCATATTATAATCCGAGAAAATACAGTCACAAAAACAGGCAGTGAGGGAAACACGATGTTATATACGAGAAGTCTTGGAAGAGAAAGTATGCGTGACGATGGAAGCAGAGCTGAGAAAAACCCCAGTTTGGAAAGTGTGCGCAGGTATTGTGAGGAGAATGGGGAAAGGCTTTATTATGTAATGTAGGTCCAGTTAAAGTGAGAAAATGGAGGCAGACAGTTGGAGACAGAATGATCTGGAAAACATCTGGAGAGGAACGAGTTCCACTAACCAGAGAAAGGTTTCTGATGAAGGAAAGCTTCAGTTAGATCAGAGCATGGTCTAATTATGATAAAGCAAGAGGAGGCTCAAATTTAAATATGGGCATGAGTTTGAAATCACTGTTAAACACTTGCAAAATGTAGAAGAAATGAAAACAGGATTAAAGAGAAATACAATATGGGGGAAAACAGACAAAATAGGCGGACAGCCTCATGGGCTAGAACAAGAAAAGAGAGAGTGAAAAGTCAACTGAAAAAGAAAGTCTGAGTAGAATTAAAACAACTGAAATAACATAAAGCCCAATAAACATATTAAAGCGCAAACTAAATGAGTCAGAGGAAATCAAGAGAGAACTGCTGGCTTTCGCCTACCGTACCAAGATCAGTCTTAAGATCTGTTGGCAGACTTAACTTTCTGCCAGGTCCCTTTACTGAAACAAAAGAAAAGGAAACAAATCACCGGTTAATCCCTTCAGAAATCATAAATAATGAATTTTAGAAAGAAAAAAAGAGTCAAACAATAACAAACCAAGGTGCAACTAAATAAACTATTAATACATAAAAGCCCAGATGAAAATCACCAAAATAAAGAACCAGAACATGCAAGTTGGTACAACTGCACATAACAGGCATACTTCTAAACGCATGCTTCTTTGTTTACTAAATGAGATCCAATAATGTCAAAACGGCACCAGTGTGAAAACTTGTCCAGCTGGTATTAAAAGCTCTGCTAGAATATCTTACACTTGAAAATGATTGTCATGTTGGGCTACAAGACAAGAACGTCAAGTATGAGATACTTTTGATTTCATACTTGAGTCCAACACTGAACACATTTCAGAAATATAAGCTGAGAAAAACGTCTTTGTCCTTAAAAATGTCCCGATGAAATCAAAAATCCTAGAACCGGGATGATTTAGGTGGAAGCACAGATAAACAGGGAGACACCACAGGGTGTAAATACACAAGTAGACATGAAGTACAATAAAAGGGATAAAAAACAAAAGGCCAAAAACAACATTTTGCAAGCATTTTGCATCAAGAACAAAACTGCCGAGGTCAAGCTGGAGATGTAATATGACATGTCTCATTGTTTCTTTGTGTGGTACTGTTGAAATGAGAAAGTCACATGACTTTAACATCATCTTTAATTCATGACCAAAAGTCCAAAACTAGGATTATAACTGTCCACTTCATTTGTGTCTGATCGATCAATATAACCTTTGAAAATAAAGGTGAACTAACAACTGAAAGAGTTTTGTAGATGAACTTCAGTTTATGTGTGGTGAGATTATAAAGATACGGTTTCCTCACAGATGTTCCTCATCTGCTCTTTATAACATTATTCTCACAGTTAAATGAAGGTTGGCTTCATCTGTGGGAATTAACACTGAGAGTGTGTAAACTGAGACTTGCTTTGACCCTCAAAAGAACTGTAAGACTTTGTTAACCAGTAACACCGGTTATCTCATGTGTTATTAGTCATCTCCTCTTATCCGTGGCTCGGCTCTTCTTGGTGTGAGTCGAAGAATTTATCTGCCGGCTACAGAAATACTGAAACCCGGGGGGGGGCAGACTTCATATGCAGCACTTGAAATGACTTTTCTGTGGGCAGTACTTAAAGCTTAACGTTAACATCAGTTGACAAACATGTTTGTTTTTATCAAAATCAAGGATAATGTCTTTTATTCTCTTAGTTATCCATTTTAGAATACTTTCAATTTTTTTTGATTTAATACGACACGTTTGACAGATGTCTGTGTCAGTCATGGAAAAGTGATTTTATTTATCAGGTTATCTAAAATGAGTATTACTAATCCAGGTTTCTCCTCTGGGGATAATGAATGTCTATCAGTCCTCCTGCTCCTGAAGTGAGTTTTGCACGTACAGTCGTAGCTCTGCTGTTTATTTTTGCCTTGCAGCTCAGGTTGAGACAAGTTTGTGCAATCACATGACTGTGTTGAGGTCAATGCAGTTAATGCTGGACAAATTCAGTCCGTGACACCGGTCAACGTACAAAAGCAAGCTCAAGTCATAAATATCGACACTGCAGCAAACCACACAGTGTGCACCATGCAGTTAGTCAGAGGTCAGACACTGATGTGTGTCAACCATCACGCTATGATTGATGATTGACACACAGTAAAACGGGCACAGCAAGACATCGGTGCTGAGGTCTGGTAAAGTAGCAGGATGCCTTTAAAGGTGCCCAAAGCTAAAGGTCACAGAGGCAGAGACAAGCTAAGACGAGATGTCCAGCCAGAGGACGGTAACCCCTTTATCATCCAGAGGAGGGATGAAGTTCAGAGCTCACTTTGGCACATGCTGTAAAACAAACACACTCAGTACGTTTACATGACACTCCAGAAAATTATCGCCTTACTCCGATTAAGACCAGACAACTGACAGCAAACAGACTCCGTAACCGCGGAACAAAAACACCAGAGAAGAAGAGGCGCCATCATTTAAAGAACTTTCCACTCAGAACTGGAACATGGCTGAAACATGAAAGAACGTCCACTTTTGGAATGACGAGGAGAGCGCCGTTACGCTTTCTGTCCTCACAGAAACGGACATTTTAAAGTATATGGACGATTGCAAAGTGAGGAACAGAGACATCTTTAAAAAGGTCCGGAACCAGCACTGCTGAAAAGACCCATATCGCCCCCTAGTTTTGGGGAGGAGGACACATTTACGTCAATAATGTGATTTTCTCAGCTGCATGTAAACGAGGACAAGGAGGGAAGTCCGATTCGGCAAAAAAATATATAAATATATAAATATATGAGCTTAGTCCGATTAAACTGCATGTAAACGCACTGAATGTCTAACAACCCCACAGCCTGAGCAGAGATATAACAAAGACATGGAGCCTCTCCTAAAACTTTACTAATCAAACATTATGTTTGATCATAATATGTTTCATAATTCATCATTAGATACATGTTATTTTTTTATTGTCACATAATTCCTTCTATTCCTCCCATTTTAATGTCTCAGACCAACACGTTGATATCTTTAGTCAGATATCGTGGCTGCACAAGTGCCATGACATGTTAGGAGAAGAGACGAGGTGTGTACTCATTGGTAAAGTAAATTTGAAGGAATGCACAAAAACACACGTGAATCATCCTTCCTCACTCAACAGGCTGTTTGTCTTACCTATGTAGGTCTTACATTAACCCATGTGCATTAACAACTACATAAGCAGAGGGAGGGACAGAGTGGGACTGCGGTGTCTCTCACTTCACCTCCTTAAGAAGCTCCCAGAAGGAAGGACAGAGCTGGGTAGCATTGTCCTACCTGCACTACCAGCCCACCCAAACCTGGAAGAAGCCCAGCTGAGAGTAATCCGTCATTAGAGGCTGTTTTTAGTAAGAAGGAGAGAGATGACAGCGGAGTGGGCAGGAGAGCAGGAGACTGTGATCTGCTACTTACCTGCTCCCTCTTCTCTAAGTCCTTCTGTCGGAGGATCACAGCCTAACCTACTGAGACGGCCTCAAGTCAGAGGGAATTTAACATGTTTCCTCCTCTTTTCCCATGAAACTTAATAAAACCTCGTGTCCTTTAGTACACAAACTCTGAGGTCCTGTGTGGTTCCTCCTCCAGTGTTACCAAAACACTCAGGACAAGAGGGAGAAGACATGTCCCCAAGAATCAAAAGTCCCTCCATATAAAAACCATATCAGGGTTTTACTCAGCAAACCACACCTCTATCTATACTCGGTATTTCCCATAATAGATCAAGTTCACAGATGCAAACATGAACAGTTTTGACACGGGGTCAATAAATGTCTGTTTTGTTTGCATCTGTGCAGCTTTTGGTAAAAATGTGAAGCCAAAAAAAGTTTAAACTTATTTCTTGTAAAAAATCATTTCACTGAACTGTATATGAACCAAATACATCTGACAAGTCAAGAAGAACATCCCCCTTCAGGACAGTACAGGTATGGACGTTATTAATGAATCATCTCTGATTCAGGAAACTCGGTCAGTTTTCTTTAACTTTGGAAGATTTTCACTTATTCTTTATTTGTATGTCAAGATCATCTGTCTGCACTTGTCTGATGAACATGGATTATATTCAGTTTAATGAGATACTATATTTGATTAGGAATAAGACTTAAACACTTTCTTAGTTATGGGTTTCTGCAGTGTGAACTTCCTATGTACATGGTAGAGTTATGTTCTCTTCACCAAACTTGGGGGAACAAGGAAGCCGAGTGTTTTCACTACAATCAAAACCAGCCATCTATAGCCAACGTCTCCCACAGGGACGCTGTATCTGAGTCATTCGTCACAGACCTCGTTTTCATGAAGCTCTAAAAAGGTATTTTTGTCTGCTTGTTGTTTTATCGTTAGTGTTGCCCAAAGTGCAGAAGCCGAGATATCATGCAGGTGCAACATGAAACCAATTCTCTGTTCGGATGTTTTCTTACATCGCTGCAATACAGTCAAACAGCACAAGCAGATGTTCACCACAAGGCTGAAGTTTGCGAGCCCTCTTACCATTGTCCAGTAAGTAAAAGACTGGACTGCAGTGGCTGGCTCTCAGACTGGCCACAGGCTCAGGCAGGACACGTGGGTCATTGTGAAGGGAGGTTGGGTAATGAACTGGAATAGGAGATCCAACAGAACAAACACAGACTCTTCAGGGCAACAGGTGAGAGAGGCAAAACACACAGTGGGTGAGCTGGGGAAAGATATACTGACAGATCAGGAGGAAAACAATGAAGAGGTTATTAAAATAATCTGTTGAAGAAGAAGGTCAAGGACACGCCACTTCATATTCATCTACCACTTCAGAAACAGCAGTTATACTCACAGAGCTGATCGCCTGATCTTCCACCAACACCAAAGTTATCAGTGTTTTTTTTATTCAAAGCCAATTTCTAATGAAAGTTTGAATCTATAATCTATCAGCGAGTTTAATTCAGCCCATTATTTTTAAAGTTTTGCAGTTTCAGTCCTCTCCTCCTCCTCCTCCTCCTTCTCCTCCTCCTCCTCTCCCCTGTCATGGTTTTTGCTAAAGATAACATGATAGGTCAGACACAGACTACCTGCACCTTGTTAGCCCGTCTCTTCTCTGCTTCTGTTAAAGTAGTCTTGGTGAAAACTAAACACACAATCTGAAAACAAAACAACAAACTTCTATTCATAAAACAAAGAAGACAAAGGGAGGAATGTCGAGGTTTAGCTGTTAGTGAGAAAAATGAAGACAAGAGAGGAGAGGTGCGAGAGACACCTGGGTTATTGGCGCTCAGGGTTAATCAGGATGGCGGCTGCCTGCCAAGCTGTCTTCAGTCTGTATTTGGCCTTCAAGCAAACAAAAGAGCCGCTTTGACAGGACAGCTGAACACTCTCTAACGGCTATAGAGTGATAAAAACAGAGAAATACAACAGAGACAGCTCATCCGTCTATTCTTGGTTTCCAGCCACAGACATAAATGCAAAACGTACCGTTCAGATTCAGTTTTTAAGAGTAAAGGTCCTTTCACACCGGGCGAGAATTCGCCAAGCGAATTATTCGCCTTTTTTTAAAACAGCATAAAGTCAATGCAAGCTTCCACACCGGCGGCGATTTCTCCGCGGGGCGAAAAGCCGCTTTTATTTTTTCGCTCCTGTGTCGAATTTTTCGGATATTCGCGGGCGAATATCTGGACCTGCTAGACCTCTGGCCAATCAAAAGTCATGTTGTTGATGACGTCACAGACCCATACGGCTGGAGGAGAGGGAGAAGTTTGAGATTATGAAAACGCAGAGAAAGACAGTTGAGGTGCATCCAAAACTCTTTCTAATTACAAATGAAGTAGTTTTCTCACAAGATGATACTCTCATGTCTTCCTTAGGAGACAGATGTCATGTGTCATGTCCGTGCCGCAAAGCGACTTTATTAATTCGCTTTGCAAAAAATATACGCATATTCGCTTCGCGGCCGGTGTGTATAGGCGAAAGCGATTTTTCGGACCGGCGAATATTCGCAATTTTCGTCTCGCTATTTCGCTTCGCTCCGCAAATTCGCCGGTGTGTAAGGACCTTTACACTTTTTATTGTGATAGCGGGCAGTCACTCTGTTTCATTACAGCTCACACTGGAGTACACTGTCATGCTGTGGGCATGTTTTCATCCAGCTCACACCTCCTGGCAGGCTTGTAATGGAACATGATGACCATGACCTGATTCACAGACCAAGAGTCAAAGACGTCTCTGATAAGACAGCAAGAAAATCCTGTTCTCGTCCTGTTTGATGCTCTCAAAGAGGCTCAAATATAAGGTGGACAAAAAACACGGTACATGTTCACCCCAAGGTGGAATCCTGAACAAGAGCATCGTCTGTCAGTGGGCGTTCAATCGCTGTTTGTATCAGAGGAGAATCACCGCATTAAAAACTCTCTCAGGTCAAGTATCCTGATAACAAAGAGAAACTTTTTCCCCTCATTGTTCGAAGGAAACAGTCAATTCTGAGCAACTGAATCTGTTTTCAAGGACAGGAACACGTCGAGAACAACTACCTGTTATTTTTTTAATGTTATATAAAAGCATCTGTTTGGTGTGTGACATACCATTTGTAAATCTAACTGTTTGATAACACACACAGAGCCTTGACAAAACAACGAATCCTCTTCCCAGTGCCTCGAGCGGAAAACTACACGCTGAAACATCCACCAAACCTGACCTTTGAGCTCTGAATTTGCTGAAATCTCAAACAACCACAGATCCCAGTGTGTTTTAAAAGTCTCATTACCTTTTGTGCCGTTTCACTCATTACCTCGACTTTTTCTGCTATCCTCAGATCTGTAACGGTCTCCATCCATCTCTGTTCTCCTTTAAAACTGCAGATTCTGACCGTCCGAGCATCAGTTCTAGTTTCACCATCTCAGCTCTTCAGAGATAAATCACAAATCAATAAGATTTGAACCTGAAAAAAATAAAATGGTACCTGAAAGTCTTGAATTTCGAAATTGAACTTTGAAAAATCCCAGAATGCATGAAAAAAATCTGTTCAAATGTAACTTTGATTCTGTTTTTTAATACTTTTGAATAAATTACTTATTTCTATTTTTCACTTCAATGTATATTTCGATCTTTGAGTACTTTTTTTTTTTCAATTGAATTTTATTTATTTATTTCAGATTCAGATCTTATTTTTACGGATTCAAAACTTTTTTTTTCGGTTTCAGATTTTTTTTTTTCAGATTCAACTTGAAAAGTTTCAGGTTCACTTTTGACCCTGTTTTTCCGTGAGAGGGGCGCGGTCTGCCATGAGTGACAGGCCTCCCCCTCCTTCCCAACCCCATCACCCTGCGTTCAGGAAGTGGCATGAATACATGCATGAAATTTATTCAAAAGTATTAAAAAACAGAATCAAAGTTACATTTGAACAGATTTTTTTCATGCATTCTGGGATTTTTCAAAGTTCAATTTCGAAATTCAAGACTTTCAGGTACCATTTTATTTTTTTCAGGTTCAAATCTTATTTTTTCACTTCACTTTTTATTTTTTCACTTACACTACTTTTCAATACTTTTGAGCCTGATCTGGCTCCATAGAAATATACTCTCTGTAAATATAAAGGAAGTATGAAAATGTCGAATATATGGACTTTCCTCTGACTTACAACATTCACAGAACCGTGGACTGAGCAGCAGGACAGAAGTAGTTTGTCCACATCCTTTCACTGGACATTTCTTATTCAACTACTGACTTTGTCATCAGATGAGGATACACTGCTAATGGGTGAGGTGTCCATGAGGCTGCATACAGAAGCTTGCATTAAAATACAACAGCATACGACAGCAAGGCTTCACAGTGCAGACTTCCACACAGATTTACATGTAGAGGAGATCATTTGCTCAGTGTGTTCATTTGTGTGTGACAGCAGGTTACCTGACGTGGGTGACTTGCTTCTCTCCATGTCGAAGGACTGCTGGTTGTCGGGAAGTTCAGTAAGGCCTGTTGCAGCATAATGCAGCCAAGAGGAAGAAAGAAAAAACAGGATTCAAAAACTTTGTCATGACTTTTTTCTTTACCAGATTATGAGAAAAATCAGCTGACATGAACCGTGATGAACCCCGACAGAGATTATCTACGTCATTCCTAACTTGTCTTCTAGGTTCCCAGTTATGTTGCTCTGAATCTTCTCAGGATCAGAGCGGATGATTCCTGATTCCTGCACTACAATCTTTTATGAGACATCAAATGTAGAACAATAATAATTTCAGACAAATTATAGTAATTATTGAGTGGTGCAAATCTACGATGTGGGGTGAGATACAGTCAGAATAAACACAGATATTTGATCAATGAACTCAAGCAAACGATCATGCACCAAGCACAGGCTGAACAGAAGAACCTGACCTTCTCCCTCCTTCAAATATACACTAACGTACCTGCTTTAGTTTAAGTATAAATGTACTGACTTTTTGAGTTATTGAAAACATCTCATACATGTTCATGTAAAATGAAAAATGAGACTGTAGCCTTGGATTTAGTGCATATGATTTGTTGTGCTTTGCTCAGCGGATGATTAAGGTTTTATTCAACCCACTGACTTTGCTTCTGTTAAAATATACATTACATGGATCATTCATTATGTATGACTGCCCTTACCAACAGGCTCAAAGGAGTGGCTCTCTGCTTGCAAAGGACATGCTGTGGGAAACGAGGGGAAGGTGACTGTTCTGTGACACGAAATATCCAAATTTATTCTTATCATCTCTGCAGTGTGTCTCTTTGCTTTCTGTCCACATCATCCATTCCCAGTCTCTTTGGCAACCATCTCTTTCAACTCTGTTATTTCACCAAAACACCCCCACCACCCACCCACCCACTCACCCCTTTAGAAGGACCCAACTTACTCTGATAGGATGTAGGGATCCTTTTCTTTGAATCTGAATAAAAGTTAGACAGGCCGCGCATGCAAAACTCTGTCAGGCAGGCCCACATGCCCACATCAGCAGCCACAGTCACAAGAAAGGAGGGAGGAGGAGGAGGAGGGAAAAAAGAAGTACATATTCAGATTTAGAGCATGGGCAGGTGATGGAGGGAGGGGAGGGAAGGGGAGGAAAAGGGAGAAATGAAGAGAAACGGGGGGAGAGAGAAGAACACAGGCTTTGAGTGAAGAGGAACGTGAGAGCAGCAGCATCTTTAAAACCGCTGCTGTCACCTGACATTAGAGAGGTCACTGACTTTATTAGTGGGAATTATATTACTGTATGAAAGTGTTGTTTTGGATTTCACTGTCACTGCAAACTGCTTCATTTTCAGGCTGGTACAAATAATCACAGTTCACCAGCTCTTCGGTAACTGAATGACATAAATATAATATTTCCATCATAATCTACATGTGGTGAAGACAGCTAAAACTGCTGAAGGAAGAACGAAGAGCTATAACTTTAATAAAATAACATTTGACACAGAGGGAAATGGACAGCTGCCTGAACTTTAGACTTGGTTAAAGACTTAGACTTAGTTTAGACTTAGTTTTAGCGTGTGACGTGTGTACGCTTCAAATGATGTCTTAGTTCAGTATCAAACACAAACACCAGAGGTACAATAATAAACCAGAGTTTCCCAGTTTTTGTTAAATCCTCTTAAAAATTACATAATAATAGAATGTTAATTTTATAACTATATAAATAACTTGACAAAGGTCGAGTAAAGGCAACAGCCAGTGAAAAAACATCATTCTTAAAACTTTGAAATCATCACTCGGGTGATCTGATCCTAAATTCAGCTCCACCTGTGGAGTTATATCACCAAAGACCTTAATACTTCAAATTTCTTCATATGACACGAGACATTGAAATATTTCACCAAGTTTAGGGTGAAGTGAGGAGGGTGTGTCTCGTTCTCTAAGAGTTTGTTAGTGGAGGTCATGTGACGCTCAGACAGAAGAAGTTCGAGCAGGACCAGAAACAGACAGAACAGAGACTGTAAATGGCAACATACATAAAAAAGCAAACAGAGACACGGCACACTGTTAACATGCACTTCATACCATGGTGCAGGTGTGCAACAGTCATACAGTGTGGGTGGATGTTCATTCATGTAATTAGTTCAGGGAGAAAAGAGAACATGGTCGCTGCTCCAACAATCACCAACCGTTTCATTTGGACTCAACTTTCTACAAACAGCTTCAGTGTACACACACACACACACACACACACACACACACACACACACACACACACACACACACGTTTTTTGTTTTGAACAAACTTCTCAGTCTAAGGTTTTTGAAGGTACGGCACATGTGTGTGTGACACTAAAGCCCAGCCCCAAACTCTAACAGGGTGTATGTAGGTGAGGAGGGGGGGGGGGTACTGCTGTCTAAATACACACCTGCTGTGTGTAAAAGCAGAACAATATCTGAACTCTTGGGACCATCTTACTTTCTTTAGAGTGTGCACTAAGCAGACAGTCTGTCCCAAGCTCTCAAGGCTTCAGTCCGGGTTTTTGTTGGTCTCAAATGCACTCAGACACTTACCTTGGCACCTAACCGCACCTCAAGTCTAGATACTCATTTGCTTTTTCTACACATGTGGCCTGGGCGTATGAATGCACCGGATGGAAAATGACCATAATACCAAACTGGAGTACAATACCACCCAAAAAAGGTGGAGGATGATAAGTGAAACAGTCGACTGGGAGGATCAGATCAGGAGCGTAGAAGAGAGTCAGATCATTACAGACAGATGATTGTTTTTCTGGGCCGTAGCAGGGTTTGTTCATGTGTTAGCTGGGCATGATCCGAGAGGTGTGTGCATAAGTTGGTGCGTATGTGTGTGCACGCTACCTGAGGTGGACTGTCTGTGCCTGCGTGGGGAGCGGGTGAGGCGCTGGTAGGGGTCGGTGGCTCCGTACAAATCCAGTGTTGACAAACACAACAGGACAGTTTTCTGCAAGTAGTCCACCACTGCCAGGCCATTACAGTTCCCAAACGCCAAACTAGACAAGCAGCAAGAGGCACGTGCACATGCACACAGACACACACCCACACACACAGACACACATTTGCAGGAGAAAAGGGGTTTTCAGCTGAGACATTTAAGCAGATTCATATCAGCAGGTTAATCTCAATGACATTAAGGTTGTTGCACTGTCACACAGTCTAATTAGTTTTGATATTTTGGAGTAAAAACTGTCACCTAAACGCCAGACTCATGTCTCTCTGCCATCGCTGCTGTTGCTGCTCTGAATGTTAATACTGGGCAGAGATAGTGTCAGTCTATAACTTCTGATTTCAGTGAAGGAAGCTGCTGCAGGTTTTTTATCCTCCTCTTTACTGGATAAGTTGTTTGTGGCAATAATAACAATAACTGACTGTTTTAAAGGTCTACAAATTTAACAACCGGAAAAATATATGAAAAAAGTTGTACAAGTAGAAAAATGTCACTCAGACGTGGTCTTAATTTACCATGAAAGCACCAGCATTAAAAGGGAACAGTGTAAGTGCGATCTAAAACCACCATCCAGCCTCACTCCTACAGGTCAGTAAAGCAGTTTATGAGAAACTTTCACCTGGAGTTAGACTCATGTCAGAACATTTAAAGGTGGGGTCGGCAGGAATCCATTTAAGAAGCATCTTTGTTTGTGGTGTTTTTACAAAAACACTTTTAATATCAGTCAATAGTTATTAGTTATTGATGACATTTGGTAATATAACGATATCTCTGTGTTCTCTTATGTCTGTGTCGTCAACATTTGAACATTTTTGAGCGGTCCGCTCTTTCTGACTGTAAACAAAGCCATTCTCCGCCTCCCCGACCTGATTGGTTGTGAGGCAGACGCTGCTTCCTCGTGTTGTGAGGCACGTTCTACATCCTTGAGCTGAGGGGGAAACTGGTATGGAGGGGTAGAGTTTACATTCAAGATTTCTCCTAAAAACTGGAACTACCTCAGATCCTGACTACAACACCTTTAATAAGAGTCGCCTGAAGCCTGCTGTGAGGTGGTTAGCCATCTTCACTGCAGGTTTTAGCACGCCACTCCAGCATGTGCTCCTAATCATGACAGAAATTGCTTTACTGCCTGTAGACCAGTAAGAGGTGTGTTACCGATTGTCAGGGATGAATAAACAAAAACATTTTCCATACACCTGTTCTTAACAGACACATGAGTCGTCACTGAGTGGTTAGAAGACAGGATATCAGGCAGACTGTCATGCAGCAGGAGTCTTACAGGCCGTAGGCAGAGTTGATGTCCAGACTGGTGATCTGCTGTGGAGGCTCTCCATCGATCCACTGCAGCTGGATGACCAGCTCTGCCTGGTAGCCAGGAGGGACCCGAACCATCTTGTCCTTCACCCTGAAACAGACAACACTTTGTAAAAGTTGGAAACAGTACTTAAATAATAACAACATATTTATAAGTTATCTTATTCATTTATGTCCAATGTTAACTATACCATCCGCTGCACTCAAGACTGATGCATGTGTTGTTGTTGCACTCAAGACAGAATCATCTGTTAAAACCAGGGTTTGCTCTAATAAGACCAGGATTAAGTAATCTTACTTAAGGCAGGGTATGCTGGGTTTGACTCCCTCAGGTGTCCCACAGCCAGGGCTGCTGGGTTGTCGGTGGGGGTGTTGGGGTGAGTGGGCAGAGCCAGGCTCTGAGAAGCAGGGATCGTTTTCATTTTCTGATGGAGAGATGACATCCTCAGATTCACACTGTAGGCGGACCTCCAGTGACTGAAAATGACAGATAATTAAATATAAATCAATCTTTTTTTTTCACAGTCAAGGCGTCACAAGAACCAAACATTGGTTCTCTAAAGAAGGATCTGTAAAGTCTGTTAAAAATCAGAAGCAGACACTGTTTTGGAGAGGATTGATATCTTCCTCAGTAGAATAACACGTTTGTTTAAGTGCATCAGATTTACTCCGAACCTCATTCACCAAACTGGCAATTCATACTGGTTTGTCATCACTCACCACTATCTGAGTGTTGGCCTCATATTTGCTGAAACGGTACAGGATAATGTAGGCAGAGATGCCGACCACACAGAACATGCGACTCTGAGGACACCAGCTGACCATCTGAACAGCGAACGGATCTTCCTCTACCAACTCTGCCGCTCGGCCCTCAGCTGGCTTTGACTTTTCAAAGACTTTGGAGGTTTTTAGCTTGTACAGCATCTGTAGTGTGACTGGTCAGAAAACAGGTGAGTTTTTTAAACATACTGAAATACAAAATGAGTGTGCTATAAGTTGAATTGAATAGAAAGAGAAAGAACAGAGGTTAAACTGGCGTACTTGCAGATGCATCCCAAAACTTAATTGTACCGTCGGCATGTCTGAAGAAAGAGAAACAAGTCTTTGTCAAGTAGGGAAAACAGAGTACACCTTTATTTCCAAACAGATTGAGAGTTAAACTCCAAAAGTTCTTTCTGTATCTTTTAGGTGTAATATTCCTTTAAAACAATGATCTAATCTTTGAGACTTACCCTGTGATAATGATCTCTGGGTAAGCGTGGGACCCTAAAGTCCATGTTCCTCCGGTGATGGGCCACTCCTGGTAAGGTTACAGACAGAGAATTGATTATATGAGACACTTTGTTTCATTCTTTGGTTTTTAACAGGCTAAAATTAATCTGTGTAAAAGATTTATTGTAAGTTTTTTAAATACGGTCAGAAACTTCCTAATTAACTCTAAAATGTTAAAACAGTGCCCGTAGTTTTAAACATTTTCTTTCTCTTTACGAAGAGGGAAGTGCAAAGTTTCACTCTCCTTTTTCATTAAATCCCCTCCCTACCTTTTGGCTGTAGCCGGTCTTCTTGTGTTTGGCTCCTATAGAGTAGAGGACGGGGATAATGTCCGGGGGACAATCTGCAAAGTACGCTGTGCTGGTCACTGGGGACTCATGAATGTCCATGGGGTAAGGGTTTTCAAAGACAGGAAAGCTGAAAAAAAAACACAAAAAATAAGGGATGATCATCATGAACTTTAAATGAATTCAGTACTGAGGTTACAGGCTGTAAGATCTAATGTAACACGCAGGATATTCTAGAAAACTGGAATCCTGATCGGGCCAGTAGGGGACAGTCTCCCCCTGACCGGGGTCCTGATAAGGTTTGTAAATCAAAATTGTGTCATCTTCTCCAAAGATTGTCTCAGGACTTTAATTAGCCTTATGGGATATTTATTGAAGCTTCTCCAGCTGATACAGATGGCAATCAGCTCATTCATTCATTCATTCATTCATACAGACAGACAGACAGACAGACAGACAGACAGACAGACAGACAGACAGACAGGCAGACAGACAGACGTGTGACATGGAGAACCGAATCTGAGGACTGAGTGAGTAAGGGCATCAACAAACGACAACAGTGAACAGGGTTCCTCGAGTGTTTACTTCTAACATCAGAGCTCGTTTGGGACAGTTTGTGTCTTTAACCTTTTCTGTCTTTTCTCTCTTCTCGGTTTCCCCGCAGTAAAATAATTAATCAGACTTCCTCTTAAATAGAACTTGTTTTCACTTCGTCGACCCAATTATACAGTCAGACCTCCATTCATAGCTGTGGCAGCATGGTTCTCTACTATCTGCTGATTAGACACCTGACACCAGGTAATGACAGGACAGAATGACGAGGGCTGTGTTCCTCTGATAATGTCACATATAAAAAATGTCAGTATGTAAAAAACTTACCTGCTTTGTGTGAGATCCACCACGATTAAGTCTTTTTCCAAGAGCACCACAACTGCGTAAGGTTCCTGGACCTCTGCAAGTGAAAGGACTGAAGCTGAACACTGGGAGATATAATCTTAATGCTACAGGTTATAAGATATACGACTTTTAGGGGGGTGAAAGAACTTGAGAATCAATAACAGAGTAAGGGGTTACACTTATGACTGAGAAACCACAAAATAAATAATCAGATGTGAGGAACAAAAACGATGAAGAAACCAATTACTTAGTGTCTGCTAATTTCAGGAGTATATTAAATCTTCATTTATTGACTCCTTTTTATAAAATGTTGCAACAAAAACAAGATTTTCTTTGAGTCAGCAGGTAACTGATGTCCAATCATCTTCGTCCGCACTCACCATTGTTGTACGGAGTCTCACAGAGGGCCATAAACTCTGTGATAGGATAGTCCATCTCAAGCACAGTGATGGCCTTGCCATGCATGATGGTCAGTGTCGGCCGTCGTCCTGCCTTGTCATATGATAGACCCCCAGAGAAGATAACAAAGGGCTCGCTGTTGTGGAGGTGAACAGAAATTGAGAATCAATAACAGAGTAAGGGGTTAAAACTGAGAAACCATAAAATAAATAAAGATGTTAGGAAAAAAAAAGATGAAGAAACCAATTACTTGTGTTTGCATAAAAATGATAATGAAGTAGAACTGAGACAAAGAAAACCCTCTGGAGGATTCACTCAGTACCTGTTCCTGCAGGTCTTGTACTCCACTTTGAGGATGGGTTTACATGATTCTTTTCTCCCATCTTTTTGGACCTTCCCTGGATGAGAAGACGGAGTGAACAGAATGTTAATCATCTGGAGACAAAGCAGGATTTACTTCGAACACCGGGTCCCAGATCTACGCCGTATTGAGACTATCTGTCCACCACGCCATGAGAATATACCCACGACTGATTGGTTAAGACACCATCTACGCCCAAACCAAAGACTCTGATTTTGATGCAAGATCTTAGTCTCCCTTTTTCCTCTAAAATCACTAAAAATTGTAACATGACCATGTCTTGTCAAACGGCATGATGCGTAAAGGCCAATGCTGCTGTTAGCCACAACCAAACTAGCACACCTCCTTCAGCTGTGTCATCACCTGCTTCAGAGGAGGATGAGCTCACGCTCATCCAGCAAGCTCTCGATATAATGAGCGGTTCGATAAGTTCCAGCAGAGGTTCAAGGGTCTTTTTATCCACTCAGCAAGCACTCACAGAGCAACTGGCCACCACCCAAAATCAACCTGCAGACCAGGAGCAGCGGATTCACACCAAGAGACAAGTATAAGGTGAAGTTTGAGAGAGTTTATCAGAAACCTGTCAAGGAGGTTTATAAGTCAGACTGCCGAGACGGAGCAAATGGTTGAGACGTACAGGAGGGTCTGAAATAGTTCACACTAACTTGAGGCCTGACATGGTTCTGGATAATGTGTCAATAAACCGTTTATTTTATAGAACTGAGAGGGCCTTAGGAGGACTCGTTAAAAGGAGACAGAAACTGAGCAGCCAGGATGGAAATTAGGGTTTCTGAGAGACTCTCCATCCCAAAATCCAGACTTCATACATTTGAGACAGGGCTTTCTCTACCCTCTGGAACAACCTCTCCTCTGATGTCTGGGATGTCTCATCTCTGACATCGTAATCTCGTATCAATCTCGTATTTTTAACCAGAGTCCTTGATTCGGGACGCCAACTTCTGGAAGGAATACTAAGAGAAAAAACCTTCAAATTAGATTTATTTCCGGAAACTAAGTTAATAACATAAATGCAGTAGATGACTATGATGAAATAATGATAATAAATTCACAATTCTGTGAATGAATGGATGAATGGTTTGATATGATATGTGATATGAACTCTAAAGGCATAAAACAGCATCAACCTTTTTCTTAAGGAGACTCAGAGGTTTGCTTTCTTATTTGGGTTCATAAAGTGAGAAGATGAAACCACTGCCTATCTGTGGTGGGATTGTGCTCCAGCTCTCTCTAACTCTTCCTTTCTTTTCTGCCCTGGCTCTGTGTTTCCATTCCTATCATCTCTGCTCTGTTTTTCTCTCTCTTCAAACAGGTCTGATAAGTGAAAGAACTCGCATGGAGGGAGATGGTTTAGGGATGCTGCAGGATACTAATGATAATCCTGAAAAATCATTAGACCACCTGATAATCCTGTTGATGTGAGGACCCCCAGCTGTCAGTCTAGTTACACGGTTGGGATGAGAAGGCAACAGGTGCGGAGTGGTAAGATCAGGATTTTCAGCTGTGTCAATATCTGGATCTTGCATCAGAGGAACTTATACAGAAAGACTGTCAGCACATCATGGATCCATCATATCGGGCTTTCAGTTTGTTTATGTCTGTATCACCAGGTGAAAATGCTGAAAACACCAACTGTGCTTTTCCTCTCAGCGATGTCTGAAATCGCTATTTTCAGGCGCCGACGTCAGCTGACCTTTCTTTCTTCAGGGTGTTATGAGCATGCTAATGGTTCCGTGCTGCCCACAGGAACAGGAAGAATCCGTCTGTTGTTGACTCAAAGCTCTGTCTCATGTTAGAGCACGCCACATCTACTTTCACTTGTACATTTTTCCTGACTCACTAGATTTCTCTCGCTGTGTCAGCTCTGCTTTTAGCTGGCACCTCAGTAATCCTCAGAGACCCGAGTCCAGGATTGATCTGAGGAAAGACTTTGATTGGTTGAGCAGCATCATGTTCGATGAGCTAAGACAAAGGCTCTGGACTTTTCTGGACTTTCAATCTTGCTGCTGTAAAGGTGAGCAAAGCTGTGCTGGTGAGAGTACCAGCTTCTTTCCAGGTCACATTCACGGTCTGTAGATTTAACCATCTGTAGTCTGTTTCAGCGATGCTTGGCCACAGTGCACAGTTTCTCATTAGTATTAAAATTATTAACATGGAATTTTACCTTTGGCAAACTTTAGTAGATGTAATCCGACTTTCTTTTCTTCAGATCTTAGTTTTTAGTTATTTGTTTCCATGTTTTTAAATTAGTTTTTAAAAACATTGAAGCTATATTTTATTATTAATTCTGCTTTTATTTTATCCATTGTTTTAATTGTTTCTTGATTGTTTTTTATCTTGTTGTTTTTGTCCTGTTATGTACAGCACTTTGTACAGCTGTGGTTGTTTTAAAGTGCTCTACAAATAAAGTTGAGTTGAGTTGAGTTGAGTTGAGATCTGAATTTAAGACCTTTTAAGAGTTTTTAAGGAAACCCTGCTCCTGGTGACACTGACTACTCTTCAGCTTTATTGAACTGCTTACTGTCAATACTACCTTGACTGGTCTCATCACAAAGGTTTAATACGTTCAGTACTTTAGTCTCTGAAACTAACAGCAGTTTCTCATAGAACAAAATGATGACACTGTGGAAATTTGCACACAGTGGTGGTCACAGCGCTGAATAAGAATGTCTTTTCCTTTAGGTTTGTCACACATCGTTTATCGTCACAAACACCACAGACAGAAATGATCCTGCTGTCTGAATCGTCTCAGACTCAAGCTTCATTAGTCTGAGTACATTTTTAAAAGGATCGGTGTGGGTTCAGATCTCACCGTGTGGGAAAGTGACCTGGAATGGCTTGGTGGTGTTTCTGAGGTTCCACAGCGTCAAGCTGCCATCGGAGTGACTGCACATAAACTGCTTTCCTTCATGATGCCAGCTGACTGAATGGATGGCCTGTGTGAGCCAGAGGAAATGTTTTTTTTTTACAAACATGTCATACACACTTTAAGTCAGAATATGGAGTAAATATGGAGCTCACCTCATCATAGTAGATTCTGAAGTCAGCCTTCTTGCCTCGAAGGTCCCAGTGTACAATAGTCCCACTCTCAAAACCTATAAGTAGCTTTGAAGGGGAGTGACAAGGATATAGGAGAGTACGTACACACACACAAAGAGAAACAAACGTCTGTTAATGGGTCACTGTAGACCACCTCATATACTACCATCATTACTCAACATGTCCAGTTTAACAGAAGAAACTAAATGCTCGATTCTTCTGTACCCAGAGGATGTGGTGTCTCGTCGTTGAATTGGGGAGAATAACTCCACCTGCCCATCAACGTACACCTTAGATGCTCAGTGACTGTGATAAAGTTAATAAACTAGGTGAAATACAAGATTTTCTTCCAGTGCGTACACTTCAAAAAGTACCTTTAGACACTCTTACTCGATAATAAACTAGAAAAGGCATCTAGAGTTGTTTTGTTAAACATGAAGAAAGGCCCTCTGGATTCCCCCACTCTGAATAAAATCTAAAATGACACGTCTGATGTCTGTCCTTGGTTTGACTCTCTGTGGACAGACTCTAGAGTCACTGTGGTGACCCTCAAACTGACCACCACAGACTCTTTTGGTTTGGTACACGCACTCCAAGCTAGACTACAGCTCCCAGCTGCCTCATAACGTTAAAACCCAGAGAAAGAAATGATTTTGTGGTGCACCAGCGATTCTTCCAGGATGTATCGCTCTAAAAGGAGAGATAAAACAGAGAGAGAGAGAGAGAGGGGGCAGACGCATGCACTGGAATGAAGCATGGGAAATAAAAAAGTTGGTTGTTTATTTATGAAGCCTGATGTAGACGTGGCTTCAGGTCTATGATAATTAAGAATTATGAAAAAAAAGGGTTATTACTGGAGTTAATGAGCCTCATTCCTCTGTTACGACCCTGCCCAAGTTGATGGGGGATCGACTGACTTCCTTATTATACTTAATATTTCCTTAATAACATGATGGCTTTCATGTGCAACTTGGTATATAACAATAATATCAGTGTTTTTTGTTGGAGTTTCTGTGATGGGGAGAGTTAAAATCCTATGTCTGACTGGGCTGATCCTACACCTGACTACAGCTACCACCAGGTTCACTCATTTTCATGAAGCCTAAAATTTTTTTAATGTGGGACCTCAATTTTACACCAAATAGACAAGTAATGATAAACTGTAGATTTAAAATAAATAAATAAATAAAATAAAATAAGGCACTGGTACTTGTGACTGCTTTTGAGTGGGTCATTTACAGTGGACGCAAGTTTAAAAAGGGCTTCACGGCCACGCCCTTTGACCTACAGAAGCGATTTGTAGGCCCTTGCAGAAAGCCTTAATCGTGTTTGAGGGGCGCTGTTGCCAAACTAATCCTCCCAGAAAAAAAGTTTGAAAGTAGACTTTTGTGGGTACCTGTAGCTGCAGTTTCAGGTTTCTAGCATTTAATCCTGAGAAGGAGTGAATGTTTTAAAAGATCTTCAAAAGTATCTCAAATATCTCAAAAAGGTTTTTGTTTTGGTGATAATTCCTCGTGTTTTAATCCGGCTCTCACCACTGCTTACAACCTGAGATGATTTACACATTATCTTCAGTGTCCTTCAGTGACAATGCGAAAACAGAGGCTGCCATCTTTGTTTTAGTTTGTTGAATCTACAATCAGCTGACCTGAAAAGGTCCAGTTAGGGGCCAGACTGAAAATAAAACTCATAATTCAGTGGCATTGGCACGAATATCGATACAATCTTTTCAGTTGTTGTGATTTGAGGTATAAAGTTAAACACTGTGCTATGTGAGCAACACTCTGTCAGTTCTGCAGTTTAACAGACTTCTTGCACTTCTTCTTATAATTGACACATACGCTGTTAATCATGAAAACTGAGCAGTGTTAAAAGAATTTTGCTTTCTTCATGTGAACTTCGACAGCCTTGATTTTCATACTGAGATACATCCCCATATCCTTCCTGTTTGCAACGCCGCAATGACGCCCCAAAGCTGTCTATACTTGCAGTGGAGACGCTCTGCGCGACTTCTTTTGAGGCTCAAAATGTCACTTTCTCTACAGGCAGTGAGCACTGTGTTTCCACAGCTGTCAATACATGTCTTGCTTTTATGTCTTCACAGCTTGTTAAGTATTGTTCGAGAGGAAGCAAAATCTATTGGGGAGATCAATACATGCCTCCAGGATCTTGTTACTGCCTGACTTTCTTTGCAACAACATTTATTCGACACTTTTCACACCAATCTGACAACAGCTTGACCCTGACAGCTCTTCTTGATGGATATTACCCACACGTCCCTGCCACCCTTTCACTTCTGTGTCTGGATTTTTTTCTCTGTCAAATAAAAAGATAACATGAGGGCAATAATGTCAAATGTTGGCCTTAAAGTGACTGATTTCTTTGAACAGGGCTGAGAAGTAAAACAGGTAAAAGACTCTGAGTAAACAGTTCAAGAGAAAATGAAGACACAGAAAGACAGATGAACACTGAAGGGAAGAAGCATCACCCAAGAGCCTCCTGTTCCAACATGGAGATGGAACAGAATTATTTCCACTGCTTACTCACTTTGCCTTCGTCCTTTGGGCTGTCACTCAAATGAACAACTGGTCCTGGATGAGTTTTTGTTGATCTGAGCAAAAGCAGAAGAGGAAAGAAAGATGAAAAAAAAACCAGCAGCAAGACTGAAGAAACTCATCGAAACAGACGGGTAAAGGTTTCACTGGACTTGTATTGTGACAGAAATGACACAAATGCAATCACAGTGTTATGGTAGACTTGATTTCAGTGCATCAGGGTAAAGGTTCTCACTGTATTTTGATGCTACAGTTACAGATAAACTTGTTAGTTTATTACTAATACATGACAGGAATTTTCAAATGTCACAATTTTGAAAAATAATCTAATTGCGATTTTTTTCCCCTCAATATAGTAATTTAATATGTGATTACTTTTACAAGGTCCTCTTCTAATGTATTTTTCAACAAACACAATAAATCAATCTGTCTTACAGCAAACGAAATCAGATTAATTACACATTAAATGTTCTTTCTGGCAAATATCATTTCACACACACACACACACACACACACACACACACGCACACACACACACACACACTATCGCGCACAGACATGCAGTGTCAGCGTCTGTAGCTGAATTAGTCCACAGTGCGACAGAGTGCGGCGTTGACTTCTGTCTACCTGCTCTGCTTCCCGTCACTCACAAGTCACGTGACCAGTCAAAATCGCAGTCTCTATCATATCGTGATGTAACCGCAAATATAATTAACCTTTGAGCCCGAGTTACGACCCACAATATACTTTTCAGAGTTTATTTTCAAATATGTTTTATGTGAATGAGCAGCGCAGAGATCATACAGCTGTACTCCCCTGCTGTGTAAATTAGTGTTGTGTCAGTCGCGAACGATTCGTTCAAAAGAACCAAATCTTTTATGTGAACGTACTGAACCGAATCACTTCCTTAAGTGATTCGTTCGTTTCTCATTTCAGTTGAGCTGAAGTGAGAAACAGAATTTCCAGGCCAGCAGCCGGCAAACGAGGGAACACATGCACAACACCTGAATCAGTTGGTGAACGAATCACACATTGAACTACACACTCTGGAATCATTTTTGTCGCACAAAATTACCTTTTTTTCACTGCTAAATTTCCACCACAACAACTTGCATACAATACGACACAGCAGGTAACAAGTTTTGCATTAAACTGGCAGCATCCTGTCAGTGCAGCAGTTTGTGAGGGAACGGTTCATGTTCAGTGTGAATTCTTCTTAATGTTCAGTAAACGAATCACTGACCCCAATTTACTGAACAGACCTGGTAAATAGCACACCATAGGACACTTAAAACATCATGACTTATAAACAGGTTCATTTTTACAGACCTGTTTGTCAAAGAAACACAGACACTTTCGTCTCCCAGTCCCAGAAGATCTGAATCTGAACTGAATCCTGAACCGTTCAGCTGTCTATCAGTTCAGGAGGTCAGAGTCACAGGCTCCTCCCGCCAAGCGCTAAAATGATTCAGTGATTTGGTGAACGAATCTTTTGAACGAATCTTTTTAGTGAACTGATTCTAGTGATTCAGTACATCTTAAAGAAGTGCCGTGCTCATCACTATTGTAAATTGTCAAACCACCTCAATCCCTTCTTACTCAAGACCTACAGTATGTGTTAACACCAGGTTATACTCATGACTCATTCATAAGGCTGATTAAACACTCAGAAGTTGCTGGAAATAACTTTGTACAGATAATTTCACAGTCAACCCTGAATGTCAGCAATACCTAACCATCTTTACAGAGAAACCACCCTACCAGGCTGCAAACACACAAACAGTGCAAAGGCAAAAAAACACAAAATTAGCAAACATCTTTAAAGGACAAATGCAGTAAATCTAGCCTTCGCAGCGGGAACATGTGGGGCCCAACAGAAAACTGTTTATTATTTTTTCTTCACCAAGTTTCACAAGTACTTCCTCTAAAAACAAAGTTTATAGCTACAACAATCCAGTGATGCTGTTTTTGTATAATTAAAGGCTAAATTAAAATCTTTAACATGAGGATCAACAGTGTCGGTGAGTCTGAAACAAACTCTGTGGTGAGAAAATAAAAAACACTCTTTCAGTTGAAATCCTACCGTCTGCTTTGGCCTCTGGGACTTGAGCAGTGACAGCCCTCCCACACAAATATGGCAGTGTTATGACTGCTGACTACAGTGTGGTGTTAGCTATGACAAGGAAACAAGATGGCATGGTTTGAGACTGACTTGTGACTGACACTACAGTGGGGGATTTACAAGGCTAACACCAGAGGAGTGGCACGTGGGTGGGTGAAACCAAGAAGGACAAACTGGTATAAAATACAACTAATATTTGTTGGCACCTTGAGTTGTCATGTGCTGCATCTGCCAGCCTCTTTATGAACAGATGAAGCTGGCTGATCAAACAGAACTGCTGTTTATACAGTGTAATAGCTCATCTGGTCCACGTCCAGCTAAAATGTGAATTTTCAGAGTTTTAAGAGAGTTCAATTTAGATCCAATTCAAGTTGGCAGGAGGAGCTGAGAGCTGACACCGAGGCTAAGCTGTGACCACAGACCGGCTTTTCAAACAAATGTTTTTTAGTCAGTTAGAAAAGATCCACAAAAACGTGTCGAGAAGAACCTCACAGAAGAACCTGTTTAACCATCTCTGTTTTCAGACCAAAGGACTCAAAAGGGACTCAGCAATAGTGAACGTGTTTCTCACATGGTGTTAGGTAAACATGGAAAACAATATGTTTGTCTTTTACTTTCATTATCAGTAGCTTACAAGAGACCACTACTGTCTTTGGAGACGTTCATATTAATCACCTGGTGATGTAAAAACAAAAATAAAAACAGATTCTGATTGGTGAAAACACTTTGACAACAAATAAGGTTAACTTTATTTCTTTTTAAAAAAAGAAAACTGATCAGAAAACACCCCTTCTTAGAAACTGGCACCAGCCTCCTGTTTCTTTTAGGATTGATTTTAAAGCTCTTTTAATTGTTTTTAAGTGTCTCCTCCACACATGACAGATCGTCTGTTATTTTATGCCCCTGTGAGGTCTCAAAGACCCTGGAATGAGAGATGCACCAGAGAGAGAGAGAGAGAGAGAGAGAGAGAGAGAGATAGAGAGAGAGAGCGCTCTGTTTCTGTGCTCCTGAATTTTAAAACTCTCTGCCTCCGGACATTAAAACAGCTGTCTGTCTGTGTTTGAAAACAATCACTTACAGTTCGATGGCCTTGTTCCACATGATGACATATCCAGACAAAACAAAGGACTCAATGTTGACGATATGTGTGTTTCCTCGCTCCGTTCCAACATACAGCCATTTACTTTGAAAGGGGAGATGGCAGAAGGTGATCCTGGAGAACCAGACACAGAGGAGAGTACAGAGTTCAGATACCAGAAATCATACAGGGTCTTTAGTCTTTTAAAGGGTGGTCTCTCTCTCTCTGGATGTGAACCTTTCAGTGTGCCATTTTTGAACACATACAAATTTATTTCTATCGATTGGCATTTTTTTTTATGTGTGTGTGTGTGTGTGTGTGTGTGTGTGTGTGTGTGTGTGTGTGTGTGTGTGTGTGTGTGTGTGTTTGTGTGTGTGTGTGAAAATCTTAAACTGATAAACAGCCACTCATGTGCTGACACCCGTTCAAGGTTTAATAAAGTCGTGGGCTGGGGTCATCGTTCATGTCATGGGAACACCTCTGCATCTTTCATTAGTCCTTCAGACTCGTCTTCTGCTGAACTACAGATTCAGAATAACAGAGGTGGAAGCTGGACCCTCTGTTTGTGTCCTGTTACATTGAAAATCGACTTATTCTCATGTACAACCCCTCATCTGTTTACACTGGCTCACTACCTCTGTTCACACCTGTGACAGACAGGTATAATAATAATCAATGGTCCTCTGGTATCTGTTTTTATGGCCAGTAGACAATAATGAGAGAGCAGGACAGTTGCTGGTCATATGTGATGCCTGAAACATAAAATAATTCAATTCTATGATACTGACACATCGGAAACATAACAGATGATCTTGAATATTTCCTCAAATACTGGATTCTTACTGAATTAACGAGACAGAAAAATTAATAAGGAATATTACAGATTTCAGATCATGACTGAAGTTCAAAAAATTATTCAACTGACTTATTCGACACATATTCATGTTAAATGCTTACTCGTATCTGTTTTAGATTTAAAATGCTTTAATTTAGGATTTTGGGAAAGACATGTTTTTTTATTTGGCTCATAAGGATTATGTTTTATTTTGTTTTGTCTTGCTGGGCCCTGATAAGTTCTTCTGCCTATATGACAGGACTTTGTTTTTAAAGGTGCTGTATTAATAAAACTTATTATTACTATTATCATTATTATTATTGTTGTTGTTTTAAATGACATGATCACTCGGCTCAAGTATTTGTATGTAATTTTTAATGTCATATTTTAATATATGTTTGTGTGTGTAATATTCTTTGGCAGCCCTACAGTGAAGTCACAGCAGTCTTTTCTAAGGAGTCAGGTGTTAAGTTTTGTTACCTCTCTCTGTTGAATTTGAGTGAATGCAGAATAGCCGGCCGCCTCTGACGGAGGTTCCACAAATGAAGTGTGTCATCTGCGCAGGCTGTGACCAGCGCCCCCTACAGACCACACAGATTACACAATGATTACACATCAGTACACATTGACACAACGCTGCAGAAGGAGAACACAGAGCGTTCTCTGAGACGAACACCGTCCAGTTCAGGTGGAAGGACGGCTGAAACATACAGGACGCATATCAGCTCCGTCACAGCATAATATCGAGAGCAGCCACAGACTGTATATAGAATGGACAGAGTCTGCCTCCTCACTGAGTGAAGCCATTCTGAGAACAGCACCCTCTGGTGACGGGCTGCAGTATAGGTCACAAATCCCGCCTCCACCAGCAAAGCTTACAGAGCTGTGAACAAACTTTATAAATTAATGGATTATGTAGTCTGATAAAAATGTAATCTGGTCAGGGACTAGCAGCCATGGATGTGGAGTGTTTTTAAACGTGTAAGTGAATACGATTAGATTGATCGAATTTCATCTTTTGTCATTATGTGAATAACAGTAAATGACAACAGATTCACTTTCACAATTTACAATCAACCGATGATTAAAATAACTATAAATCCACAACTATTAAGTTATAACAATATTTTCATTTTTAAAGAGTTTCTGTCACCAGAAGATGGAAAACTGGAACATCCACCTGTTTATCAGATGCAAGAAACAGAAGGATGTGAGATGACAGAGGGGTGAGAATCAGGTCACCTCCATGATGGTTAATTTATCTTGATGTCTCTGTAGGAGCAAAAGCGAGGCGACCAGCTGCAGGCTCATCACACAGCTGGGGTAAAATAACAGCCAGCAGGCCAGGAACAAAATGCACGACAAAAATCTGTATTTTTTCAGTATTTAGGGTTGATAATGGTCCAGTAATCTGATGGTTTCCTTCTGCTTATAACTACAAACAGGGCTGGGCCGTGGTTTCATACTACATTCATAGATGAGAATCTCAACAGCTCTGAAAAAAGTCAAATACTTCAAAATGAAAAGGCAGTTTCGACGCTGAACCTCCTGTTGGTTTATCATCTATGGTGGTCTAATTACGAGCGCCCCAGCAGCCCATTTGTGGTTGTGCCAAAGGTTAATGATGTATGTGTTTGCCTGCTGTAACGTCTCCTTCATCTGCTCCTCTCCCTCTGCGACTCCTCCTCCTTTCTACCTCTCTGCACTTAAAGAAAACATGTTTTCAAGCTGAAAAGAAGGCTTAACAACCTGTAAGAATAATTACAGAGTTGGCAAGGACGAGGACACATTCAACAAGAAATTCTTGCAATACAGAACTCCTATTCATCTTTTTCCCTTTCAGCGGTGCAGAAGAATTCAGCCCAGCCCTGGGTACAGCACCACAATCTCGCCTTTCTCTCGTCTCCATCCAACTTTGTCTGACTAAAACAATCAGCACCCCACAACCTCTCTCATTCATCAAGCAGAATAACAGATTCACGACAGGCAAACAAACACATTAATTAGTCCTTTCAGAACCTCCATTAATAAGAGCAGTAAAGATCCCCAAAACAAGCAGTGAAAAAATGACTGAGAGAATGAAACAGTTCAGATCCAAAGGACGCGAGTTTACCTCATTGATGAGGAACTGCAGCTGAAGGACAGCTGCTCCGCCCTCATGCTGACAGTAACTGTCCACTCCAGGTCGTCCCAGTCTAATGAGATCACAGGGTCAAGGAAGGGTTGTTGTATTAAGATGATAAAGACACGAAGAAAGAGGTTGAAGTGATTTATGAAAACCTTTCCTGACACTGGATTAATGATCCTGTGACAGTAGGATTTCCCCCCTGATAAAACTCTCTGCTTTGAGCCAAGAACCACAGAATGAATGTTAGTTTGTACCAACACCAAGTGTGCTGGCACAATAGCTGAAACAGCACAGAGCAGTGATCTGTGTTTGTGGGTCTGAGCCGGCAGATGGTGCGATGTCAGATCTGGAATAAAGGATGACTGAAAACAAAGAGGACATGTTGATGTTTGATCATGACAGACACTACAGCCTCTCTCCTCACCTCGGCCTGGTTTGAGGGAAAACATCCGTAATAACACAGGTGAGGGGGCGTGGCCTGTCCACGACTGTCTTTCAGTTTCAATCCTGCAAAGGCGTTGTACTGTCCACGTCCAGCTTTTCTTCTGGCTGATGTTACTAGGCCGTCAAAAAAAGTGTAGAAGGCCAACAAACAATATGGACTTTTTACTGTCTACTATCTTTATGGACATTGTTTATTTACTGAGCATCATGCATCGTAGAGTTTTCCTCATGTTGGCCCCGTTTATAGATCTGAGCACAGGATTCATCGTACGATAGGACACACGTGAGATTTATGAAAGGGTTCGTATCTGACCAATCCCAGCGTACGTATAATCGAGTCCTTGAGAAATGCAGCGGCTGAAATCGATCGTTATTAATATGTTAACGCCCTTAAATATTCGTGGTTCAGAAGCCCCGCCCACTGAGGTCAAACATGAAAGAGGAGAAATATTTGAAAGGTGTAAAACTTTTCAGAGATGAAAGTGGATATCCTCACATCTGTGGTGGAAACAAACGTGGATTTTCTCTTTGGAAACATCAAAACTGGAATAAAAGCAGGTGAACAGCGCTGCCGCAGAATAGTGGACAGTGGCAACAAGAGCAAAGATAACAAGAGCGCTTTCTAAACTTATATTTATATGTCAGAATCCATGGATAAGGTCCTGTCTCCTGTGTGCAGCACCTGTACATGTTTTGATTTTGTGTTCAGTCACACACAAACACACTCGACCTTTAACAGTTTCTGTTTGTCAAAGTCTGTGAGCAGCTGCAGGCAGAGTGCTGCTGTACCGAGGAACGACTCTTTCACCTTCAAGAGTACACCTCAAAACAAAATCACAAACTGATTCAAAGTGAAAACAAATGAATGATCTTTTTCAGCTTTTTTGGATGTATTGTTTGTCCTAGTTTGGATTATGTGCTATTAAGCACATACAATTATCACAATAACACTAAACCAGTTCAGCTCCATGAAAGCTCCATGAAAGCACGACCACAGGCTCAGACAATCACCATCTCTCCGGTTTGCAGAGTTAGTGGCGTGCCAGCTTTGCCGGTCTGGGAAGCATCTCTGCATGTCCTTTATAAGTTCTTTTGTTTGGGGAAGCTGCTGCATAATGCTCCACAAAAAGAAAGCTCATTGAGACATGGAGACAACTGTAACCTTCAGCTGTCTGCTGTGCATGACTCACAGCCAGCTGGTTTACAATACGACATGCTTTAGACTTAAAACACCACCTGACAGCGCAGTACAGGATGAGACCGACGACCACAAACGTAAATGTTTGGATCCATCCTTTCCTGATCTGTTCTTTTGCTAATGTACCAATTATCCAGCCTGTTCTTTCCTCATCAGTGGGTCTCTCAGTCCCCTCACAATAACATCTTTCCGTCCTCTCACTCCTCCCTGATGAAAAAGATGATCCAGATAAAACTTCCTCATTGTAGCTGCTCCAAGTCACATTGACAGATTTGACAGATTCACTGACACAGACACGACATGTCCACAGATATGACAGAATAAAACAACAACTGAAAATAACAAGTTGGGTTTCCTTCACAAGCAAATGTCTGGACAAAATGTCTGGACATTTTAGAGACTGACTGCTCAAGGCGCTGGCAATGAGGTGAATCAAATTAACGAGGGAGGCGGTTGTATTGGTAAAGGCCTTTAGCTAGAGTCTGTTGCTATGGTGATAGACAGGATCAATTAATATGACATGAGGGCTGATAAAGCACTATCTCACCTGCAGTGATGTTCTATACAATTTTTTTGTGCTGAATCAAGGATAAATTCTGTGTTGTCAGAGTCTAAAATGAGGTTTTTTTATTCTCTGTCAAAGTTGACGCTGGCTGACATTTCACCGTGACGGTTTTCTCCCTTGTCTTTAAATTCTTTGTCAGCCAGCATTATTCTCTTAAAGTACCACTCTGTTTTATATATATATATATATATATATATACTATTTAAAGTGTTATCAGTGGGGTTTAAATTGTGATTATGGAGTTTTTAACCAAAATCTCGTTACCTGTGTTGTTTTTAAGGACGTTTCTTCTGCAAAAGTCAAGAGTCTCTTTTTTAGAAAGATGCCTCTTTTTCACTTGTGTGTAAGTTTAATGTTTTGTTTTGTAAATATTTTGCACAGAAGGACTTAAACAGCCTGTTCTGTGCTGTTGTTCTGTGAGGATAATGTGAGGCTAAGCTGACAAGTTCATTTCAGGCTGTTTAACAGGTAGTTTAACTGTACAGACACTTTTTATATAGACGCATTTTATATACAGTATTTTAATATTCCTGTATCTGCTTGTACGGGTCTCTAACACAAACATTAAAAACACGTCAGTAAAAATAAAGTACTCCAAATAACCCATAGTGGTTGTTATTTACATCTTATTTACATATATTGATATTCTCTGTAAAACCGTGATACTACACAGCCAAACAATCGTGTCAACTGGATGAGCCCACAGATAAAATCATGTGTCTCTGTCTAATGAAGACGTGTTCCTCCAGGATAAAGCAGAGACTGAGGTCAGTTCACTCTGGTGGACAGACCAAAATGAAAGCATGATTTAAACTCGTAAAACATCTGTTGAATGAGTGTTTTGGCTGTGTGCAGCACTAACACAGTGCTGATGAAGAACGGCTCCGAAAGGCTGTAATGACTCTTTTAAAGGGATTGTAGAAATCCGCTAAATACGCAGAGCTGCAAAGGAAAGAACATAAAGAAAAGAGGCATTAGAAAAGCAAACGACGACACGCAGACATTCAAAAGAGAGAAAAGGAAAAACAACAAAGAAAGTGATTTGAAGGGCGGAGGGTGAACTGAATATTACAATAGAGAGAAAAATGACTGTGGGTGAGGGTCCATAAGGAAGGAAAAGAAGAGAGGTGTGTTTATAAATCATGTTCTATCATCACTACTCAGGACAAACAGTGTGACGGCTGCATTATCTCTGACCGTTCGCTGCCTTTGACAAACGTTCCCTTAAAGCATAATGGAAACCCTGGCAGCATAATCTCACACCTTAATTGCCCTCACACGTCCACTCCGTTCCCCGACCAAGTGACACAGGGGACGGGCTGGTGCGTGGACAGATCTGAGCAGGTGGAATGACAGCCAATCAAACACAAATTGACAGGGATGGATGGGGGAGGAGAACGGTGAAGGGGAAGAAGGGGGAAGGGTAAAAGAAGGAAGACCTTGCCTGGAGATGGCCTTGGGGGAAGGAAAAAGGCGTTACTGTAACAGCAGTTACTATGGTCAGGAAGAATCATGTGCATCTCTTTGTGTTTTGCTTTAATTAAATGGTGAATGCTTATAAAATGAAGGATAAAAGGATTCATCTACAGTAAATGCAACAGAGAGTAAGGTGCAGATGCTGGGTCATACTGTCATAACCATATATTGATGAATGTTTGTAAACTGCTGGACAGAAACAGGTGGAGAGAAGACGCGAGTGCTCAAGGTGTAAAGGATACATCCTCACACCGCCTGATCTGGAGCCGATGGCGAGAATCTTCTGCACAGGGTCGAAGGCCAAAGCAGTGGGCTGGTAGGGGAAACCATGACGCACGGTCTGCAAGAAGAAACCACAGGTAAAGTGGAGTTAAAGGAAATTCACATACATTAGTCATTGCAGAAACATTTCTCCTGCTGCATAACACCGACTCTGTTTGCATGACGGACTATATTCTCGTCCTCTTATAGACCCGTTCAGTTCAGCAGCAGGAGTTCGGTGGAGTACGACCGTGTTTGTCGAGCACACAAGAGGATTTGCAGGTCTGGGTGATATTTACAGAGGCTGAAAAGGGCAGAAGTCATCATTCATGGAGGCTTGGAGTAAGTACCAAATAATAACAGGTTCCTGTATGACCCCCCCACTCTCTCTCTGTCAGCGTGTGTGTGGGTCCACACCACACAGCTGCTAACGTTAAGCTGCACAACGTGAACTTTTAACCAAGAAAACACGTGTCAGTGCACTCTGCTTACTTTGATGGACTTAGTGAGATTGTGTTTTTACTGTGTTACATGATGAGGTGGAAGTGCTATAGATGTCACTCACCAATATACTTCTCATGCAGATTTCATTCTGGTTTGTAAGAAGCGTTAAGACGAGTATCATCATGAGGTGTTTATGAGTGAAATGTATTTGATCTCTTTTGTAACTTTCATCTGTAACTTAAACTTTAAACTGTCACACTTGGTAACTGAGATACTCAGCAGACTTACAGAGGTTTGATAGAATAGAGGATAAAGTCTTTAGTCTGAGGGAAAATGTTGAAATTCTAAATGACCCTTTTCATAAACTCTAAACCGTTTATTCACTGCAGGAGTTTTTGTTTGTTCTGGTCAGTGTTTACATCCCACCTCAGCCTGTATAAAGGAGACACTACAACAGCTGGCTGACCAGATAACAGACGTGGAGAAAAAACATCCAGACTACCTGCTCATCATTCTCTGGGATTAAGTCCGTAGAAGTAGAAGAAGTATATTCTGCCACAGTGTCCACACTGGTCAGGTGAGACACCAGTCTCCTTTAGATTTGCTCGCTCATCCCTTGTACACGGTTGCTGGGATACTGGAGAGCCACTCAATACACACACATACAGATACAAGGAATCAATGTACTGTATGAGCAACACACTTATTTGTGAATGTGAGATTCAGCTCATTTATATTTTAAGAGAAAAGCCATCAATTATTTCTATCTATCTATCTATCTATCTATCTATCAATCTATCTATCTATCTATCTATCTATCTATCTATCTATCTATCTATCTATCTATCTATCTATCTATCTATCTATCTATCTATCTATCTATCTATCTATCTATCTATCTATCTATCTATCTATCTATCTATCTATCCATCCATCCATCCATCCAGCTGCAGCTGCTGACCTGCTGCAAGGACCTGATTCTGGCTTCCAGAGGGGACATCACATCCACTCTTCTCTGTCCTTCTCTCCTCTCTTCCTCTGTTGTGTTGTTCTGTCTCATCTTCTGTACTGTTGTGTATGTTAAAGCCTGATGTCTATTTTGATGATCTCATACATCCTGTAAGACTAATACTACCTCATCCCACACACAGTATCTCACTGCAAAAAGCATTGAGCTGCAGAACTGGTCTTGACCCCGTCTTCTATAAATAGCAAACAGCACCTTTGCCTCTGCCTGTGATGTATCCCCTGAGCTTCAGTATCTCAAAACATGAATCACAACAGTCAGACATCAAACCCTAAGATCTGTTGTCATGTTATTTAATTTACTATGACGTTTACACTAAAAGCAATGATTAAAGTTACTATTTAACACTGCCATGGGGCTGGAAATTAAAGATGAGGTATTTTTTTATCTGTGCCGCTTTGGTATTTCAAGTTAAGTGTCCTTTACACTGACTGACTGACTGACTGACTGACTGACCTTTAACTAAGTGTTATCGAGCTCATGGTCTTGAGAAATAAAGCCTTGTCTGCGATAACATTATTTATTATTGTCACTTTCTGGATAAAGACCGGAGTCTTTAGAGGATGGCAAAGTTGCGGAGGAATAGTTTGGGGAGTACGTGTGTCCTAATGTCCAAGAGACACACATTAAACGTCACTTTTGTAATTTAGCTAACTGCTGTTATGAGGCCTGTACCTGGTCTAGTTCTCTGTTGTGGACAAACAACTGTGCATGTGTGTCCTCAGACATGTTAGGTACAGTTAGGGCTTGGCGATAAAACGATAATAAGAAACATAGTCAATATGCTTTATAATAGTCGGCGTTCTGCCATGTTTGGGTAGATTATACGAATAGCCAATGAAAAGGGGAGTTGCTTCAGGTCCGCTTCGCACTGGACCAATCGTGTGCTGAATTAGAACCAAGTAGCGAACAACTGCGTCGTAGCAGACAGCAGCTACACCCAACCATAGCACTTTAACAGGTGAAGCAGACAGCACTGTTGGTGAGAAACAAAGAAAATGAAAAAATTTGAATGAAAAAAAAGCAGAAATGCAGATGAAGGCTCAACAGATGACATCGTTGACAACACTGGCACGAAAACGTTGGTGGTGTGGAGTTTTTTTTTTTTTTTGAGGTTGGACGTGATGCAGAGTAATGTTTACTGAAAATTGTGTTGAGCTCATGTTCTCCCAAAGCCGGGGAAAACCTCAAATTTTTTTCACTACTTGAAGCAGTGCTACACGGCAGAGCACGTGCAACACAAAAGGTTACAAAGAGAAAGCGGATGATTTAGTGCACTCTCTCTAGAGCAACGCCTTACGACAAAACGTTGAAGAGACACAAAGACTGAACAGATGCAGGAGCTTATTGTATTGCAAAAGACATGCTACCAATAAACACTGTGAAATGGCAGTTTTTATATCGAGATATATCTCAATATCAACTGATATGAAAAAAATATATCTAGATAAACTTTTGCTCATATGGCCCAGCCCTACATTCAGTATGTGTGTACTGGATGTGCTGAAACTGCAGAGTGGCAGCTTTTCTTCATTAAAACCACCATCTTGTAAATATTAATGTAAAAATATGCATCCAGGTTGGCTTCCAAATATAACTGCTAAAATTTCAGGGGAAACATGCCCCCCCTGCAAGACCCGCCTCAGAGTGACCTACGCCCTGATCTTTTCCACGGCTGGTTCCACACCTGGTGGACACATTAGTTCCAGTGTTATTGTTGTACTAAAGGAGAGCTGTTTTTTTCTAGTCTATTTATACGGGGGGTTTACTGCAAATACTGTGTAATTACTTTCAAAGTGTTATTTGAATTTTTGAAGCTCACTGGGGAAACCATTCCTGGATAGACAGTCAAGTGGGAGTAGACTGTAATTACAGCATTGGTGCCTGTTTAATGAGTAGTAGATTTAACGATAGAGTAGATGAACAGATCAAGATATCCTTGTACATATTTACTCATTCAAGTACAGTAGACTACCTGAGTTAGGTGTTCCCCACAGAGCGAACTCAGACAGATGGAGGTGGGGTTGGAAAACAAAGTCACTGGCCCTGCAGTACAGCACACAGTAGAGCATAGCAACACAAGCAGGCCCTGAATAGACACTGTTGAGCTGGGATACACGTAAATGCACTGAGAATACCAAATGAGCCTGGCATCGATAGGACTTAAAAGCATTTATCTACAAACTCAAACGGAGCAAGAAATAAATGAAGGATTGGTTGAGGAGGCCATTTGTGGTGTGCAGTTTGAGGCCAAAGCACTGACAAGTGCTAAATAATGTATGGTGGGTGGAGTGTGTGTGGACAGTAAGAAAAGAGGAAACTGAAATGATGGAGACAAATGTTTGGGGCACAGAATCCCACAGATACGATAACATGTTTGAAGTATTTGCAGATGTTACTCGAAATTTAACCAGAGCTGAAAAACATTTTAGAAGGATTGAAATCAGAACGGGGATCAGCTTCTGTTTTGTGCAAAGATAGAGCAAAAGTTTTTTTTATTTACGTTTTAATTTATTGTTTATTATGGAGAACGGCTGTTAACTGTCTTTTTTGTTTGAAATTAGTCCTCAACTCATCTATTTGTTTGCAGTTCCTGTCATTCCTCCGTCTATTTTCCAAAAGAAAATACTTGAAGTAAAAACAGAACCCATAATTATTGTTCCAAACATTTCTGTATTTCAGGGGGGCCCAAATTCTTTTCAGAGGAGGGACAAAATTTAATCGAGGAAGAGGGTCACGGGCCAAAACTAAATATTCATGTTGGAGTGCAAAAAATTTAATATGCTTACAGCATAACTCTGCAACATAAACACTCATATAAAGTAATTTTGAAAATTAATAACACCATTTTTTACTGTGTTACTGTGCATTCTGTCGTGATGCCAGAAAGGTTTTCCCATTTCATGCCTTTTTTCATCCATAACTCGCTCCACTGCCATGAAAGCATCCATGCCTTCTGTTGTCCCTGTCAGTGCCTTAATGCTAGTTCCTAACACACTTCAAAGTCCTCATTAACGCCTCGAAGGGAGACTGGCAGCTGGGCCGAGTGCGATATGCCCGTGCTTTCATCACACGCGACTGTCAGACACTGTTTCACAAAATCACTCGCCGCAAAAGGTCGACCAATTCTGACAACGATGGAGCTAATCCGATAACTTGCCCGAGTGACATTTGCTTGTACAGATGATGGTTGGTACGTTGTTGGGAGGTTAGCCTTTGATAGCTAGTCTCCGGTCTTCACCTTTCCCTCCTCTCCGGTGTATTTTGAGAACTGGTGGGAATGCTGCGTTTCGTAGTGGCGATGAAGATTATACTCTTTTAAAACAGCAACATATCAGGAGTACTGCTGTGAAATCAGTTTGAGTAAAAAAGTAATCATGTTCCCAACAATTTTAAAACTTTTTCTTATCAGAATACCACTGCCTCATAAATCCCGTCTCAGCCATGACCATAGACTGTACTATGGACAACGTAGTTCTGCCTTCTGCCTGTATACGAGTTTGAAGCCGAAAAGTTCTCAGTGCTTCCGTGTTTTTTCTCCATTTCCTGAAACCAACATTGCGCAGTAGCATTGTACACATGTGGCGGGAGAGTCACTGTGATGACGCTCGGCTCAGACCCTCGGGTGAGCCACGCAATCCCTGTCCTCCCATAGGCTGTATCAGGTGTCAATCATAGAAAACATGATCCCCCTAATAACTTTTAAAAATGGAGATGTATAGAAAAAAGAGGACTTTGAAAATTTTGTTCTGTGTAACAAATTTCTAAAGTTTGTCCACAGCTCCATACTTTGCTGGTGGAGGTGGGGTTTATGACCTATACTGCAGCCCGCCGCCAGAGGGTGCTGTTCTCGGAGTGGCTTCACCCAGCGAGATGGCAGACTCTGTCCATTCTATATACAGTCTAAGGCCATGACCCAGCATCTTCTCACTTTCAGGTCATGGGCTTCCACATCTGAGCTGACGGGAGCTCAGCAGCGCCACCCTACCCCCAATCTAACACAATGTTAATTTGAGGTCAAGAGAGGAAGTGCAATAATAAATAAATATTGAAAGAGATATCCAGACTGCTGTCAGCGGGAAATACATTTTTAAAAAGATCAAAATTTCAAACATGGGCAGCCGTGTTGTATTTGAAGCCTGAACTGACTGAGAGGCTGTCCTAAAACACAATAATACACTTTGGTTTTTAAACAACTTCTCCAGCATCTTGTACTCTGACTTTTTTCTGAGCTGATGTCGAAAAAGTTCTGTAGCATTCTTCCACCTGTTCTCTCTCCAAGAGAGCCAAGAGGTTTGTTCTTCATATTTGCTCATATGTCTTTCCAATCAACCACAGCTACATTTACCTCTTTATGTACAGTGTTTGAACAGTCATAATAATTTAAACACATATAGTTTAAAAAGGACTTTCAGACACAGCTCTAGTTCAAATGAACATTTCCATTCCCAGCCTCTACCTCTCCTCTTTAAATAAAGTCTCAGTTGCAGGTATCTGTTTTTTTAACTGTACTGTTTTCCTTCAGCTGTTGGAAACTTGACCTTCTACTTTGCATCATCCCTAAATAAATAATAAATAGATGACCAACTCCTTCCTGGCAGAGGAAAATTAAATGACTCTTGTGGGTGTGTATCGTGCCTTTTTTCCTCACTTTTCCTTGATAATTGGATAAAGGGCACCGCAGGAACCCACATGTGTCAACAGAGCTGATGGTCATGAGATCCCATCTCATGTGTGAAGCATCATTTACAGCAATCAACACCCTGAGAGATAAAATCACGTCTCTGTGACTCATCCATCACCCAGATGATGAAGCGTATTTACCCACATATAACATGCATAAACCTGTCTTTTAAATCACAAAGTATTTCTGAGAGGTCGGAGAAGGTTCGAGAAATAAAACTTCTGTCGTGTTGTTCCTGTACTGTGTCCACATAATGCTCTTTCAGCTTTAATATCAGGTGGGAGAACCTTCACTCTATTTCAAACCTCCAACAATGGCAGAAGACAACACTAGGAAATGGCAAACGCAGCCATGATGGCCTTTCTACAACCATCAGAGGCCCCCCCCCAGGAGTGTGGATCAAAGTCAACATCCAGGAACGTTGGGACAGAGCAGTAATATGAGAGTTCATGGATGCAGACAGCATGTCATTAAGCTCACTCATGAAAGTCTGATACATGATACAGAGGGTTACAATGCATGTTACCACCATACTGTACAACCAGTGAAGAAATTCATGTAAATGTCCTTTCAGGGAGTTGTCATGGCTGCATTATCAATCAGTAAATTAAAGTTTCCACTGCAGGGTGAGAAAGCTTAAGATCTGAACATGGCATCCACACAGCCTGTGGCCTGAAGAGGAACCAATCTTTGATGGGCTCAGGTGTTTCTGTGAGGAAGAGAAATAGCTGCTCAGTTCTCAGTCTCTGTGGTTTGGTGGGTGTAATGTATGTATCAGTATACACATCAGTATTGATGATTTACATCAGTATTGTTGTTATCATCAGTCTTGTTATCAGGATCGAGGAGCCCAGACATGAGATTTTAATCTCTTACAACTTGATGCTAACTGTGACCCCATGATTAAATCTGTGAAATCTACTGAATGAATCAAACATACTTTGATTTTATAGCTTTTGGAGAATGAACTGCTGAATGCCAGTATCTGCCCATGATGCCAGTGTCCTCCAGTATTCAGATCTCTTTCAGAATGCCCGACTTCCCCTGAGGGTTTGCATGCAGACAGACAGAGAGACTGTACGTACTACTTTCATGTCGTAACACTGCATGAATCTTCTATAACATTGTGTCTCATTTCAGAGAGCTGCACAGATTAAAGGGAAGGATGTGGATTTCTTCTTGCTAGGGGACCCCCCGTGAACTGGCTCATGAAGGGTTATCAACAGTCTTCCAGACACAGGATGACTGGTTTAACATCCATCTGAGTTCAACAAGGACAGCAGTGGAAACCCCCTTCTGAAGACTGAGGTTGAGGCAGAACAGGCAGAAATCTCGAGCAAAACCAGACTCATGTAAGACTGAGGCTGCAGGTGCTTCCAGGAGGCTGTAAGCAGAACCACCTCCTCTCTCTACAGTGGATACCTGCTCACAAAGAGCATCAAGGTAAACCTCCACCTCTGAACCTTTTCCCTACTAGAGACACAGACATGCAATGCAAACACTCAGTCAAGAGGGGGCAGTTTAAACTTTTTCTGTAAGACATTTTTCAGTTTTGTCTCTATTTTATTTTAATATGTAGGTTAATTTCATTAAGTCTCCTAAAGCTCATGTCTTTCCTGGTGTATGTGAGAAACAATACACAAAAATGGATTATCAAGCACAGAATGATCAAAACTGCAGGGTTTGGTGAACTCTTGGTTCTTCACAGTCATCTGCATGGCCGTCAGACTGATGCGGGTTTGGTTATGGGATATTTGGTGGAGGGTGACAGCAGTGGTGCCGGTCAGGTGGGTAAGCGCTGAGCCTTTGGTACTTCTCGCTGCATGTAGGATGCATAGGCTAAGAATGTGGATGTTGAGTGGGCAGGGACAGGAAGCTGGTTAACTCTCTGAGTAGTTGGTTGACCAACATCCTTGTTGAGTGGGAGCTTTCAGCAAGCCTCATCCTATCTGCACCACGACACACCAAGACCTGAGAAAAAGGAGCTGCCACCATTGGTTCTGTTTTCAGATGTCACACGAGGATGAAATAACAAAACTGTGAACAGCAATATAGTTTTTATTTTACAGCTATTATATTGTGTATATTGTTATATAGTTGCACTGATGTTAGGCTGTTAGATCTCACCCTCAACAGAAATAAACACTGCTGTGTCCTCATTGAAGAATGTCCTACAAAAGGCTCAGCTGACTCACATAGCGAGCCAATGTGGTTCGCTGTAGTTCCCATGAATTCTCTGCCATGTACTCTTAAATGTCAAACTGTAGGGACAGTACCGTAGAAACGTCAGCGGTTTCACAGTCCAAATCCAGTCCTTTAATTCTGAAGACTGAGGAGGGTCATGCACTCCTGCTTCATGAATATAAAAGAGACATTTCTATTTGAATTCAGCAAAAAATTGTGAGTGGGAAACAAAGAGAATTGTTCCACTCAGCTGACTCGATCTCTTGAGAAAACAATTCAGTTGTAAATGTTTCTGTTTACAACTGCTTTCTTACTAATATCCTCGATTCCCAAACTTCTCATTAGGGCACAAACTTTAGTTCAGAGTCTCGTCTGATAAGGCAAAGTGGGGAGGGGAAATGGAAAGACTAAATGGTTTTTTTTTTAAATTATAATAGAGAAAGAAAAAGCAGTCAGAAAATGGAAATGTGAAAAGGAATGGTCTTTTTAGTGTTTTCTTTTTTTTTCACTTCACATTGTGATCCATCTGTAACACATGTAGGAGTAATTTATTAATTTACAGTTTTAATGATTCATTTCAAACTCGTTTTTTTTTCTAATTCCTGTTTATTTCTGTTTTATTTGATTAATCTCATGAACCAGTTTATTGATCCCTTTTTAAATTGTCCGATTTCAGTTTACATTTTTCCTGTGACCCTTGTAGGCCTCCATAGTGTACATGTCACTCAGTGTATAATCTTACAATGATGTCCACCTGTAGAAACACACTCTCCACTTATCAGAAACGAGGTTTTTGCTGGTCAGTTGAAAACCGTTCACTGCACATCTCTCCTCTCTGTTAGTGTGTTTTTTTTAGTCTCTATTGTCAGCCCAATATCATCTCCTCCTTTACTGTGGCTTCTGACAACCAGTTTACACGTGGTTATGTAAGACTCTCTGGAAGGAAACCCACTGAGTCATCGTGCCCATCGAGAGCCTGTGTGGTCGCTGCTGAGGGAGTGAGGTGATGTCATCTCTAGAAGCCCACGCATCCACGCAAACTCTCGGAAAAGAAGTCAGGGATCATCGCCATCCTCGAACCTCGAGCTCCAAACATTTGACAACAAAAGGTTTTCTTTGTTTGTCCGTCGGTGTGTTTGTTTGTTTGTCTGTTTGTTTGACAAATGTTAACACAAAAGAATCTCAACATCAATCTCGAACCACTTTGTTTCTGATTCTGTGGACTTTGCTGATGTGTTACTCCAATCTGTCGAAGCACAGACGGTGGACCTGCGTTCATCTACCTGGTTATGTAATTTCCTCTTTGCGTGTCTCCTCACATTCAAAGCGGACACTTTTTCTACTTTGTCCTCCTCTTACAGCCACTGTCTTCTCCTTCTCCTGTGTTAAAAAAGTGATATATACTTGTTTGCATCACCATACAGAAGAGAATTCTGATGACTGAAGCTGGAGTGTGTTTTTTAGAGCCTGGTGGTTCATTGGACAGGAAAGTGGCGACACAGAGCTTCTTTGTTTGAGTGACTATGACCAGTATCTTATATTATCTATAAAATGTTGTTAAAATTATAAGAAATAACAATATTAGTGATACTAAACATGTACTGACACTTGGTGCAGGATACACACACCAACAATAAAACAGGGAGTTTTTTTAAAGCACTGTCAACAACACAGGAGCAGAGCTGAGAGTTGTACTTTCTTAGAGATGAAGATTTGATTTGGACCCTGGAGTGACTATTCTTATTGTTGTTCCATCTAACAAATGCTCCTGCTGTGTTTCACACCCTTGTCAATGCTGTGAAGGACAGTCTCATCTCTGATCAGTGAAACGACATACAGTAGACTGAACGAATACAGACACTTCTATACTTCCCTGATCACAGTCTTCATTTTCCCTATTTCCTATTTTATGTCTGTTCTTTTACTTTATCATAGCTAACAGAGGGGAAATGCTGTTTGGTAAATATGTAATATTTAATATTTCAGTTTAATCTGTTTCCTGTTTCTACCCATCAGTCTAGTCAGCCCTGCCTTTAATTCACCAATCTTTTAATCTTAGTATCTCAGTTTAAAAAAAGCATGTTAATAAAAAGATCACACCCCGAGTCTGCCAAGACAAAAGAGTCACTTTCTACAAACTACAGATGAAAACACAAATACAAACAAATGAGGAGAGATGGTCTGGGTGTAAATGAAATGTCTCTGAAGGGTTAGTGTGTCTGCTTCACGCTCTGCTCTGCCAGACAGGAAATATCAGACTCTTCTTTGGATGCTGAGAGAGTCGGTACCATGAATACTTTTGGATAATCCTTCAAACACTAACTTCTTTCTGTTCTTCTGCCAATACTAGAGTTTCAGAGTAGTTTACACCCAATGCAGCAGAGACTTCAGTCCACTATGTAGTTTTATGATTTCATATGTATGATATAAAAAAAAAGTTGAAACACACACTAGCACAAAACCTGAGCTACACAGGCTTAGAGAACACTGATAGCAGTGGTCAGTGGGGTTCACTAGTAGACTCGTGGCTTTCACTTGAACGGCTCCATTGTTTTGGTGAGCTGTTCACTGAAGGAGAAGCTGCCTTCATGAAAGGCAATCATCCTGTTCTGTTCCAGCACTTTCTCCTCCCTATTCCTGTCTGCCTGTGTGACTGCCAGCCTGCCGAGGGTGCTCTGCAGCACTTTTTTGAGCCTCTTACTCATGCCCCTGATCTATAAACAGGTAGACGGATAAAAAAAACACAAAAATAACCTCAAATATATATCCGTTAGTCAGATGGAATGGACATGTTATTGTATATTGATCAATGTGTTGAATATTCTTATTGTATATTGATCAATGTGTTCTAATCTTTGGCAATATTGTTCTGACTTCCATGCCAATAAAGGATAGATAGATAGATAGATTAGATAGATTGATAGATTAGATGGATTAGATAGATAGATAGATAGATAGATAGATAGATAGATAGATAGATAGATAGATACTGTATTGAAACCACATTGGCTAGGACTGCAGGCTACTGCAGGGTCCCTCTGCTGGCTCGTTGTGAACTCTTTTATGCAAGGGAGGGACACCAGTTATATCATCCCTCCTACACCAATCCAGACTGCCTGCTGATGCAACCAGGAGGCTGCTATTTATTGACATCCTTTGGGTTGTTATTATCATCACATGTGTGTAAGCTAGGCTACTGCACCCAGACAAACATGACGATGGCTGCACTGCATAGCTGGAGTGGAGCTGGTCCAAAACACACACATTTCACTGCACGTGTGTCCATGTGAGCTGAATATGAGGAGTGGGTTAGTGGGATCATGGCTGTTCATAAACCAAAGACCCTGATGGCTCTGTCTGCGGAGTCTGAATCAGCCTCAGTGTTCAGAGGACCTGAAATAAGCTAACATGGAGCTGAACTTCACACACAGAGCAGGCCACAAAACAGCGCAGCAGATCAACTCCCACAGATCTGACTTCACCGGTGCTCGGACCTGATTATTCCGCCTACAACTACAATGACTGAATACTCAGACTTCAGTGTGTTCCATGAGACCGGACCTCTGTCCCTTCACCTACACTGACAGTCCAAGTCCAGCTTTGTGTCCACCCACCTTACAGAGCTGGAAGTCTTCTGACAGGAGAGTTTCTTGGACATCGATTTCTTTCGGGGTTGGCGCCGCAGTGGGAGTCCCGGCCCCGCTGCCTCCTGACGGGGATCCGAGAGTCGCTCCCGGGGAAGAGGTCGTCAAGCCGTCCAAGACTTTACGAAACTTCCTCATTTTCTATCGTAGCGACGTGATTCTGGACGAAAGGACAAAGACGACTGTCCTTTGTTTCTTCAGGATCCCCGATCCCCACTCAGATGAGGGTTCAGGTAAGATCCAGATCTGCCAGAAGAGCAATAGGGGGAAAAAGACGAAGACGAGGAAGAAGGAGAAGAAATGAGAGAAGGGGAATAAAAATCATGCAGATCCAGGGAAGTCAAAGACTCTCTCTCTCTCTGTTTTCTTAGGTGTGATTTAAAAAGTGCAGGTTCTTCATCTTCCCTGGTCGCTCTTGTTGTTTTCTACTGAAGACAAAGGAAAATAAAAAAGTGACATCCGTCTGCAGATACTCGAACACAGCCAGGGTTGCAGATGCAGATCTCCCGTTTCATATCAGAGGACCAGGAGAACTACTCAACTTCCTTTTCCGATAAGACATCCCAAAACAACATCCACGGAGTCTCACATAATCAGGCAGAAGAGAGCAGCTCTGTTTCATCAAAATTTAGCAGGTCCATCCACCCCACCCCGACCCCCAACACCCGTCCAAACAGCACTTCCAAAGCAGTGTGGTTGTTGGTACAGGACGGAAGGAGGAGAGGGAAACGCAAGACGCAGAGGCAATGCAGTGAAGCCCGGCTGAACTCCACAGTTAGGCCACGAAAAAGGAAGCGAGGAGACGGCTAGGAGAGAAGGATCAACCCTGAGCTCTGACAGTATCTGATGCAGAGGAAAGGTGGAGGCTGTTAAAGGTGGAGGAGGAGATGGTTGTTCTGGAACATCCTCTCGGGTCTTCTTGGCGTCGCTTCCCTGCAGTCAGTAAACAGGAGCTGTCCGCGGTGCTGAAAAACCGTATGTCTGCAAGTCCCGCCCCCTCCCTCTCCGTCTCACCTCTACAGCAATTGGATGATGGCTCTACATTACAGAATCATAACGGTAAGGGACCTGTGACACTGCAAAAAATAGGATAATCCACTCAAAATGGAAAAAAAATAAACTATCATTAAGACTGTAAGGAGCTCCTGTTCCAGCTCAAAGAGAAGAGAAAACTCAAACACCTCAAGATGGTTTTATTTTCTTCAACGGTTTTTAAAGTCTGCTGTAGATTTATTTTTCTCTGTTTGCCCTCTTATGTTCCTTGTTTTTTTACACTGAACACCTCCACATGAAAATACAGTTATTGACCAAGATATTCAAATGTTTTGCACTATTAATCACATCACATTTGTCTTGTTGAAAAGCAGCTTTATATTGTCATATTGTGGTTTCTGGGTACAGAACTATGGTCACAGATATAAATTCAAACTCTATAACTACAAACTAAATCTAATCTACTAAATCACAGTTACTCACAGAGATTTTTTTCCTGCTGTGGTTTCTTCTCAGAAAAAGGAGAAATGAAAATTATTTGATCTCAACATAAGGTGTAAACACACTCGCCATCCATCCCAGAGGTGTTAGGGTGTGCAAAGGTCAAAGTTCCCTGTACTGCTCAGCTGAGAGAGGATATGAGGTAAATCAGACAAACCAGAGGAACAGCATGTGTGGACGCATGATATCAGCCTTTAGATAAGTGACAAAGAAAATCAACATTAGAACAAACACTATCACTGCCTTCAAATACATAAGAAGCATACAAAGGCTGCTAAACAGTTGGTTTGTGATGAGCCAAGACAAAGAAAATAAAAGAAAATGTTGACCACAACTTTTATACCATCAAAAAGCTTCTAGTCTTTGTAGGACTTTGACAAACTGCTGTAAAACGATGTTTTCAGACAGTTGGAGCAGCTTCCTGTTATGTGGCAAGACATCAATCTAACAAAGTGCCAGAGCTTTTCCCCTAATGAGTCTTGTGAACAAGCTAATGATCTTTTCTTTCTTAAAATGCCGTCTGGTGGTTCAAAAGATAATGCAGTGGATTTACACTGTCAAGTATAACTCAAGACACCAGCAAGGAAACAAATGTTTATCAGACGTGTATGAACAGCTACTGTGACATTTCTTCAAATGGATATTTCTCATTGTTGAGGGCTTCTCTACCTTTAAACCAAAGATGAGGTGGGTTTGGTTATCCTTGGAGGTGCAGTTTATCTAGAGGAACCCCTGGAAAATTAGCCCATTTTTACCAAAAATATAAATTTGTGGCTTTACTGTTGGTTAAATGTAGGTTCACTGACTTTTTTGTGGGTCCAGCCAAGTTGGATAACCCGATGAAAGCACATCTTTGTAGGGAGAATGTGTTAATTTGATGACATTTTTGAAACTGTGGGCGTGGCTTATTGTGTGATTTTGGCCATGTCTCTGCCTGTAGAAATGTTTCAATGCTTCCTCAGGCTCCTGTAAACATACAAAGTCTAAATCAATGTAAATGTGCTGTGAGAACAAAGATATGAGGCAATCCTCCTCATTCTTTTAATAATAAGTCTTCAGTTGAACTGAAAGTGTGAACGCTCTGAGGTCTCTATTAAATATTTACACACAGTCGGCTGATAAAAGAGGTCATGCCTGAGTGAGAGTTACTAAATTCAGACTATATGGACATGAAACGTAACAGCATCCAAATATTAATAGTTTGTTTCATTCTTCATGTTTTCATTCCCATAAGATAAGAAGACATCTTTAATATCATCATATTGATTATCAATAATTAGTCGCACGGCCACTTACTCTGCTACTCCACCTTCCTACAGCTGGGGCTGGTACCTGCTCTGTGGAAAACATCCTCTACTGTGCCAGAACCAAAAACAAAATGTCCTGCTGAACTCAATGACTGCAGACCAGCGGCCCTCACTTCACGCATCATGGAAACCCTGGAGCGGCTGATTCTACACCATCTGAGGTCTGAGGTCAGAGACAAACTGGACTCCCTGCAGTTTACATACAAAGAACACATTGGAGTGGACGATGCTGTCCTCTACATGCTTCACCGTGACCTGTCTCATCTGGAGGAACCTGGGCTTTATGTGAGGATGTCCTGTGAGCTTGTAAAGGCTTAGCCTCATTTAAAACTGGATTGACATGATAGTAAATAATCAGTGTTTTGTACTAATAGATGGACTTTAATATTTTCATGAAGAACATTGAACAGGGGAAATAGGAACCATGAAGGTAGAATTTTACTGCCTTTAGAGAATGAAATAAATAATGAAATAAACAGAATTAATTAAAATTATGTTGTTTAAAAATTTAAATTAAAGATTAGTTTAAAATTCATCTAAATAAGCTGCAGTTAAAAGAGAAAATTGTTTCATTATTTATGTCTTTGTTTTGTGTTGCTGCCATCTACTGGCCTTTGTCTAGATTTTCTCCGTCAGTTACATGAGTTTGTGGAAAACAGTGAAATATTTGGGAAGGATCTCGAAGTACAGAAACTGAGTTTGGTAAAAAGTTAAAGTTGTCTGTTCAAAAATTACTTCAGCTTAAGTGTGAACGTGTCTGATGATTTATGTACTTAAGTATCAAAGGTATTTGGGTTTTAATTCGACTATTTTTAACTTATTATAGGTTTTTGATCGGTCATGATCCAACAGCTCACAGCAGCAGTAGCATGTATGTTTTTTCTCTCCAGTTTTTAGATTTAAAAACTATAACTTTGCATTTTCCTCTTTAAGGTTTTGTTGTTTCATGGTCCTCTGTCATTTGTTTTCTTCGATAGGGTTTGGATGTTCAGACAAATATTTGTATCCTAGATCAAAAATATTAGATATTTTCTATGGCATGTATGAAGGACTCCACAGGGTGTTTGAGAGGTTTTTATCTGCAGTTTTAGAAATCTGGGTTGAAATTTGTCCCAACTTCTTAGATCCTCTGTCTGCCCTCAAATTAAACCTGTTAGTGTGAGCAGCCATGAACAGCTTACAGTGTATCAATGTTTGGCTCCTGTTGTGAGTCCAAGTCAAATTTAGACTGTGAGACTGTTAAAGTGAAGCCTTACCTTTCACCTACTCTGTACAGACGGGCTGTTGCAGCTGAAATAATGGCACCGTTTCATGAAGTGCACTTCATCATCATCATCAACCCTTGAGTTCTGAGAACAGAAAAGTACCGACAGAATAATAAAAGGTACAGTCATTTATTAAACACTGTCAATGTCATTAGTTTTTATTACCACAGAGCAGGATGTAGACCGCAGTAGAACTTATTGACCAACATGCTGTGCTTTCATTCTCAGACATCTGCTTCATGGAGATCAACCCTAACCCCTCCAACAGCTTCACCTTGTGCCTCTTAATGAACACATCTGTGACAGTGAATGTGTGATCAGAAGTACATATCATGAAAAAGGTTTTGTCCCATTTCAATGTAGGCTTCCTTCTCCTGTGCAGACATCTGCTCCACCAGCTCTGGCCTCTGGCTGACCTCTCGGTATGAGAACAGTCGACCCCCCACCGTCACCATAGGCTCATCCCCCACCTCCTCAAACTCATCATCTTCTTCCTCTTCCTCATCAGCCTGATGGTGAGCAGCTGTGGCAGTGGAAGGAACTAAAGGAGAGCCGTCATCTGATTCGCTGGTGTCACTGTCAGAGTCACTGGCGTTCGCTGTGGCAGAGGTGAGCGCCCTGCTGGCAGCGCTTGCTCCACCTCCACCACCTGATGCCGCACCTCTTTTCTCATGGATGAGCAGGGCGCGCATCACCTCCTCATTGTCATCTACCTGAGCGATCCGATGACCAGCTTCTCCATCCTGGGCTTTGGGCGCCATGTCTGCACCTGTTTAAATACAAGGTCTTAAAAACAATTCTGTGACTGTAGATAAGTTCTTTTAACTCTGACTGAAGTTTAAAAATTTTTCACTAAAAATTTCCCGTAGTGGTTTCTGTTGTGAGGTGGGCTGCTAAAGTGTAATTTTGGTGAAGTCAACTAAATATTCTTATTCTGTTAATTCAACAGTTATGTGGAGCTGGTTGCCACAGATGTCCTCCTGCACACTAAGTTTTAAATATGATGAAACGCTCTGGTTACTGATAAGACCATACTCACGGTTCTTCAGGATGTCAGGCTCACTGTAAGCACCTTGTACAGTGCTCTGGGTCAACCAGACCGGCCTTTCCTTGGGTGCTTTGCCTTCGTTAGCCTGCTTCAGCTGTTCCTCCTGTTCCTCCATGCTAATAACCACATTCTGGGTGTACAGGTCGGCATAAGACGAGCCTTTGTTTGACCAGGCTTCACGATGCGGTCCGCTTGCAGCGTTTGGTCCTGATGCTGCAGCACGTTCACGGCTATTGGAGAAGAATTACAAACATCTGTGAAATGACCGCTTACAGCAGAAATTAAATATGTAAATAATAATGTATACAGGCCAAAAGTTTGGACCTCTACTACGCCTCCAGAAAATAAATGCTTATAGCACAAACATACGTAAGGATATCTAACAGAAGCATTTTTTACTGCAGTGAACTTTTATCTTTGTTTTATAAACCTTTATCTTTCTACATGAATGTGATGCTGACTGTGAAAGAGTGGAACAGTGTTGTATGTCTGTGAGGTTTACCTCTGTTTCAGGGCAGGGATCTCAGCAGGCTCAGGTTCCAGGAGGTCATGGGATAAGTTCACGTCTTCTGTCTCGCGTAGTAGTGCGTAGATGGGTTCAATCTGTTCGTTGAAGCGTGCCACAAGGGTTCTTGCATCTGGACAGACCGATGCGTCCTCTTCTACCTCTGTTTGGCAGAAAGTGCAGCGAAACGTACCTGTGGGTGGTCAAGAAAGGCATCATGTTCAGCTGCTCATATAGTTCTTGTTGTTGTTCAGCATTTTACCTTAACTCTGAAATACTCTTTATTACTATCCATGCATTAAAACTTTCATCAACAGTGATCATGTCCTCTTTGCCCCCTCCTCTTCCTCAGAAACAAGCTCAGTGGTCAGTGATGGCTTCTCTCTCCTGCTTCCTTTATTCATGTTTTCCATATTGTGGTTCAGGTTATGTGATATTTCTTATTGAAGACAAACAAAAGCAGTCTGTGAGAGCCGAAGACGATGTCAGGCTCAGTAAATTCTGTTTGGCCCAACAGAAAAGGTGTGAGTGTGAAACCAGAGACTGTATAGAGCAGATCTGGGCATTTTACAGCCCGAGGTCCACATCCGGGCCTTTGGATGTCCCTGCCCGGCCCTTCCTGAGGTCTGTCATGCAAGTGTGTTGCTTTTATTTTGAAAATCAAGCCGTTGTTTTATTTCCGTTTGGACGCACGTGCATACATCCTAGATCTGTGAACAGAGACAAGTTTAAACATTGGCAAAATATTCATAGACGCTTTATAGTTGCAAAGTCGGCTTATCATAAACGACTTTAGGCTTGTTTCTCTGTAAAATTCATGAGTCGCGGATGCGCTTCTTTTGGGCCTGTTTTTAACTACTAGTTGCTTATTTGGGCTTGCTTTTCTGTATGTGTGAACACGCCTAATTTGAAGTTGAGGTTGTAGTTGGTTCGGCCCTCCAACACAGTTCAAGTTTCTCATGTGGTCCTGTGTAAAAATTGATGTAGTTCACATGTACGTAGTTCACAAAGTTGTTTAAACACACACTACTCCAAGAAAGGTTTCCAGAGTTGTCAGAGCTCGCCTGATGAATGTAAGAAGAACATATCTTACTGTGTGACTGCTTTTACTGTACACACTGACTGTGACATTATTAAGAGGTACAACTTATCCACTTTTGACTGTTTCCTTTGTTTTGCTGATATGTCCACTGTATCAATTAATTCATGATCAGGGACCACCACCTCTCAGATGTTTTACACTCTGCAGGATCACGGCGAGGGAGACCAGGGCACCTGTGAGAGGTGACTGTTCAGTTCGATTTAAGAAAAAAACGTCTTTTTTGAGTCAAAGCTGCAGAAAAGTGGAGCTCAATTCTGTCTGATACAGACACACAAGAAACAGTTTTTTAAAATAAACCAAAAAAAATCAAAGCTGAAAGCAAACCAATCATGTGATCTTAAATTTGAGCTCTGCATTCAGCTACAGTCAGACAACTTTATGACCTGCTGAAATCCATTCACTCTTTCAGGCATTAAATGACAAGGTGCAAATGTGCTACATACACTGATTTTCACTGCACGTTTTAATGCTTACCAGTGGCGAGGTCAAACAGCTGATTAGCCTCCAAGTCTGTGAAAGTGGAGAGACAACAAGGGCATCGGAACGAGGCACGATTGGTTGAATCTCGCTCATCCGTCTCAATTCGCCGCCGCATGTGATCCAGTTTATATTTGACCACATTCACCAAAACCCTAAAAAGTTATGGAGGTAAAGCTCAGGATGCAGGATACAGAAGAAGGTCTATTATTACCATCACATGCAAACACAACAGAAGATTATCACCTGTAGTTGATGAAGTAGTAGTTGTGTCTTGTTGTCTTCCCATCAGCAGCTGTTTCTACTCTCATACGGCACTTGACAAATTTGTCTAACTTCAGGGTGTTGAGTACCGAGCGAAGCTGCTTACGATCAAACTTCAGCAGCTCCAGCATGTCCTCTTCTCGCACACACGGATTGCGAATCAGCACATCCAGGGCCAGAGCGTGCTCGATCCCATAGAAACCTCTTACTACCTGCTTGGCGAGCCGCTTCAGTGCCGCTGGAACTTCCGTTAAGAGCTCCGGTTCAATCATGGTCTGCTGTGTACACACACCAGATGGGGTGAAGATCTGAAACAAACAGGCAAGGGGATTTAGGAGAGAACAGGAGAGCAAGAGAGACTGTTTGGAGGGGAAAACTGGACTTTCATATGCTTCAAAAATGAACGTCCTGAGATTAGGACGTCTCCGCCAAGGATGGTTTGACAAACAGCACACTGTGGCACCTCAGTTCAAATCCATGTCACAGAGTTTGACTTTACAGACTGTAACTGATGAAAATGTTTCATTTTCAGAAAATCACACCCAGAACTCAGAACCCTGGATCACAGATTACCTGACAGGAAGGCCACAGTTTGTTGGGGAACTGTGTTTCTGGGACATTAATGAGCAGCACAGGGGCTCCACAAGGGACAGTGCTATTACCATTCCTGTTCACACTGTATACGTCAGACTTCAAATACAGCACTGAGTCCTGACACATCCAGAAATACTCAGATGACACCGCTATTGTGGCATGTATCAGAAATGGACAAGAAGCTGAATACAGAGATCTGATAAGAGCCTTCAGTGACTGGATCTACTTCATCTACAGAAAGGGGCAGAGCCGCCTCTTTTGCCTGAGAAGACTCCGATCAATAGACATCTGTAGTTAGATGCTGCAGATGTTTTATGTTTTTTGAAAAAGGCTGGCTCTGTGGAGGATGTGGTGGAGAGATCTACACTGAGGAAGGTGGAGACTATTCTAAAGAACATGGATCACCCACTTCACAACACCTTGATGGACCAAAGCGCCAATGGTGGTGGACGGCTCCTCTCTCTTCACTGCAGGACAGAAAGATTCAGAAGATCTTTGGACCAACAGACATCAGGCTTTATAACTCTTGTGTAAATAGTAGATAACTTTTAGAGGCATATTGTGTGAGAAAACGGACAATTGAATTTCCCTTCAGGGATTAAAAAAGTTCTTCTTCTTCTCTTCGATCAGGTCCAACTGTTAAACTGAGATCTCTCCAAACATCAGCAGACATGTTTCTTATCTGATTATCGTCTCCTAAAGAGATTATCTGTCTCCGTTAAACTTCACCATAGTCTTCTATGATCTGAACTGTCGACTCACCAAAGTGTCTCAGGTCCGAAAAGCCGGTTCTGGAGCGGATCTGCGTGTTCTGGGTCCGTCTGAACTGGACTTGGAGATGGTCTGGATTACTGTTAAACTTTCCAATGACAGTCCATGGAGCGGAGATCCTTCCTGAGTTTTTAGACTCAGTCAAACTGAACTCGGAGCGCTACAAACACAAAGTCCCTCAGTTAACAGTTCACAACCAGAAGAACTACGACTGTAGAGAAACCCCGGAAATCACTCTTTAAGCTTCTTCTTCTGCTGCTTCCATTTTCTTCTTCTTCTTCTTTAATGGAGTTTATTGGCGGTTGGCAAACCAACTTAAAAGAGCATTACCGCCACCTACTGGACTGGAGTGTGGAACAGTAAATTAGACAAAATAATACTTAAAAAAAGGAAATGAGATCCTCTCCAGTATGCCTATGTTCTTTGAATATGACATTAAATGCTTAAACATGTTTTTTAACGCTGCAGGTTCTCCATGTTCAGCTCCATCCTGGTTTCTTCTTCTGCTGCTGTCAGTGTCCTTCTTTCCTCCTCATATGTGTCCTCCTCAGCTTTCAGGACCATACATTAATGTACTCACTTTAATGTAAAGACTCCTGTTTTCCTTCATGTGTGTTCAATAAAGTTCTATTGGAAAAAAAAGCCCCGGCCTGTACCGTCCCCTCACTACCTGCGGGGGGCAGTAACGGGCCGGAAGGGATCCTGTCTGCTGGAAATCCAGAAGAAGAAGAAGAAAGACGAGACGATAGAAGAAGAGTTTTCTTAGTTTTAGTTTTCTTTAGTTTTCTTCGGTTGTTTTTTTAGAGAGCGGAATGGCTGAAGAATTGTGGAACAGAGTAAACCTCCAGTTTCCCGGGGCTGTATCTTGTGTCCGTATCCGATTCGGCGTCACCACAGGTAAAACACCGAAGAAGCTTCAGGTCCATGTATCTCACATGGGGAAGAGCTCATCGACCCTCAGCAGTGTGGGAGGTTTCCGTGGTGTGTTCTCACAGTTTCTGATGTTTCTGTATTTAGACGCTCACGTGAAGAACCTGCTGGTGGAAAACGAGAAGGTCCTGAAACTGATGGGGAGTGAGAGTCTTCAGACGGAGATACGAGTCCTCTACGAGCTGCTGTACATCCTGAAGAACAGCATGAGAGGACACCAGACCTTCAGAGGCTTACAGCAGGTACAGCTTCTCAGCAAACCCCCCCATAACAGTCTACTGTGTCCACTCTGACAGCTGGATAAGCATCAGTACTGACCAGAACCTTCTGTGGTTCCTCTGTCTCAGGTTGAACAATGCATCAACAAGCTGAAGAAGATGAGTCTTAATGGTGCTCTTCAGGAGCTAAAGGAGAGATGTCCGAACAGGTTTCAAAGGTAGGGGTGTGTTTGTGTGTGTGTGAAGGTTGAGGGTGTTTCTGTCACTGCAGATGAATATAGAGTCAAAGAAAGGCTTTAAAGAGTTTTATTAACTAACAAAGTTCACTTCATAAAGCACCAAAGTTAGATCTTCAGTCCACCCTCTATCTCCAAAATCCTTACAAAAACAGTCAACACTCAACTCCACTCTCACTTAAAGTGATATTCCAGCGTAAAATTAAGTTCAGGTCAAACACACCATAACACCGAGTTAGACCCCCTCCAGAGATGAATGTTGCCGACCGCTTGCTTCTCTAGTTATACCAACTTTAGTAACGACCGCAGGATAGCAATACAGAGAGCCATGTGCTCAACCAAAACGCCTCTCTATAGCCACAAATAATGCTCAGAACAGCACCTAACTTCATCAACGGGACATATAGGGTCACAGACATAGTACTAGACACCAAACATCTTTTTAACTTTTACAACTGTGGTTGTAAGCATTATAAAACAGTCGCGAATACTGATGAGAACTTTGAGATTAATGAGACAGAGCCCCGAGCTGGCGTTTGCTGTTATCTTCAACCTTTAGCAGCTGTTCTCTCCCAGAAGAGACTCGTGTAGTTCATGCAGACTGCTGTAATTCTCATCATTGAGTGTAATTGTGTTTTTGTGTTTAGAGGACTGAGCATCAAGGCTGGTGAGTGTGACGTTCCCAGTCAACCCATGCTGGAGTGGACCTGTCTGAAAGTGCTGGGGGCCTCCCAGCTGATGAGCCGCACGCTGACATGCTGTAGCAGAGCTTTCATGTATCCTTCGTCAGTGTAGCTCTATCAACACAAGAACAAAACTCTCACTGAGATTCATGACGGTTTGCTGCATGTACTCTCTTACTCTCTGGTCATTTTCCTAAATAATTCTTCATCTCAGACGCGCCAAACAGCAGATGAAATATGAAGAGTTTGTTATCCTGAATGTGGTGATAACTAGCATGCTCAGTCGTCTTTGGTGAGTGGATGAAAACTTCCAGTGGTACAGGGCACACAGCCTGAGGTTTAGCAGTACTTCTTTCTCCAAGTAAAGTTGCTTTTGTGTTTGTCTTGTGAAAACAGTCTAAGTCCGCCTCTCTTCTGCTCTATCAGGGTGATGTTCCGAGGAATCCTGTGTTGCTTGTCCGCTCTGTATCAGCAGCTCCTGACTCTCCTTAAAGAAGTAGCTGTTGCCAAGCCCATGCCCTTCCTCACAGACTGCTCTTTGCCAGCAGATCTGGCTCTCTTCCTGGGTCCCTCTGACACCTTTTCACTGATGAAGCGGTCAGTACATGATCCCAAAGCTGAAGACTGTAAGAGAAAGAGGCCCTCTGGCGTGGTCAAGAACCATGGACGGACAAAGAAGGCTCGAGAAGATCTGGGTGTATCAGTTGAAAGAGGTGTGAAGCTTTTCCATATTTCTGTATCTTGGACAAAGCAGTGAAAGACAAATCTGAGCTCTTCAAAGTTTTTCTACAAGCCGTCTTGTTTGGGAAAAAAGATCAGAGTCCGTTGTTCAGTTTTCTGTTCCAGCTTTTGTTTACATTGCTTTTAATTTTCACAGAGGCAGTTTATGTGAGGTTTTATAGTTCATGATGTTCTGTGTTTTGTCACAACCGCACCATTCAGTATCCAATATCACCAACTGTTTTTCATCTATTCTTGTAGGTGTGGTTCCCGATGCTGACATGAAGCCTTTTCTCAAAGTTTTTAAAGGTTTTTCAAAGGTATGTGAAATTGAAAGAATGTAGTTCTTATCAACATTGCCAATACTTCTTCCCTGTCTTCTTCTTTTTCTTCTTCTTATTAGCTGTCAAACCAATCTATCTTATATTTTTGTATAACAGGAAAACTTCCGACAAACTGCACAAAAAGATGAAAGAAAACAGAGATTGCTGAAACAGCTAGAAGAGGCTTCAACCTTCATGGACATGGAAACCTGTCTAGGAAAAATGATCAAGTGGTGCAAATCCATGAGGATGAAAACGGAAAAATCTTTCTTAACCTTCCTGCAGTTAAAATGCCAAAAGATGAAATGCCTGGAGGAAGGAGGCTACAAGTAAGTACAACACTGCTGGATAGAGTTAATGAGTGACAAGGGTTCAAAAGTATATTACTGTCACATTAGTCAAAAATAGATCATTAAATCAAGCTGACAGTTGAAGTGCCTCAGTAGTCAGTTGTGCCTATTTAAACAAAAAGTTTTACCGTCAGTGTTGAAGTGAGGGGTGACCAGCTCTTGTTTGTCTGTGTAACTTCTTTTGTTTCTCTTCAGCTTTTATAAAATTATTTTGCTTTGAGGTTTATATTTGGAAATCTTGAAAGCCGGTGGGGGGAGAAATAATGAGTGGACCCCTTTTCTTTCATGAAGGATTCTTATTGTCATGTTATTATCGCATAGTGTCTTTATCAAAAAGGCATGACAAACTTTTGTTCAATTTAAGAGTTATTTGCATATATGAACCAGCGTCGATGGAGACTTAAAGGGACACTCTGGCGTAAAATTAAGTTAGGGTTGTTTCTGTACTTGGGTTGCTACGTAGACTAAATGAATATATCTGCCATCTGTCTTCACCTTCAGGATCCAGGGGAGGATTAAGACCTTCAGAAAGGAAGCTTGCAGGGCTTTGTCTCCTACAGGTTCAGTGCCAAAGTACCGTCAGTTTTCTGCTTCCAAGATGAAGAAAGCTTGTCTGAGAACCTCCTTACATTCGTTAAGGAGTCAATTTAAGTCGTCAAGATTAAGAACTAGTGTGAGGACAAAATGGACGAGGACTGAGCTACCAGAGCTGCGACTGCCTGGGGATAACCAAAATAACAGGACTTCACAGGACTTAGCATCTCAGGCTACTGAACATAACAGCTATGATGACATAGATGATATATTTGCCTCTGTTGGTTTGTGACCTTTTGATAACAAACATTGAAGAAATGACTCTCTGAAGAGCACTGAGCTCACTGTATGATGGTGACTACTGTCTTTGGATCTTTGAATAAAAGCTGAAACGCAAACTAATAAATGGACATCCTGGGAATGTAATGAAGTGCTGAACCTGAAGAGCTTTTTATGAACTGATTTCTTTTGGTTGTATTTAGAGTTTGTTGCACCTGAAGTAACAATGGCATCCAAAAGACAATAAGAGACTATTCTAAAGGAAAACTCTAAACACTAAGACAACTTGAGTTTACTTTAGTTTATAATCACATCACTCATGATATGTTGCATCCAAAACTTAAGCCCTTACACGAGGAAAGGTATGCTACTTTATATAACACATTTAGGCAACAAGCCAATTTAAGGGGATTTACTTAAATCATGCAGAATCATTGTAGAGGTCAGAAAAAACATGCTGCAAGAAAACACTCTAAAATCATTAAAAGGTGACACTCAAAATAATTAAAACAAGACATTAAGAAGTAATAAATATGAAAGACAATGAAATAAAACAACAAAAAAGGTTCAAATATGACAGTTGTAAGACAAGCATTAAAAGCATTGTTCAGTTTTCACTGGGTAACAGTTGACGAAAGTTTCTCGGACACTCACAAAGTGGGTGATTTAATGTGTATGAATGAGCAAAATTGATTTTTAATCAACTTTCTCATTTTTAGTAATTACTTTGAACAAATATTTACAAAAATATTTAATTTAATGTTAATCTGAAGAGCTAAATCTGACTGAGAAAATCTGACAGCATAAAACAAATTCCAGTTTAATTCATGTTTTTTTATTTTTTATTTTTTTTAAAGATGATATCTGTTAAACCTTTTGTATCAAACAAAAGACAAATGTGCCCTGATATAAGATTGATCATTGGTTGAAGTTAATATTTGGTCAAATTGAAAAATACAGTCCATGGAGATGACATGTAACCCTAATTATAGAACTAGACCCTCTCTGGTTAAAAGGATAAGGAAGTGTTGGACTGGTTTGAACTTCATCTATGACTGGGACAGTGTGTGTTTTGTAGAGTAGAGAACGAACATTTATTTCAATTGCAGCTATTTTCTTAAAATAATCACTAAACTCAGACTTCCTTAATCCGTAAAAGGCTTTGTATCTATGGCGTCATATCCTGTCATCCGCACTTTCACTTCCGGAAGGTGGGGCTTTGTTGCAGCAGCGGTTTGTATTCAGTCCATCAATACTTTGGAGAAATCGATCAATGCAGCCGATCAGATAACATCAGCCGAGGGCCGAAACCATAATCCTGCTTTGGTAAGGATCTTGATGTTTCTGTAATAATTCTTAGTAACAGATTATCGTAATACTAAAGCTGTTTAATGAAAGAGACTGATGGACCAACAGACTAGAGCATGGAAAACCAACTAAAGCAGGAGTCAAAGAAACAAGACTGCTGTTATTAAATAAGACCGAAGAGGCTTTTATTCTCTAACATGTTACATTTGTGTGGAATAACCGCGACATCTGTGGCCGAGACTCTCGGTTATTGAGGGTTTTATTCTGGACAAAGTCAGCGTTAGTAGGAGATTTATCGGAACTTTGACTGAAGTCATGTTTATAACAGGGTTGTTGTCCGTTATCTGGACTGAACTGCGTCAGTCTCGGTACCGAGTCCGCCGAGTTCTGCTGTAACGGTCACCGAACCGTCCGGCTGTAAATGAGAATAAATCTTTATTTAGTTTCTGATCGATAACTGAGAACATGATCAGGTTCTGTAGTTCATTAGTGAGAGTAGATTCCTCTTAAATCTGGAGATGACCCACCCGCATGTGTTGAAGTTCTTCGAACCTTCTGACTGAACTTCAGCCCTTTTTGTTCTGGTGAGGAGGAGGGGAGGCTTCATACTTGGACCTCACTCTGTGATCATACAGTCCTCTTTAAATGTCCATTTGATCTCTTGGTCAAAACCAAAACCATGTGTCTCCAAGTGTCCTAAGATACCAGGCTCTGCTGCTCATTTCCTCGTCCAGAACCTTCACAGTTAGTTCTGTGATCATTTAAGGAACCAGAATCAGCTTTATTGGCCAAGTATGTGACACATACAAGGAAATGGACTCTGGTAGACTTTGCTCTCTGTGTACAAACATTAAACATGAGACATTACACAATTATGAACAAGCTTAGACATCGAACGTCTACATACAGGACTGTGTGAGGCAGTAGAGAAAGGGGGATAGTGCATAGACTTTATTTTAGATTGTGTTTGTTTTACGCTGTTGTTTTATTTACTGTTTTTAATCTGTAAAGTGACCTTGGTTCACTGCGGTTCGGATCACACAACAATGACCACGGGGGAAGACTGACGTACAAATGTTGTCATCTTGGAGGATTCAGTCCCAGACTGTAAAGATAGGGGATTATTACTGGTTGCAGAATTTGATCTACATATCTCTCTCTCTGCCTCGAATGATGACAAGCCTGTTTTTCAAGTGAGGAGATGTTGCTCCACACCATCACACTGCCTCCACACAAAGATGCTCCTCTATCGGTGCAGCCATCAGCGGAGCGTTCTCCACACTTGCTAGTGAAGGCAGTCATAGCAGGCCTACAGGACCAGAGATGGGCTGTGCAGTCTCTTCTGGATTACCTGGGCGGAGAGCTGTTGGTCATGTCATCCTGCAAACCTTGGATTTATCTGAAGAGTCCCTTTTGGTTCAGGGAGATTCCTGAGTGAAACGCCCCAGAAGTCTTTATGTGTTGTCTTCAGTAAGAGCTGTTAGAAAGGATAGTGAAGGACTAAAGGGGAAATCTTTTGTACCACTTCACCATAAATCTGTAGGAGACAGCCTACGGGTTTACAGTGAAGGGGATCCTTAGTGCTGACAGGGTGAGGTCCTCTTAGGATAATAATACTAGGGCTCACTCCAAACAACGCCCCAACTTGGTTTTGTTGAACACCAGCTTAAAGTTACTGTATCACATGGACCCTATCCAGAGCACTCAAATATGACACGCCTATTCTTGGCGCAGTCAGACCCCCACTGACCACTGTAGCAGGGCCCGGGCTCACAGGGTACCAAAAGCCAACAAGAGTCAATAGCAACAGCAGAATGGGCAAATATGGCGCCATTCAACAGGAGAATAAACTGGCTTTTTAAGAGGATAAGATGCAGTTCCAAGTAACATGGTCATAACATTTGTGTTTTCTAGGTTTATTTACCTTAGAAAATGAAAATGAGGATGTTTTGAAGATAGTCGGTAGTTAGAGACGGGATCAAGAAGAAGAAGTTCACTTGAATTGAACTGGTCCTGGAGGATTCGCTTTGAGTGAATCTTTCAGTTACTCAGTTTTTCCTAGAGTCTTTCAGAACAGACCACTGTAGGGACGCCAACCATACCATTATTTATTTGAAAAAAAAAAATTAACTCAAGTTATTTTGATTTTGATTTAACCTTTTTTTTAACCAAACTAAATACAGTCCAACTAAAGGCCTTACTTGGATCATCATAGGGGTGTCACTTTACTCTTCAGGGGGTCATTTTCATCCTTTTTTAGACCAATAAAATTTTAGTTGCTGAATTTTGGTAAAATCCGGCGGAGATGTTGTTTACTGCGTAAGACAAATAGCAAACATGTGACATCAGCGGTGACTTAGTTTCTGTCTCTCTGAAACTGTCTGGATGTTTATCTCTGATTCATGTCATACCAACCACATTCTTCTCTCCAAGTATTTCTACAAGACTCTACATTTCTAAGTGAAGACTTCAGCGTGTTGACTCGTATCATAGAGGTGGCGTTGTTGTTGTTTAATCAGCGTTCTAGCTGCTGATGATCCTGCATGGGTTTGTGTTTGTAAAAAGGCCTGAGTCAGAAAAACATCTGCTAATGCTTTTGGCATGTGGAGAAACAAGAGAACCAAGAACAGGAGCGTTCTTACTTTTAAACTGATGATGTGGATCTGATCAAGTCCAGGTCCTATCAGCAGGAACTCGGTACGTTTCTTGTATTCTGTTTTGTTCCACCATTCGGGCATGTAAACAAACATTCTCCTAAGTTCTTCACTGGTGTGTAGCATTTGAAGAATCAGTCAAAGTTTTATTTGTTTCACAGCGCCCCAATAATTAAACCAAGTATTCCTGGAAAAGTGTATGAGTGTGCAGAGGAGTTCCTGCAGACCAGCTGGCTTTAGTATTCTGACAAATGGATGTCCTCATGATAGTCATCCACCTCTGTACCACTGTATACGGATTATAGACAGTCTGAGTTTGATATGCTGTTGGTGTATTAGAGACAGAGACATACATTTTGTGAGATCTAATAAAAGTAAAGAGGCAGTGGAGCGAAAAAATGTGCAAATATCACATTATTTTCAGGTGAAATGTCTCTTTAATTCTTCCACTTAAATAATCATAAAACCTTCAATCTTTTCCTGAATATTTATGTATCAAAGCAGCTTTGGGGCTTTTATTTATCCACACCCACTCTCAGTCTCAGTCTCAACACAGATGGTTTTAGATGAGTAATTCGACTAGAACTGCTGATGAGAGAAACAGCAACTCTGAGCTCATGTCATTCTCTGGTATTTGGGGGAGGGGGGTTACTACAGAAAAGTCCCTGCCTTCCTCATCAGATGGGAAATCCCCTGGACTCCACAGAGAGCTCCCTCAAGTTTTCTACAAGTACAGAATCATGAATTTTCTTGCACACACTCATTTGACTTCTTTCTTCTCACACTAACTCGAACTCTCAGTTTTCTGCCTCCTGGGCTGTCTTTGGGAATGTGTACGGTCATCTCCAGAGTCAGAGTAGTACGGAGACGTTCAGATAGTTTGGTGTATCAAATATTATTTTTTAGGTTTTTCAAATAAGCCATGAAGCCATAATAATAGAAGTGTGTCTGCTCTGTGTCAGCTGGATTTATGGTTTGATAATACAGACATCTTTTTTCATGATGTGATGATTCTCTCCAGCACTGCTGTCAGGCTGCATGAGGACACTTTTGTCTCTGTAGTATTTGCATCATTTCAGCTTTATTACCAAGTGTCAAACTTCCAGCACTTTCCTCTGATGGATGAAGACATAAAAATGTGTCATTTATAATCTGAGCCCCGAGCAAACAGAAGATTTCTGTATTTGTTTGTTATAAGATCATTTGCATCAAATTTGTTGAATTTTCTAAGAGGTCCTGATCGTCTACTCGGCTGAGTTTTGGTATGCTCTCTTTCAGACAGTGTAAAGTGCATAACTGTGCACACACACACACACACACACACACACACACACACACACACACACACACACACACTGTGAATATCCTTCCATGAGAACTTTCACTGGCCCGGTCACTACTAACAAAGACAGGAAGAGCAGAGTTCAGGCCTGACTTCCTGGTAGAGGAGAGAATGAACGTGATGCCACATCCTCAGCTGTCAAACTAACGGGACGGACACTTTAATGCAGAGAACATGTCACTCTCTGCCTTGAAACAATGCAAGGAAACGCTGACACCCACTGCTGCTCATTAATGAGGACACCATCTTCTGTTTCCACTGCAGCACCTTATGGTAGATAATTGTTAGGAGCTTAAGGGTGAAGCGAACTAAAGACGATCTTTGTCAGCCAAAATTACACCCACTCATCAACTAATCCACTAGATGATGGAAAAAAGGACAAACAGAAAACTGTCCATTATCTCCAGATCAGTTTTCTCAGTGATAATTTAGTTAAAGCTCTTTGTAGAACCATAAATGATGATGATGTTTTTTCTGACTGTGTTGAATAGGACTAAAATGACTGAGATGACTAGTGTTCTCCTGACCGTATTTATAACTGAAAATATAACCACCAGCTCGGCCTGAACAAAATGACATTTAGGAAAGAATCATGTGCAAATGAAGCTCTTGTCTGACTTTCTACTACATGATATGATTGATCAAATGAAAAGATTTTAGTTTATAGCTACTGAAGTATTTTTTTTATTTTATAATCAATGCCATCTTAAGACATTATCACTCAGAAACGAAGGACATCAGGTCTCCCTGCCTACCCTACAGATAATGGAGAAAGCACTTCTCTCCTGTTAAAGTAACACGCCATCATCTGAACTATGACTCACTGACATGTCGTCAGCCCCTATCAGCCCTTCTACACATGAAGCTGTATGATGAACTTTTAAACAATGCCATAAATCAGGAGAGCGTTCCCACAAGTTTAATGTCCTTTGGGGGGGACAGAGATATTGTCTGAGATAAATTAACAGTGGGAAACAAGGAGGAAGGAAATAAGCTCTCTGCATCCCCGATGTGACAGCATCAGTGTTTGACAGACAAAAAGCTTCGATCCAAAGTCCCTGTGAAAACCTGCTCCGGTACTGAAGTTGTTCTTTGGTTCATATATTTAGTTTGTCTTCTTTAAAAAGCATATTTAGTGGGTTTGTTGCCTTTTTCAGTAAAAACATGAGATCAGGTTGTTAAAACTGAAAAAGCTCCTCTCGAACAGCAGAGTGACTCAGGTTGACTTTCTCTCTGATCTGAGACTCGATCATTTCTCTGCGGTGCTAGTTGAGGCGAGGCGGGAATTTACTCTGCAGTCAATTTTCACTCCTCAAGCTGTCTGACAGCGAAGGGAGTGTAGAAGTCAAGTCAAAGCAATTAACTTTGAGCTCTCACTCTCCAAGAGTGAGGTCCAGATGGTGATAGATGGTTAATGATGTCCACCTTTTTTATGGAGGTTAGCTCATGATTCCTTTTCCTCAAACAGGCTGAAATGCAGTCTTGCATTGGAGAAGCTCTGCTTCATTACTGCTGATCTGCTGCGATGACATTTTGATAGTGTACTTAAAAAATCTTGGAATCTTGAGAAGATAATTTTATATTTTAATGTGAAGGGTGAGGGTGAGGGCCAGAACTTCTTGGCACAGCAAATGAGCGTCACGGTGAGAGGCTGCTGAATAATGACGGCCATCTGCTCCCACATTCGTCCACTTCTCTCCTTACATATAGAAGTGATTTACTCCTGATGCTGATAGTTGTCTGTTTTGTTTTTTTCCTTTATAGGCGGAGTGTTCAGGAGCAGAGAGGTGCAGACGTGTGTGTGTGTGTGTGTGTGTAAGTGTGTGTAAGTGTGTGCGTATGAAAGTGACACACAGAAGACTCCAGTGATGGCTGCCAGTAAAAGTAAAAACCAGAGCTCTCTGGCGCTGCACAAGGTGATCATGGTGGGAAGTGGAGGCGTGGGGAAGTCGGCCCTCACACTGCAGTTCATGTATGATGAGGTAAATGAAAACATCCGTATATAAAGAACTTCAAAGTGAAATTGATTCAAGATGAGCAGATAGCAGATGGAGAAGTGGTTTTAACAGGAACCGCCCGTCACTCTTCACTTCTCCTTTTTTCTCTAAATCCTCCATCATGACTTTTCTTTTCGATTTGTCAAAGTCTGCAGTAAAGCTTGAAGCTGTAGTTCTCCTCTCAGTTAAAATGTTGTTAGCTTTCAGTGTGTTTGGAAGTTTAATGTGAGATAGTCCAGAAAACAAAGCAGCTTTCACAAAGAAGAGGAAGAACAATGATGGATCTGAGGTTCAGCAGCGGATCTCTGCTCGGTAATTTAGCGGCACATCTGGACATTGAGTTTCTAGATCAGCGTTTTTGGTCCTCTTTTGTCTTGGCTGTTTTCTGACAGGGAGCCCTGCGCTGACACTTACTCTTACGCTGATCCTTCCTCTTACCTGCACATACTTTACAGATGCTTCATCCTTGTAAATCTAAACTTGCCTCATGGGTCTTTTTACTCCTAGTTTGTGGAGGACTACGAGCCTACCAAAGCAGACAGCTATAGAAAGAAGGTGGTGCTGGACGGGGAGGAGGTCCAGATAGACATTCTGGATACAGCCGGCCAGGAGGACTACGCTGCCATCAGGGACAACTATTTCCGTAGCGGCGAGGGCTTTTTGCTGGTCTTCTCCATCACAGAGAACGAGTCCTTCACCGCCACGGTGGAGTTCAGGTACTCCATGACGCTGACGTTTGTTTTTGTGCTTGTGAGGCTTTAAACATCAACGTTGTTCATCGCTGAGAAGATATCAGGCTGAAGATGATTCTCTCAGTCAGTAACACGAGTACCTACAGCTTATGTTTGTCATTTTGGATTCAGACAGCAGAGGTCGTCTTCTACAGTAGTGAGAAAATACAGAGAAGTCCAGAAACATGTCAGCTTGAAATGCTGAGAAGGTGTCAGAGGGGTGAACGTTTAGCTCAAAGTTTCTCTTTCAGGTAACATAAATCGAAGTATAGATTTGTTCGTAAAAGTCCTTTTATTCTTCACCTGGGGGGCTTCTCACACATTCAGATTTATGAACTGTCTGACTGTTGAGCCCGTTGTCTCTGCAAACAACTGCTAACTGTGCGTCCCACCAGACCACACAGTCACAGTAAAACACGCTTAGATCACAAAAACAGTTTTTAAATATTGTGTGATGCTGATATTTTGATCATTGGTTATGTTGCTCATGTTTACAGGGTTCCTACACAAGTATAGAAAGTATGGAAATAAATTTAGTGAATTTCTGGGTGATAATAAGTTTTATTTAGGCTTATTCTTCACGCACACAAACTACATCCAGACAAAGGCAGGTGAAGGTTTTTATCACAGCGATCAAATCAATGCTGCTAAAATACTGATGAATGCCAGTTCGTCTGTAAATTTTCATCTGCAGGCGTCTGCACACAGATCTGTTCTGCTGGTGTTTCATGAATGAGACTCAGTCTGTGTCACTGCTGATCAGTTTCAGGCAGAGGAACATGTAAATGTCACAGCTGGAAAAGCTCAAAATGAAAAGTCTCTGGAAGCAAAATTAACTCAAGAAAAACTCTGAATGTTTCCACTGACTTTGATATTTGAGTCTGATTCTTAAACTCGGCTTCATTGTTTGATAGAGTCGGCTCCTTCAGCAGCTTATTTCAGTGTCAGTTCTCCAGCTCCAGATACACCAACAGTCATACTTCTAAAAACACACGCTGTCGTTCTAACTTTACCAAACCAACCCACCTCTGCGCTCAGTCAGGGAATCAGTGTTTGATACAGTCAGTTCTGTCTGCTATGAAACGGGAATAATCAAATCCATGAGTGACAGTCTCATCATGACTGACATCTCCTCTTATTCTTTAAAACTGTGAAGGTCACCAGGACTGTCGCACTTATTTGATATATGATACCTGGTCGTTGGATTATGTTATGTGCATGTCTCCAAGAAACTCACTGATAGAGATATAGATGCTGAAAGTACCAGAACAGACTCTTTGTCCTGTTTGAAGGGAGCAGATCTTGCGGGTGAAGGCAGAGGAAGATAAGATCCCTCTCCTACTGGTGGGGAACAAGTCGGACTTGGAGGAGCGGAGACAGGTGTCTGTGGATGAGGCACGAAAAAAGGCCGAGGAGTGGGGGGTCCAATATGTGGAGACATCTGCCAAGACCCGAGCCAACGTCGACAAGGTATACAAACCCACACTCCATACTCCAGAAATTCATACTCAAGATCATGACCTTAAACGGACGACTTTATCACAACTCATCCTTGTGTTCTCAGGTGTTCTTTGACTTGATGCGTGAAGTGCGAGGCAAGAAAATGTCTGAGAACAAAGATAAAAACGGAAAAGGAAAGAACAAGAAGAACAAGAAGAGCTTCAAAGAAAGATGCTGTTTGCTTTGAACCCGACACAGACCTGTACGGTGAAACAGAGCGGAGCGCCCGGGCCGCGGCGACTGGATGTCTTTTTTTATTTTAGCTTAGTATTTAGAAGAATCGCAGCCACTCTTTTTACCTTTTGAAAACCTGAGTTGATGTTCGATCGGAGGAGACCTGCTGTTGTGGCCGATGCTCTAACTGCCTCTGACATGATGCTGCTCCAGCTCCTCTCCAGTGTGTAACTCAGCGATTTTACTGCCTTTTACTTCCATTGTTTATACACAAGAGTGTTTGAAGTTTGACAAGTACAGTGCTCTTACTTTATTTTTACTCTGAACGTGCATCATTGTCCGCTCCGACCCCTTAACCTTCATCAGACACAGGGAGCTGGAATGCTGCTGTCTGTCATATTTGTCAGCTTTTATAACGACCTGTTGATTGACAGTTTATGATACGATATCTATTAAAACTGTGACCTTTTTTGAGCCCCTCGAGCTGCTGTTATCTAGTTCAAGGTCATTAAAGGACATGATTTCATTTTTAGTTTAAGAATCAGACAATCAGTTCAGTCAGGGTGGTTAGATTTACATTTCTGTTAATGATAACAGCAAATTAACGATGATAACTTTAACTTGAAGACAAATGTGAAAATCCAAACATTTCACAGGGTAATGATAAAATCTAAAATCCTGAATCTTACTCAGAAGAAAACCAGAATTTATGTTGAGGTCATTTATCAACTTCTCAAGTTCATAAAGTCAAACTTGGGCGTTTTTTTAAGAGTGTGAAGAGGAAGTTGTAATGTGGTAACTCGTCCTTCATTGTTGTAAATGAGCAGTTTTACAACGATCAAAGGTCTGTGAGGTCTCCTGACTTCACAGCAGCTGACTTCAGCTTTAGTGGAACTGTTGAATTTTGGAGTCTGGCTGTCTTACAAGTTTGGACAATCCCAGGAGCCATTTTGGTTTTTTCCATGTTATCAACATTTATTCAAGTCATTAACATGCACTACATGACAGAGAGGTGGACTTCATGATTAATGAGGCAACACTGGACTTTCTAAAACACTTGGTGCCAACAAAAGATAAAGAGTCTGTGAGGTGAGGCTGTCTCTGTGAACGTCTCGATGAAATGCAGGGCTGCACTGAACTCGATGTTAAAACCACTGCCTAACTGTCCTCGCATTTTCTTCAACTTTCTGCCACCATGAGTTGCTGCAGTAAGTGTGTTTATGAATAAATATTTTCCTCTTTGTAAATTTTCAGCTCTTATGTCTCGTGTTTGACTGTGGAGAGTTACTGCAGTTTATGAACTTAAAGTTTGTGGATTGATAGGAGGGTTTATTGATTGACTGTGAAGGAGTTACAGCCAACGATAAGCCACTCCTCCACAGTCACTCAGAGCTGAATCCCATGAACCCTTACTTGGCTCGCAGATATAAACCGAGCAGGACATAGTGTGTACCATTTCAACAATACTGGGACGTAGAAATGGAAGATCAGTGTGGTGGAAGAGGGGTGAGGATGCTGGGAGGAAGGGGAAGGGAACAAAGCAGGGGAAGAGGAGGAAGAGGCCGAGAACATCTGCAGATTCCTGCTGGAACTAAAACTACAACTGTGATCGACCGTGTTGTCAGTCACAGCCTCGACGGGTGCAGACAAAGAAATACTGTAAATTCAGTTATTCAAATATTTGTCTGGAGAACAGGTGAGTCAATTGGACAGTAATTCAGCACTGAACTATCTGCTCTACTGTCATTGTGTTATACACAGATCTTAAAGTGGGACAAGAACATGTCACTTTTTACATTTAGACTTTACTGCAGCACAGGTTTACTGTATGATTCTGTACTGCAGCGTGTTACAGTTGGTAAGCACTGTTATTGTTCACTACAGTAACACGGGTTAAAGCAGCATTTCTCATGTTTACTGTACATGACTGTAATTTTACTCTGCACCACACAGGAACCTCTCAGAGGTGGAAGAGGACCTCTTTTTACTCCACAACAAGAGGAAGTCGTTTGTGCAACAGTGATTGTAAACAAGGCCATAAGGTAGAGAGAGATACAGTGCTGTTATAGAGTTACCTCACTACATACAGTCATGTTTAACTTTACTGTAGTTTTCAAAGGGCTGTGCAAATAGTGTATAACTCTGTCTTCAGCCTTTTCAGGTAATGTCACCAAGATCTGAGGATTTTTCTTTCATTTGAAAACACTTGGAGAGTAAACTGTCATGATGAAAACATGACAGAGTCATTTGACTATCTGGTTCAGGACTAATTATTTTGATGACACTTTCATTGATATGAATACTTTCTTTTAAAGAATGAACTATCTATTTTGAGTGAGTGACACGCTTTTGCAGGTTATCAACCAGGTTTTGAAGTTTGTACTGATTGTTTTGAGAAATTCACTAACTGTTGTGCAAATGTTAATAGTGATGTGAGAAATACAGCAAAGTGAGAAAAACTGTAAGTGGGACTATTGTTTACAATACGAGCATCTTTAACCTACAGTATAATCACATTCAGTTATGTACACAGTGGTAGCCCCCCAGTGGTCATTAGAAAGAATGCAGGGTTGATGCTGCTGAACTACTACCTGAAATAAGTATTAAACACCATTTTCAAATTGTATTTCACATCTTCTTTTTCCAGGTGAGCAGGATGTTTAGCTGCAGAGGCTCTCACAGACAGGAGGTCAGTCTTTAAGAGAACTCAGGTAAAAAGGAAACACATGACTGTCATGAATCCAGACTCAGTGATCAAAACTTGATCTTCTGTAGACCCTTCTTCAGCTGTCTGATGTTCCGATGTAAACCTGAACTGTTACTGCAGGTGTCTTTGGGGGGAGCTGCACATGAACGAATCAGGCAGGCCGACGTCACATTGACATTATGCTCCACTTTAAAAGGGCGGGTGCAGAAACACTGTAGGGAGTTAAAGCCGTAACCTCGTTAGCAGCTGCTTGACATATTCAGTGCATGCCATGCCTCAAACACACTAAGCACCCATGACATTAATAATGAAATTTACTGTTTTTTAAATCCCGTTCTGGCCTTTAAGATAAGCAGCTAAACATGCCACAGCCTTGATAAGCACATTTACTTACCTGACACTCACCTCTATGAATTTCCACTCTCTCCTGCACCTCTAAGTAGGCAGATTAGGTGGTCCTTTGAACCCACAGGAAGGCCCCTATTTAGAAATATATGAAGGGGTAAAGTGAGCCAGGCTAATGACCGATTCCGTGTCACCTGCACACTCACAGGTCTTTTATCATTCTGTGGAGAGGGCCCCCGTCCTCTGAGTAACCCTCATTATACCTGAGCTAATGTTGGGAATGAGAATGTTCAGGTGATAAAGCACCTTCACAGCCCTTCATTATACAGAGAGAGAAACAGGCTCGGTGGAATTCTGCTTGACCTATAAGATGAATGTAATGGACAAAGAATAACTCCTATTTTAGCAGTTGTTCTATATCCTGCTGTCTGCTGACTGTCTCAGAGGAGACACGTGATTTTCTTTTTGGCCATTAGGTGGCACTCTTGATATTCTGTAAACCACATCTTTAACACTCCAGCTGAGCTTTCCACTAAAAGACTTCATTCATGGAGACTATTAACTGTATGAAGGCCATTAACAAAGTCAATAAACCTTTAGAAATAACAAATCACTCTGTTGAACTGTTGGACATGCTCTAATCCAGAGTTATTATTGTTTAAATATTTCCAACCACATCACATTTGGTGGTCAGTACAGTAATCCAGCGTTTGTACACAGCCATTGATCAGTAAAAAGGGGACAAAGCAGCATGGATTGAGCAATTTGATTCAAGACAAATTGCATCAGGAAGTGTTGGTGCAATACACTCGAACCTTTGCGTTTGCTGGATACTCTTCCTCTCCCACAAAGAGTCGAAGCAGTGATGGGTACGAAAAATGTCTGAGCTGTAACAACCACTCAAGATTTTGATTCTTTTTTAAAAACCACTTTTCCCAGTTCAACATCCAGAGACCATCAGAGAGAAGCGCATCATTAATGAGCAAGTTACTGTGTTTTTGTTAGATCTGCTGAGTGCTTTTCTTCCATTCACACCTGGGTCACTCAATGACTTCACAACAATTTTCACAACGATCTGAAATTCTCTCTTGATACAGTCGCTGTAACACAAACAGAGAAACCGTACCCTGTATCAGCCTGTAAACTGCTGCGATTATGTCAGTTAAAGACAGAATGTCAGCGAGCAGAAAGGTCATGGAGGAAATGCAGAATATGTGTTCATCTTCAAATTTTTCAGGAACAAACAAATATCTATGATGAAGCGAGATAAACAAGCCCATTTCTCAGAGCTTTTTACCTCTATAGACAGACTTTTAACTGTTATCTATTTTTAATCATCGCAGTAGAACTCTCAAAGAACTTGTTAAGAATTCTCTCCCTTTTTTAGGGGTCTTCCTACCTTTGGACCTCCAGCCACCACATCATTTTATTTTTAATGAAAAAAGCTGCCAGAGCTGACATAACCAGCAGGATCAATACTTCCACACACGCCTTCGATGCCATCGAAACTAAACTTTTTAAAAAGAGCTTTTCCAGCTCATCCCAGGAAAAATACACAGATGCAAACATACAAAAATATACCAAAACAGCCACCTTTGAGGGCTCGCCACAGTCTGTCTTTCCATAACACACTGAGCAGATTTGGAGTTGATTGGACTGTATGAGTTAGTTCAAGTAGACAAACTGAAAATCCTTGGTTTAGGGAGTGCAGCAGACGTTTTTGTAGGGCTGAGTATTAGAGTAATTTAACACCTTATACTTGCTGCGCAGAGAAGGCTGGAGTGTACCAGAAGTAGACTGAACATTTGGTGAGCTGGATGAGGTGTGTGTGGAAGCAGTAACTTCCTGTTGTCAGCAGGTGGCGCTGTGTTTTTAGAGACTTTAAAGATGGATGTGATGAGGCTAAAACCTTTGACAGACATATGTAATATGAGTGAGCTAAAACATGTTCATGGTCCATGGGAAGACTGAACTTGACCACACTGTGCTGACCAGAAGGCAGGAACTAAAAAGCATATCAAATGAAAGGGTTATGAAAAATCACAGCTTATGTATGTATTATATACCTGATGGATGTAGGAACTAAATCTCACACTGACAGAAAACCATCTGAACACATCAGAAGCAAATGTTTAATACAAAGTAGAAGTAGAAAATCTACTGCAAAGTAGAAACTTGAAATAATCATTTGGATGCATTTCCCTCAGAGAGGACAGCGCGTGGCGGTCAGGGCAGAGACAAAGGTGCTGCTGACCCTCTTTGAACAGGGTGTGTTCAAGGCCAGCAGGGGGTAAAAAGACAGAAATGAAACAAAAACAACAGTGGCTCCTGCAGCTGCATGAATACTTCACCAAAATAAGACTTAACATCGAGTCACATATCCCATATGAGGAAACGCAGCTTCCACCAGAGTCTCAAGGGTTAAAGTGATTTACCTGCAGCCAATAAATCCAATAAATCCATGGAGTTACAGCGAGCGTTTGGGTCAGAGTGACATCAGGTTGATTTAATATAATATATAATGTAAGTTAAACTTTTGAAAACGTCGTTTTTAGTCATTTTTATCTTTTTTAATCTCATCAGCAGCTTTTTTGTTTTCAGGTGTCAGACACAATCATAATTCTGGAGACATGTTTGCTGACTGGGTTTCATGTTTGTGCAGAGTGAGTAAATCTGTGCTCTATCTTTCTTTTTACATTCATAGATTGAGAGTAGATCATAGTGATTGTGTCGACAACTTTAACTTTCTTAAAACAGACGTTCAGATTTTAAATTTTTGATTAAAGCCATCACAGCAATGTCCCCTCAATCTAAAATGTACAGAACCTGAGGGCTAAAAGCTGCTTTTGTTTGTCGTTTGTGGAATTACTTCAGCCTGAGATTCAACCCTGCGTCACAGACTGAGTTGTAACGTGTCCTTGGTGAAGTGATGAAGAAAAATGTTGGATGCAGAGTGAAAGTGACTGCTCGGGGTTTTTCCTTGTTTCTGGTTTATGAATCCCTTAAATTTGATATATTGTGTTGTTTTATTCTTGGAAGAACCTCCTGTGAAGAATCTCATCTTCCCTGGAGAACAAAAGAAGAAAACAACCTTTCATCATTATTGACTACGTTCATCTGAGTAATGAAAACTGCATGTACTGGGATATTTGTAGGTATTTTCCTTAATTCATTGATTTATGGTCATTTATTGACATCAGGGCTGGCTTGCAGATACAGAAACAGTGTTTGCTATTTTTAATAAACCTCACATTTGTTGCATTTTAATGCCTGTTATCTGTTGTTTGTTTCATTAGAGCCTCAGATTTCTCACCATCTGTGAAGCTGCAGACAGACAGCGGTCGTTTTGCTCTGTCTCTTGTTATTCTTTTATCCAGCTTCACTTTCAAGTTCGTTTTTCTCTGTCACTTTGGTGCATTTCTCACATCACTGTTAACATTTGCTCAACAGTTAGTTCAACTTTCACAACATCTAGTCATTCGTACACATCCGAGCAGCAGTTTTTTTTATTCCTTTCATCGAATTGCAAATGCTTTTGGACATGTACCAGTTACTTTCATACAATTCTCTGCTCTTTTATAACATTATCATCAGCTTATGTCATGCCAGTCAAAATGAACTAAACTTTGCATTATCATTAGTTGCAACCAACGATAAGCCACACCTCCACAGTCAGTCAGAGCTGAATCCCATGAACCCTTACTTGGCTCACAGATATAAACACAGCAGGACATAGGGCTCTATTTTCGTGCCTCGCCGGTCATGGCGCAGGTGCTGCGTAAGTCAGTTCTGCCGGGCCGACAAGCACATTGGTATTTTGGTATTTTGGTGAGCGGCGCAGCCCGGCGTAAGTATCCCCCCCTCCCTAACTCAGGTCCTCCCAGCGGCGTACGTCGTAGAGAGGGAGGAGAGAAGGCGTGGAGTGGGTTTAACACAGCCGAGACCTGCTTTCGCCAATCATATCAGCTCCTCTCCTCACCTTTAAACCCCCCACTGGTGAGGTGTTTTACAATTTTCATGCTGTAGTCAAGGGTTTGAGTCGGCAGGGGTGCGCCATCGTCCAGATAGTCAAATGGCTTTGTCATGTTTTCATCATGACAGTTTACTCTCTGTCATGATCTTGGTGACACTTTCTGAAAATGCTCAAGACAGAGTTATACACTATTTGCACAGTCATTTGATAACTACAGTTAAGTTATACATGACTGTATTTAGTGGGGTAACTCTATAACAGCACTTTGTATCTCCCTCAACCTTATGGCTTTGTTTACAATCACTGCTGCACAAATGATTTCCTGTTGCTGCGTAATAAAAAGAGGTCCTCTTCCACCTCTGAGAGGTTGTTTCACAATCCCCTGTGGTGCAGAGTAAAATGACAGTAATGTACAGTAAACATGAGATATGCTGCGGAACAACTTCTGAGAGGTTGTTTCGTAATCCTGTGAAAGGTTGAAAATATGAGAAAATTCTTAAGTCCTGTGTCTGGAGGCCCTTAGAGCCAACCTTCATGTTCATATGGACCCTGTAGGACAGGTGAGGGAGGGGCCTCTCATACTTGTGTTTTCTCTCTAGATGTAGATCGAAGTCCACAGTAAATTTGGTCTTTTGTGGGTTCAGAGTTCATTGTAATGAAACCAGGGTTCATTTCTCGACAAGCCTCATCTTCTCTGCAGAGTAAACAAGTTTTTATTGCTTTGGGCCTGGCACATTAAATGCCTCTAAAGAGGTTTATCTCAGTTTATAATGTTGGATTCAGTCAAGTAAGGTAGCATAAATTCCAGATGTAACTGCAATGGCTCCTGTTTACGATATTTGAGCTGACCTGACCTGCCATTGGCTGTGATCATGCAATGTGTCTATTATCCTGAAAAAAGACCTGAGGTCTCAAGGCAGACCTGTAGAGATAGGGAAAAATAAAAGGTTATCTAAGTCCACCTTATGCACACCAAATTTTAGATCAGGCCTGATAGTTCTCTCTGCTATTTTGATCAAGTCTGTCCTCTTTTGGATCTTTACAAAGTTTTCCAGGTACCACTTTCAGTCAGGTCCAAAGGTCCAGAGTCTGCGAGGCCTTTGCTGTAAGAGATGCTGATTGACAATGGGTTACTAAAGGTTCATCTGAGCTTTTCTCATTGTTGAATTTTGTATTTCTGTGTGTAATAATTATAAATACATCAATAATAAAAATAATAATAATTCCTGCTCTAAAGCATTTCTATATAAACCCTGTATAATGTGTGAGACTGGGTTTGGCCAGATTCAACCTTGCAGCAATTACCAGGTCAGTGTGCAATCATACAACGATAAAAATCATAATTCATACAGAAGGAGGAAAGATAGGTGTGAGGAAAAACATTTATTACAGACTATTTATACTGAGAAACAGCAGGACAAAAAAGAAGCAGTCACATTTATCAGCATGAGGCATATGGGCAATGATTGCATCAGCAACTTAAGTTATTTTGATTGTGTGTGTGTGTGTGTGTGTGTGTGTGTGTGTGTGTGTGTGTGTGTGTGTGTGTGTGTGTGTGTGTGTGTGTGTGTGTGTGTATTTTCCATCATGAAGAGTGAATTGAGTGTGAGCACATCTGGCTGTAGGTGTTGTTAGGGAGTATCGTCACAGCAGGCCTCCTGGTTGTGTGGGCTTGATGCTGCATTTGTCTGACAGGTATGATGAAATATCACTGAAGCACAATAGATGCTGCCAAAGATCTTCAAGAACATTTGCAATGCCAAGATCTGCCTCCACCAGGGGTAGGCACTTCATTTTTACAAGGGGCCGCATGAGAAACCTGAACTGAAATACTACTCAATATTCATTATCTCCCATTGTAAAAAGCAGTAAATTGTAGTCATTGTCTTGTTGAAAATGTAGTATTTGGTATCAACCTTTGTTTTTTTGGTATGAGCTGACCCTTTGAGGGTTAGCAGGCCAGCATCACCTGTCTGTGTTCACAGGTCAGGGATGTACGCTCATTCGTCCAAATGTAAATGAAACAACAGAACAGTTTTCCAACATAAAAGCAACACTTGTAAAGCATGAACAGTATAAATAATTTTTCATTTAAGTTCTGATTGACAGACTTTACACAGGCTGGCCGTTAAATGCCCAGATCTGGTCTAAACAGGAGTAAAGCAGGATCTGGCAGTGATCGGGTGTTGGGACTCACCAGCCCTGGTAATGGACTGGTTTTGTCTCTTGTAGTGTGTCATCGTTATGGAAAATAAAGCCTCTGTAAAGGTCTGTAAAGCCGTCTAACCTCCTGACAGAAAGTCTGGCATGTTTGAGTGGGGCAGAGATTTGTTCCGACAGTGACCAGTGAGAGGCCACTCTGCATGCTCCACAAGTCAAACCATAAACAAAAGAGCAACAGCAGACAGTGAAACTGATGCTGCAAGAAAGAAAATGAGACAAAGGAGAACTTTGACCCTGCCCAGCCTCACATACAACGACAGACTGAAAAACTATGTTGGCAAGGAAAAACAGACTTCACCAACCAAGGGGTAACTGCTGTTAGTATTTCCCAGTGTCCTCTGGCCCAGCCCCTCTACGTCATCAGTTACCATGACATCATGTCCAACAGTGTTGGTTTAGATGTCTGTAGTCCAGTCAGGGAATGATTTTATGGTATCAAATCTAACTCAGTGACTTTTGTGACAGAAAAAAAAACCATGTAGTCTGACTTTAGTCCATTTTTAGATTCACTTCATATACTGAACTATTTAAAAGACTGCTGCTTGATCCATGCATTTAAATCCTTTAAACCACTGAATGGTTCCTTTTTAGGGAGGTGTTACAGCATCAACGTCAAAATGTGTGAAAACTTACAAAAAATAGATAAATATATAAAAAAAATCATTTTTTTAGTTTGAATATGAAATATTATGTCTTTGCCATGGAAGTGAAAACTGGTGGAAAAAGATTTCCAGTCATAGTGTTGTGGTTTTTTTTTTTGTACACGTCCAAATGTCATTTGAAGTGGGTTTATTTATATAAGACTATAATCTTGTTACTTTGCATGTTTATTTCCCAAAATGTATTATTTATCAAAATCTCTTTTTTCACCCTTAAAAAGGCCAAAGTCCTACCTGCATATTCATTCATCTATTCATTCATTCATTCATTCATTCATTCATTCTCCAGCTCTCCTAAGCCTGATAGATAGATAGATAGATAGATAGATAGATAGATAGATAGATAGACAGATAGACAGATAGACAGATAGATAGATAGATAGATAGATAGATAGATAGATAGATAGATAGATAGATAGATAGATAGATAGATAGATAGATAGATAGATAGATAGATAGATAGATAGAAACCTACTTCTGGCTCATTGTTTATGTGCTGCGTCAAAGCGTGGGAGGATGTTGTTTGGAAATTTGTGACCGTTCACCTTGTTTGGAAGGTGCTGAACCAACCAGCCGCTGTGGGATTAGCTGAAGTTTCCAGCAGCACTTCGATTTCCATCCTAATAAGCATTTTTTTTCTTACTGTTCTTACTTATCCCACATCTTGCTGTTTGATGGCCTTTTGTACATCTACATAGCTCGCTCCCTCAGGTATTCTGGGGGATTGGAGGAAGCATAACATTTACATAACATGCAGGGCTGGAAAATTAGGTGACAATAATTTCACTGCGGGTCATGTATAAGCAAGAAATCAAGCACTTAATCAGACAAGGTTTTCCTCTCTCCCAGCTTAAGTTTATTCCAGGTCTTTCATTAGTCGATTCAGAAACACTGTGATTTATCTCTCTGATCCGCTTCATTTGCTTTCATGAATTGTGTTGTGTGAAAGACTTTGGGATGGAGATTAGTTATCAGTCTAGTCTGCCTAGTCAAGGTTACTTCATGCTCACTGTATAAGCAGGATCCTGGTCTTCATACTGCTACACCAGAGGCAGACCCCAAAGACCGTCATGGGACTAATAAACCCTCAGCCTATAAACAGCATATTTGAGTTTTCTCAGAGGGACGTGAATCTTTGTCAGTCAACGCCTCACTAATGCAGAGGGACTCTCTGATTAACTGTTGTTTTCACAGGACATACTTCTCAATAATAATCCATCTCTCAGTCTACAAATACAGACTGTCTACAAACACAGAACCCCAGCCACCCTTCCAACCCTTCCATTGTATACAACATTTACACACACAGACACACACATTAAAAAAACAGGAGAGGACTCTTTACCACAGATGACTGAGAAAACACTATCTTGAGTTGAAAAGAGGAAAAACTGGACCTAAGACTAAGGTGATAAAACCACGATAAGATACAATAAAGGTGATAAAGTATTAATAGTTAGTTAAAATTAAACAGTCTTAAAATTAAACATTAAAAGAAAATAAATAAAAAGAGGTAATAAAACCCCAAATATTTACTCTAAAATAGGGTAAAATCACCTCATGCAGATTGAAACCAAAAAGTGAGACTAAAAAGGTTGAACTTGAGTTTGTATTTAAAAATATGAACAGTAGGTGTCGCTCTCAGGTCTGCAGGTGGACTGTCCCACAGATGGGGGCCCTAATGTTGGAACGATGATTCACCGTATGTTTCAGTTTTTACTTTGGGAACAATTAAAAGACCTGAGGGCTCTACTGGGCTCATATGGTAAAAGCAAATCAGATAAATAGGAAGGACAAAGACCATTGAGGGATTTAAAAACTAATAAAACAACCTTAAAATCTACTTTTAAAGACATAAGAAGCCAATGAAGAGTTTTTAAAATCAGTCTAATGTGATCTCTCCTCCTGGTCTTTGTAGGAGCTGAATCTGGGAAATAATTTGTTTAGAAAGACCAGAGAGGAGAGCATTACAATAATCAGGTCTACAGGTGACAGAAGCAGGAGTACGAGTCTCTGCATTGGCTTGAAAGAGAAACTGGTGCACTCTGGAGATGTTCTTAAAATGATAAAATGCCTTTTTGGTAACATCTCGTATGTGTGGCTCAAAGCTGAGGTTTGGATCAAATGTAACACCCAATTTTTTCTCCTGTTTGCATGGATTAACAGCTAGAGCTTGGAGTTTCTGCTCCAGTTTCTCTTTCTGTTGACCTGTACCAATAACTAAAACTTGAGTTTTGTCCTGATTTAGTCTGCCATCCTGGACTGGACGTCTAAAACTCAGTTCAAAGGGGCATCACTGGGCCTGGTGTCATCAGGAGACAAAGCAATGTAAAGCTGAGTGTCATCAGCAGAGCTGTGAAAGTTGATGCTGTGCCTCCTGATGATTGTCTCCTTATGGCAACATGTAGGGCTCTATTTTCGTGCCCGCCGGCAGCGCGGCGGGGGTGGCACACCCTGTGCAGTGGTATTTTCGTCTGGCGGGGCCCGGCGCACAGCCAGTTTGGTATTTTCGTAGACTGAGGCGCACCGCATCTGTGAATATTCAATCTGGAGCGAGACTTCGTCGTCGTTTTCTTCCGCTTCATCCGGGTCCGGGTCTTTGATACTTACATACAAATATTATAATATTCAGTTGCGTGAGCCAAGTTAATTTTATATGACAACATCAATGGAAGAAAAAACCAGGTCACGGAGCGCAATGCGTCCTTTATGCACAGGTGGTTCCGATTTTAATGCCATTATTGGAATCTGTGCGCACAACTCCTCTGTCATGTGGGGTTTAATTATATGCAACTTGGTGTGAGTGTCTTTATTTGTGAAAAAGGATGATGATGGACGGTTACCTACCTGATAGTTAGACAGTATTGACTTAGTAGTTATCATGTAATTACCAGATAATTTCATGTTGTTACTAGGTAATTACCTGTTAATTACCTGGTAATAAGTGTACCGTAAAAGAAAGCGTTACCGATATGTCTCCCCTTTATTGGTTCTGCACCCTCCCTGTACAGTCTTAATGAGAATATAGTCTCAGCTGTAAATAACAACCTGTGAACATGACTTTCATGGTGTGTGCCAGAATGCGCCGTAACATCTGATCAGCACTTCACTTTGAATGTGACCTCCCACTGATCAGGGGTCCAGCTCCATCTCCTGAGTTTTCTGAACATTCAAAGTTAGTTTGTATCACATCACTAAACAAAACTGTTCATTTCAGTCAAATTAATAGACTTCTTTAAATTTGAAATATTTGTTGCTGAGGTTGTTCCAGGGTTAAGTGATTTATCTCTTTAATTTTTAGGGGGTTTGATAAAAACTGAATCTTGGTTTTATGATAATTATATACCAATGTTGTGTTGAATTTGACATTTTACACCAGATGGCATATTCACACTGGAGTTAAGGAACCATGAGACCCTGGAATGACCACAAATCACTCTACACTCCCCAGTTATATCTATCTAAGGTAAGCAGGACCTCGGAGCAGCCTGTGGAGAGCCTGCTGCCCTGTTTTTGGATCAGCCACTGTGGTGGCTGGACTTTACTGAATAACACTTACAATGGGTCCCCTGAGCCACTTTGGCATTTTAGAGCCCATTTTCTAGCTGAGCACAGGTGTGGGAGGCTAGTCAGGGAATGATAATAAGGCCAAGTCCTGTTAGAGTTACTGAGGGGAAAACAGAGCAAGGTGGAAGACGGTCAGAATCTGAAGAGCTCTGCCTCAGAAACACCATCAACCACCAGCTGATGTCTGCTCGACTGATGTCTTACAATCTGGATGATGATTGTTCTTTATAACCGTCTCATCAAGTTTGTCTAATGACTGAAAAGAGAGAAAGAGAGAGAGAGAGAGGGAGAGAGAGAGAGAGTAGTTGTTGTTATTGTTGTATTAAAACGCTTTGGCGATATAGTTATAACAATCATGCCAACAAAGCTTTTTGAAATTGAAATTGAAATTGAAATTGAAAGGGAGAGAGAGAATAAATTCACTCTGATCTTTGATTTATCAGCAGCTGGATGAGGCACCAGCCGTTAAAAACAAGTTTGTTTCAGTTTGAAAGAAAAGAAACTCTTGGTTTGACTTACTGTAGGTGAACAAGAACTCAATACAAACACATTCCCCTATTTATGCTGAACACACCAGTTTTCTTTTGAGCCCAGACAACAACGGTAAGAGTGTGTCTTTCCTATCTGCGTAGTTCTTGTTGAACTAATTGTGAAGAAACTTTTGGTCCATGTTTGTATTTTACTTTCTTTTGATTTTCATGTGTGCTCAGGAGAGGCTGAAAACACAAGCATCAGCCCTAAAATATGGGCCAACTCAGTAATTAAAGATGGAACACACACACACACACACACACACACACACACACACACACACACACACACACACACACACACACACACACACACACACACACACACACACACAGTAAATTGATGGACAGTCTTAGCTGTACAACAACCAACTAAGGCGACTATCCCTCTTTCAGGTCGGTTCTTTATGGATGTGCAGGGTTAAAAGAGAAACAGGTCTCCCTTGATCAGTTCTTTAGTTTCAACATTAAAAAAGTTTTCTTGATCAAAGCTGATTTTAGAACAACATGAAAAGAAAGTTCTGCTCAGAAAGTTGTCTGCAGTCTGGAGGTGGAATGGAGGAGTCCTCTCAGAGGACCAAACCACACAAACCTTTCCTTGGCAGCGCTCTCATGGCTCCCAAAGCTCTGAACAGAAGGGGGATAAGAGGTAGGAAGTCTTTAGCTGTGGAGAAGCTTTTTCTCTTCCTTTCTGTTATGATGAATTTTGCAGACTGAGTGCCATGATGTGTATCTCTGCAAGTGCTTGTAGGGTTGCTCATTGATTCCCGGCCATCTTTACTGAACCATTAACAGGACACTTGGCATTTCCTTCATGCTACAGTCCCTTTGTGAGCCTTTTATGGCCTTGCTTGTGATTGAAAGGAGGGAGAAATGAGTGTGTATGCTTCTCTATTCATCTCAGTGTTGTTATTTGGAACATCTATGTCTGTATTCCTGCATCAAGAGGTGTGTGTGTCTGTGTGTGTGTCTGTGTGTGTTAAGCCTGCAGATCAGTTAGTGCTGCTTCATGCTCCAGCCTTATTAAAGAGCAGAGATGGAGACATCACAATGACACAAGCATGGAGAAAGAGCGTCTACCTAAAGAGAAGATTCCTCTATTCAGCTCTTCTCAGCACTTCTCCCGTCTCATATCTCTACAATCAGTAATTCAGTTAACAGTTTCTCATTTGAAGATATAATCCTGAATGGTCCAGTCTAATGTAACATAAGTAACAGTAAATACAATGACCCTGAATGCTATTTCAATACAAGTCTAACTGTTAAAGTGGTTAAAAGGGTTAATAGTTTATGTTAATCAGTGACAGGTTAGTGACAGACTGAGTGACAGAGAATGTCCAATAAAGAGCCACTAGATGGCAGTGAGACACCACAGACAAATGTAAAACAATGAAATAACCTTCCTTCTAACATTAGCTTGTTCAGATAAGTTTTTAACCTTTTTTTTTCCCTTTCTTTAAACTTTATTTCCTCATTTGTTTGTTCTTAAACTTTCACATTCCTGCAGCTGCTGCCTATTGTGTCACTCAGAATCTGATGCACTTAAATCGTGTATTTTTAACACAAAAAGCCAGTTTAGAAGCAATTTACTGAATAATTGATGTTAGAAAAACTTTCTATTTATAAGGTCACCCTATATTTGTCAATGCAAGTGATTCAGGAGGCCAGTAAATATTAAAAAAAGACCCGAGGAGGCGTTACAGTATCCCCAAAATCTTACACAGTGCAGGAAGGCAGAAATTCAATGTAATGATCCGTCCTCCCCACGGCTTTATGAACCTGCATGACCTGCTCTGTTTCTCTTCCTTTCACACAGATTTCAGCATTTTTGTCAGGGGGACAGAAAATATATAAAATACAAGTCATGACAATAAAAAAAAAAAAAAAAAAAACAGGATATCTGAAAATTTTGGAGGTCAAACTTTGTCTCGACTCAACAGTTTTATTTTAGTCCAGCTGGTTACAAACTACATTTTCACATGAAGCCTGTTTTCAGGTGTTACACAGTTTTTGTCTCTTTTTTTTGACAGTATTGGTTTTGACATTACATTCACATTTTCAAATTACCGGCTGTGACTATAACATCTCAATAATGGTATCCATAAAGGACAAATCAAGGGAAAGGTCACGGTTAATAGCTGTGAAGCAATAATTTGTATCAGTCAAGGTGCCATGCCGTGATGCAAGGTCTCGCTCATAAAATGGCTTTGTGTGGAAAACTCCCACGACTTTGACGGAGCTCTCAAATAATCAGAGCAGCTTTAATAAATCTGCTGCAAATCTGCTCAATAAACACCCCTGATGCCCAAAAAAGTAAACCCAATAAAAAAGCTCAAGGAAGAATTGGAGGTAAGGAGGATACGACTACAAACAACTATGATATGAGCATTTTGAGCACCTGTATAGACATGACTGGATGAAGGTTTTCAAACAGCTGAGATTCAGATGCATCAATGAACCATCAGACTTTCATCAGTGTTACAAGCATCCAAATCTTAGCAGATATAAAGACATTTGATAATAAGTAAAAAAATTAACAAAACAAACACAATCATAAATTTAAGAGAGATTTAATATGAGGACCCAGCTTAAACAACTGAGAAGGGTCACACATGATAAAGACTGCTAAACGATTACTTTTGATTTGAGATTCAGATCGATGTAAGAGTTATCTTGACGTACTTTCATGTCATGGAGAAGAATGACAAAGCTGCAGAACACAAAGAGAAACAGGCGAATCCAAAAAGCCTGACTTTGGAGATTGCGTGGTGAAAATCATAATACATTTACCACACAGCTCTGCATCTGTAAATAAGACACATCAAAACAAAACATCATCATCGCCTGTGATGGATTTAAAGGTGAGGAGAGGAGCTGATTGGTTAAAACAGGACTCAGCTGTGTTAATTCCACTCCACGCCTTATCTCCTCCCTCTCTACGACTTACGCCACTGGGAGGAGCTGAGTTAGGGTAAGCTGCTGTCAAGTACGATGGAGGATAATCTGACTGTGACAGTACGTAGTAACCTGGGCTATAGGATACAACTCTTTAAAATCAGGAGTCAAATGAAGTTGTTCAGATGAAAGTGAGAGAGGCAGTCCAGCTATCTGGTAAGTGATGCAAACACAGTTAGTTGTTTTTCCCTCCAGTAATTTCACGGTTTCACAGACATGACTGCTGCCAGTGAATCTGCGGTGTAACCACATGCCATGGTTACCTGTCAGCACAGAAAGAAACTCTTTCAGGAATTTGTTTTTAATCACAACTCACTGCAGCAGGTCCCTGGGAAGGATGCAGGACTTTTTTCATAATTGTCACTGTTGCACATAAAGGCTGTGTGTGACAGATTAAATTGGAGATAGCTAGTCTCTGGGCCTGGCAGGGATGCTGCAAGAAAAGTGCCAATTTCATTTTCAGGCTTTTGTGCAAGCATCTGGCCACTGACATTCATTACGGACAGTATATCATTAGAAGACCGATTCTTTCCCACTTTAGGAAACTTTACAGCACAATCTGTAATACAGGCTTTCATACCACACCTTCATCAAGCTTTAGTTCCATGTGAAGAATGGTGTCAGACTTCAATGCTGCTTTTAATAAGAAACATAGGTGACAGTTTAACAATACAGCTGTATAATCGCAGTGTTGTCATCAATAATTCTGCTTATTAAAGGACTTAAATCCTTTTATATTATGTCCATCATTATTGGAGGGTCTTTTAACATTTGAACAACCTTTAAATCAATCTCCAGAAATTACAGTTAAAGACAACACAATACAATATAATACAAGAACTTTATGGATTGATTTCTCTGGAGTCTCAATAAACAGCCTGATGTCTGTTGGTCCAAAGATCTTCTGAATCTTTCTGTCCTGCAGTGAAGAGAGAGGAGCCGTCCACCACCATTGGTCCTTTGGTCCATCAAGGTGTTGTGAAGTGGGTGATCCATGTTCTTTAGAATAGTCTCCACCTTCCTCAGTGTAGATCTCTCCACCACATCCTCCACTGAGTCCAGCTTGAGTCCAACCACAGAGCCAGCCTTTTTCACCAGTTTGTTCAGACGTCTCCATCTTTGTGTTTGATACTTCCTCCCCAGCAGACTGCAGCGTAGAACAGAACACTGTAGATCTACACCACAGACTGATCAAACATCTGCAGCATCTAACTACAGACGTCTATGATCGGAGTCTTCTCAGGCTAAAGAGGCGGCTCTGCCCCTTTCTGTAGAGGAAGTCGATATTCTTAGACCAGTCCAACTTATTATCCAGAATTCCAGCCACTGACTTGGACAGGATCTATGCAAGTATTATTATGCTATGACTGAGCTCCCTTGGAACATGCACCAATATCTGGACAACACAACTTCTCCTAGTCAGGGTTACACCATCTCTGGTTGACTAATAAAGCCAGACCTCCTCCTTTCTTCTTGCCCCTAGCTTGATCATCTCTGTCTGACCTTATGAGAGTGAAACCAGGTAGATCCACACTGGAGTCTGAGATGTTTTGATTCAACCAGGTTTCAGGCTTTCTCAGTCTTCACCAGTATCTGCAGCTCATCACTTTTGTTGGGCAGAGAATTAATGTTTCCAGAGGACTGATGGAAGAAAGGGTTTATATCTCCACCTCCTCCTATTCAACGTTGCCTTCACCTTTGCACCAGCACGGCGACCACAATATCACCTCCTGATGTCCTCTGGGATTGAACGTTGTTGTCCAGATTTGTTCTGTGTCAATGAAAGAAGCTCTTCTCTTGAATAAACTCCTCTCCCAGCAGAAATATCCATCAGCAGCCAAAGAAACACACACAACAAAAACACGGAAAAAAAAAATTGCAGAAACTCCAGATAGACCAGACTGTGCAGCAAGAAAAAAGGCCTTTCTGCAAAATAGGAAAATTATCAACAAAAGATCAACATGAAATCTGTGATAACAGTCAGGACCCACTCTAAATTTTTTATCCAGTGTAAGATTTTATTTTTGGTCTGTTTCTGTAAATAACCTCAACTTTCCATTAACCACCGCTGACGATAAGTGAGAATTGTATAAATGAAAGTTTATAATAGTCGACCATCACAAAGAGAGAGTGAGGAATAAATCCAGTCACTTTTGTTGTCATAACTCTTTCATAACTTCAGTCATGCTGAAATGTTGATCATGCTCAATCATGATTGACACTTTTACAGTTTGGCACATTATTTCTATAGCTTCAGTATAATCTGTGATCATACTTCAGTGCCACTTTGAAGCTGATGTAAATGCTTCTCTTCATAAGAAGGTTTAGCACACTCTGGACCAAGTGGATGTGGTGGAAGTCTAATGAGAAGCTGCAGTGCAATAAAAGGTTTTCGAACCCAGTGCAGCGCTGGCCTTTGTAGAATTTGCAAATGACCCCTCATCTAAATGCAGGCATCTCTGCAACTGCATGCAAACTGATAACAAGGGGCTGATCTGCACTCTACTCTTTGTCACAAGCTTCATTAATACAGAAAAGTCCCCCAGCAAACATCTGGGGATTTGCAAAGAAGCTTCTGTGGGTCTCTGTGGAGGTCATTACAATGGGGATAAGTAGCATCTCCCCACACAGTGTTGAGCGTCAACTGAGTGAGGAGCAGAGGAAAGCAAAGACAAATGTGTGAGTTTCTAAGCTGGCTGTAATTGGATATACACATTACAGCGCAGTGAGCATTGAGGAGATGGTGGAAGAACAAGGTTGGCTGACAGAGAAATCAAAAGGAGCGCCTGATAAAGAGATTCAGACAGGCCCCCCAGTCTGTCTGCACAGCAGTGAATACTCTTCTGTTAACTGTTGAAGTGATGAGCTGTAGAGCAGTGGCCGAGCCATCTTGCAGCTCTTGATGACTACTTTTAGTCGTCTAATCTTGTACAGTTACACATAAACTCTGGTTAAAAGTTGGAATAACATGAAAAGTGTAGAACAGACTTGGCCAGAGTCTAGTTCAAGAGTTTGGGTTAATGTCCTGGACATGGTTTTTAGCTTAGCTTATAACGATTCTATTTTTCAGTTTTGCTTTTTTAATATTTTAATCTATTGTGTTTGTACCGGATAAATCGTAAATCACCTGCTGTGGTTTGGACTGAACAGTGACATGTGGTCCTATTGTGCACAAGTCCTAAAGTGTTTTGGTGTGAAGCGCAAGTATAACGGTTACTTTAGACTCGACGCACCTGTCGGTCTTATGTCTGGCACCCATGCTGTGTAAAAAGCAGGTG